CTCTCTACTCCCAGCAGAAGCGGAGATATCGAACGGAGGAAGGCTGGATATGACGGAGAACTTTGGAAACTTTAAACTTCGATATCTCCTAAACGGTTAGAGATACAGGCCTGGTTCTGGCACCAAATTAAAGTCCTCTCAAAACCCTACATTTTGCCGTAAGTGGCGACTCTCTACTCCCAGTAAAAGCGGAGATATCAACGCAGAAAGGTTGGAAAACTTTAACCTTCGATATCTCCTAAACGGTTAGAGATACAGGCCTGGTTCTGGCACCAAATTAAAGTCCTTTCAAAACCCTACCATTTCAAAAACCCTACATTTTCGGACTACATGGACGACTCTCTACGACTCTCTACTCCCAGCAGAAGCGGAGATATCGACGGAGGAAGGCTGGATATCGACGGAGAAACTTTGGACAACTTTAAACTTCGATATCTCCTAAACGGTTAGAGATACAGGCCTGGTTCTGGCACCAAATTAAAGTCCTTTCAAAACCCTACATTTCAAAACCCTACATTTTCGACTACATGGACGACTCTCTACGACTCTCTACTCCCAGCAGAAGCGGAGATATCGACGGAGGAAGGCTGGATATCGACGGAGAAACTTTGGACAACTTTAAACTTCGATATCTCCTAAACGGTTAGAGATACAGGCCTGGTTCTGTCACCAAATTAAAGTCCTCTCAAAACCCTACATTTTGCCGTAAGTGGCGACTCTCTACTCCCAGTAGAAGCGGAGATATCAACGCAGAAAGGTTGGAAAACTTTAACCTTCGATATCTCCTAAACGGTTAGAGATACAGGCCTGGTTCTGGCACCAAATTAAAGTCCTTTCAAAACCCTACATTTCAAAACCCTACATTTTCGACTACATGGACGACTCTCTACGACTCTCTACTCCCAGCAGAAGCGGAGATATCGACGGAGGAAGGCTGGATATCGACGGAGAAAGGCTGGAAATCTTTAAACTTCGATATCTCCTGAACGGTTAGAGATACAGGCCTGGTTCTGGCACCAAATTAAAGTCCTCTCAAAACCCTACATTTTCGACTACATGGACGACTCTCTACTACCAGTAGAAGCCTAGATATCGACGGAGAAAAGCTGGATATCGACGGAGAAAGACTGGAAAAATTTAACCTTCGATATCTCCTAAACGGTTAGAGATACAGGCCTGGTTCTGGCACCAATTAATGTCCTCTCAAAACCCTACATTTTCGACTACATTGACGACTCTCTACTCCCAGTAGAAGCGGAGATATCAACGGAGAAAGGTTGGAAAACTTTAACCTTCGATATCTCCTAAACGGTTAATATTGTACAATATTAAAACATTCGCGCAATAATTATCTATAATTTGCATATATGGGCGTTTATGTAATTATAAGTAATATAATAGTCACGACAAATTAATGTGGTCGCGCGTTATCTCTGTCGTGTTATTACTAGAAATCATCCGAACTCTCGAAATTATTTTCTTCCCGAATTATGAATATAAAACAATATGGAAAGGTAAACAAGGGGGCGAAAGAGGGGATGGCGACGTCTGCCTTACGATAACATCGCTGCTGGCTCGCTTCGTCGCGATTGTCTATTCGCTGATGGTGAGACAAAGACCTATTCTTTGTTTTTATCTAACTAATCTAGCTCGCTCGTGAACATAGCACAGAACAGAACCAAATAATTATGGACATAGCACGGAATAGTACCAGCAAATCGTGGACATTGGCTTAGTAGTTCATGTCCATGAAAAATTGACCCAGTTGACGCTTCGATTCAGCCAACTTTTCCATAACGCTGTAAATGCAGCCATGCCTGTTCTCAGGCTTCTCTCTGCTGTTACCCACCATATTCACCACCCACTTTGCACCAACTGACTATCACTTCTTCCAGGCACTGGACCACTTCTTGCAAGGAAATATATTCAATTCTGAACAAGCTGTGAAAAACGCCTTTCGCGGTTTCATCGTCACTCGCTTTTCAGGCTTCTTCACTGCTGGCATGAATAAGCTACCGTTAAGATGGCAGAATTGTGTCGATACTTTTTTAGGCGCATACTTTGGTTAATTTTATTATTTCTGGTTTGAGATATAATAAACCAAACTTTCGATTCGAAATCGGACATTTCACACTTATGACCTAATATCTTCAAGTAATATAATTCGAAAGTAGATTAGAAAAGCATTAGTATTTTTTTTTGTAGCGTGACCTAATAATGGATGGAATCAAACTTTTATCTTCATCCATCGTTATTATTTTCTTAAATAATGATTTGAGAACATTAATTAATACACTTTCTTTTTTTTCGAGAGCTTTATTGTCACGTGAATAACAATAAAACGGCTGAGTTTTGGCAGCCGTTGGACAGCACTGCCTATTATAAATGTTTATACAAATTCAATTTCTATTCGATTACTACTTAATCACCATGGACACATGATGCATGAGAAAAATGTTATAAATTGAAAGAAAAGTAAATACAAAAGCGCCATTGTGTCTCATGCCTTAATTTACAAAAGAATTCGTGTTCAAAATGATGTTCAATATATATCGCATAAGGGGTATTTTCGGCTTTGCACTGTCGGATGCAGTCGAGAAGCAGTTGAACAAAGTATTATTTGTTACGTATTGCAAATTTGCTACTTTATACAATCAAATCCTTAATCATATATATCAAATTACGTTCGCACACAAACAATCTAAGAAAAACAAACAAATAATTTTTATACATTTGTCTCCATTGTCCTTATTTTAACATAAACGTTATGATCCGTGTTGCGTACAAGTTACACGATTATAATTATATTCGATATGCAATAATTATAATATGTATGATATACATATTATATACGATTATGCATGAGTATAATTATATTCAGATACTTTGCAACTAATTTAAAAGATTTCACTTTCTTCTGTTTACGTTCTATGACATTTGATCAGCATTTTTAATCAGAAACCGATACAGTCTGAACTAGCAACAAATTTCTCCGAAATAACAAATGATATGAAATAATGACTAATCAGTTTGTTGGGAATGAGAAGATAATGGCGAACGAAATCGTCATTCAGAATAAAATTATGCAACAGTCGCGCGACTATCGAGTTCCCGGAACGCATCTCGCTTACGTCGACCATGTCTCATTAATGATGCACACTTTTCCACAATCCGGCTCCCTTAATCTTTTTGGCCTCTGTGCTTTCTCACAATCACTGCGTAGCTCCGCGTCTCGTGATATCTGTTGCACTTCTCCTCTCAATCATCTCGGAATGGTAAAGGAAAATCGATCTTCGCTATTTTTACTTTAGTAGAAAAAGTACACATAGTATGGTACAAGCGATTCTCTTGCGGTGATATAATTCCAAAGCGTTCTTTCTTTTTCCTTCCCTTTAAGAATACATTCGTCTTTTTGTACATTCGATTTGGGACTCGATCTTTGATTCGTTGGAATTTTTAGAACCGTTAGGAGCCTTTTGTGACGATTCAGATTGCACAAGCGATGTTTCCATGTTTAAGCGCACTGGCACGGTTTACCGATTATTTACGATAAATACTTCCGATTAGCGTAGCTGCAATAAAAATGACAAGAATAGTCGAATCTTATCTTATCTGTGTGTTCTTCGAATACAATTCGAAAGACTGAGGAAGAGAGAGGAGCGACGATGGCATGTTCATAACATGCCGAAACCCTTTGAATAATTAATTGCTTTCAATAAGCGATCTTGCAGTTTCTCTATCGTGCTGTAGTCTGGTAACAATAAAACATTAAAGCACGTGTGCGCTATTGGCAATCTGAAAATAGAACGTTAACATATGACAACAGAACGAATATAAAATTTATTGGCGCAACACGAACGCGTTACCTATCGGAATCCGGACCGTGTCTAGCGATGACCATTTTCAGTCTCGAAAGGCCGCCGACTGGTACACGATCGCTGCCTGTGGTGAACTGCAGTAGCCTCCGTTGACTTTCAGGTGGTAACGAGTGAGCCACGCGCCAAAAGTTACGTACTGCCTCGCTGTCGACAGTATAACCGCCCTCGTACTCTGTAGCCGCTTCCAGTTCGGCAAAATCGAATATTTTACTACCGCAAACAAGCTGCCCGAACGTTCAAAAGCATCATATTAATATAGTCGCATAACGTAACTCTTTTGCCACGATAATGATGTCGACTATCGTGTACCTGTTCGATCTCTTCAGGTCTGAATAGCAAGGCAAGTGGACTTTCGTCCGTAACCATTTGAAAACCACGCCTAAATGCGTTGAATTGTCTCTCAACCGATTTGTTGAGCAAGAAATCCGCGTAAAGATCGGCAAACTCCTTCTTATTCTCCTGCGTGACGTACAACTCGTCACCATTTTCCTTCAGCTCGTGGAACGATATCGAGCCAAAAACGTCCCTACAAGATGAAGATATTGATGATAAGATTGGAGGCAATGAATAATTACTAGACTATGGTTAAGAATGTTATTAGAGACATACCTATAAGCTACCCGGAAGGTTTGCATGAACGTTTCTGGCATATCGTCTCCGGTATACTCCATTAATTCTCGCATTGTCCGGTACAACGTCGGACTCCAATCTTCTAGATCCGCGAAAGCACCTTTTCTGCCGAGCAGTTTTCTGTAAACGACCATTGGGAAGCGCACGTCCAAAATTACATTATTATAGATCGCTAAGCCGAGGACAATGCCTATTAATGTGAACTGTGCGTCACTCTCAAACGATGTTGGATTGAACCATGTCATCTGCGTGTCTTCCTAAAATGAATAAAGAAAAATAATTATGTTTCACGGATTCAAGTAAGAGACGACGCTACATTGGACGGAAAGTAAAAGAACAAAAATACGAGTTAGTGCAATTATTACCTGAGAAGTGAACATGCCATAGTCAGGATTAAAAATTTCTTCTACAACAAGTTGGAAGAATTCCTTCGACACCCCACCTTCGTCGACACCTTGTTCTCCTTCAAATTCGACAACTAGTTGTTTTTTCAAATCAGACGGGTTCTCCATAGCTACCATTTCCAATTCTACTAGAGCGTCATCTATCAAATGGTCTCTTCGGACCTGTTCAGATGAGATACACATAAGTTCACACACTCTTTTTCTTTCTCTCTCTTTTAAATACAACAACCTGATTTTCATATGATTCGACGAACCTTTAATCTGAGATATGGATTAGTAGGTTGCCCGACAACGGTCTGCAAGAAACTCATACGCCGCTCACTATACATTCTTATGCGATTATCGTAATAGAGACCCAGAGTCTTCGTGGCGGGCGTGAGAATGAAAGCATAATTCATAAAACTAAATTTCATTGGCTCTTCGCTTTTATAATAAGCAAAATCTTTGTCCATTTCTATGGCATCGCTAAGTGGTTCATTGTAAAAGTCAGTAAATGGTATGAAAGGTTTGCGTGCGTCTAACGCAGTAATTCCTAATTCCGTCGCTAGTGGATCCTGAAAGATGTTTAGATCGTATTTACCTACCATGAAGAATTAATGCGACAATAAAGTACACCCGAATGTTGTCATGAAAATCAAACTTACTTGAGGGACTTGTGACGTTGCCGAACGTGAAGCAGTCTTGTCATTACCTGTCGACTCGGCCTCGTCGCCCAGCATTAGTTCGGGACCATCCAATTCACCAGCCAGCATACTCGCATAATATAGAATCTTCATAACTTTCGTGGGTGCAGTAATGGTGTCCGCATCTTGGACACAGTAATCGCGTGTGAAGGATCCTCCTATCACCTGTAACATGAGATACGATAAGTAAATTCTTTGTTCTACAATCAAGGAATGACAAACATGAGTCGTCACTCATTATTTCATAATGAAATCAGAGAATGGTACCTTGACAGTTATGAGCTCTTGCAGTGCTTGTAAGAGATTCGGAAGTCGCGACTTGCAATGCTTAGCCCATATACGCGCTAACTTGGCCTGCGCCACGACAGGTAAGCAACTTAACGCCTTACATAGCATATGGAGAGCCAGTTCCAAGTATTCACTATTCCCGAGCATTGGGATTTCAAAGACAATGAGAAATACATTTAATAGACTATCCATACTTTCCCAGCGTACTATACGGAATACCCTCAAGTCTAATTCTATGTCATCTGCCAAAGTGACTAGTGCATTGACCAGAGCTGATTCGAATACTTCACCTAATCGAGAATTAAGATGTTTATCAAACAGTCTGATAAATATTGGCTCAATTTACATAATGCAGTCCTTAATATGTTTGCTGACGTTTGCTGTGTTATCTCGTATATTATTTCTCAACGAACTAAGCTCTCTTTTAAGCAACACCCTATGTTAGAAAAATAATTTATAGAAAATAAAAATATCAACATTTCCTTTTCTAATTAGATATTTTTTCCTCTAATTATGCACGATATTAAAAGCATTTTGCGCTTACCAGCGAACATATTAATATCCAAATATAATTTAGAAATTATGCTTTACATACCTGGCAAAGACCAAAGTGCTTCGAAAGCTCTGCGAACCGATGGTAAATCGACATTGGTATCGTCATTGTTAGGAACTGTAGGTGTTGGATCGCTGCTATCCTCGTCCTTATCTTCCCCTTGAAGAGATCGTACCGCCTCTTTATTCAAATCAGCAGGTGGCCTTAACAAAGTGTCTGGTGCTCGATCGAGAAGCGCCGCCAAAGGCGAGCTGCTTTTCTGAGTTTTTTGAAAACTAAGACTTAATGCCTTTGCGGAAGAAAAAACTTCCCCCAGAGTACGAATTAATAAAGAATACGAAGATTCTGCTTTACATCTTTCTATAATATCCAGAAGTTTATCTTCTGTGAGATATGGCTCTTGCTTTCCTAGAGGAAAAAATAGTTATCGCGTTAATTATGTTCGTGTTTGTAAATATATTCATCAATATACATTTCTAGCGATAAAATATATCAGAAGGTAAATATATATCCCAACTTTATAAAATACCTTCATCCGAGCTTGGAGGATTAACACTTTTTACAGGTAGACTCTTAGCTAAGGATGTTTGTCCTGGCTCTATAGTAGTTCGAGCAACTTTACTAGGTTGAGTGCCATCACAAAGTCTAGCTTCTTGTGAGAATAACTGAATTGCCTGAGCAGCTGCCTGATTTGGAGTAAGATTACTAACCTGATGGAAAACAGAAGAAAGCATATGAGTTAAACTGTAGAAGTTAATTTATTTTTGTGACTACAATAGTGAAACAAATAAATTCAATAGTCATACCTTCCCACTGGAGGCACAATTTTGATTGTCACAGTGAGGATTTCCACATCCGTCTGTAAGTTGGTAAAAATACCGTTCGATAAGTTTTTTTGCAGCTGCGCGCTTCATGTCGCTGCAAGGGCTCTCTGCTCCTACCCTGTAAAGATCAAGATATAACATGTACATATATATACATATGTCTACTGATTAATATTTTTTATTTGTAAAATTATTTCGAATACATGAATATGAGAATGTTTGTCATTAGATTTTTAATTTATTGCAGAAAATACATATTAGACTTCTAACATATTTTTCGTGCAATGTTTGTTGTTTTTATTTCCATCCACACAGAAATTAAGTCATCGAATTCTAGACCACATAGATAAAACTGTATACTTCACTATGTTAAGTAACTAAACGTCTATAAAGAATGAATGTCTTTTGAATTTTCGAGTGTCATTTCCCATGTCACGGGAAACTGCTAAGTGACAAAAAGACTTGTAGTCACTCGTCAAAAGATCGCATATCGTCACGTTTAGTTCGCCAAGTTGGATACAGTGTCGTTGCACCAAAACAAAGTGCTAATAATAGATATCCTTGCGATTTCGCGATCTCACGACGAAGGTAGAGTACTCTACTACGTTGCTGTAAACAAATCTCTTATATGACGAGGAGAACGAGGAAGAACGAGAGAGAAAAAGAGAGAGGGAGGGAAGGAGAGAAAGAGAAAGAGAAAGAGAAAGAGAGAGAGAGAGAGAAGCACAAAGAAAAAGACACACATCGAGCTGAGAGAGTAGAGAGCGAGAAAAATCCCGGCTTGTAATTTCGATTACACAATTTTTCTCACTCGCCCAACGTGATTTCCAACGCGCGACACAATGTTGACTTCCGCATACTTATCGACGATATAATTTTTGTTTTATGCGACTCACGTACGACTCAATCCTGGATTGCTCTAACCATTAATCATCTACGTATATCTCATAAGCAATTTGATCCAGAGAACCATCATTAGTCTCATGTTCCCAGAAGAACCTTAGTCTAATAAACAATGGTTAATAATGCCGATGATTAGTAATCCATGATCAATAAGGAAAACGAAGAGTTCGTTCTCGCTTGAACATTCGGAGTTTACTGTCCACACAGACAGGAGAGGATGTGTAATCCTATAATCGCGAATTTACACAGCGTGCGATGTCAAATGCACAGCATTCGTAGTACCTGGAAGCGTGGTCTTCTCCAGGGTCCCCCTGGCCCTCGGCGCTCATAGACTGTGAATCGTCGGAATTTTGTCCGCTTGCTCGGTGATCGTGATCGAGAGAAGTCGCGTCGTACACCACTCTCTGTTTGCCACTAACACTCTCCACTACACACGGCCGGCCACCACGTTTATCGTCCACGCGCAGAATTCTCGTAACTCCAAGTCACCGTTGCTTCGTATTTATACAAATTTTCCCGTGACGTCGAACCGTCCTTTAAACGTCGCGTGTCCGAATGTGTGATCTCACTTCCCCGCACCGCTGTACTTTTCCTGCACGTCTAGTGAGACGAGAGGAGAGAGAGAAAGAGAGAGAAAGAGGGAGAGAGAGGGAAGAGACCCCGACGGAGGAAAAAGGAGAGAAGACGGAGAAAGACCCTCAACTGGGAGAAAGAGAGAAAGAGCTATCAAAGGCAACAGGGAAACATAGGAAATAGAATGTAGGAACCAGCCAAAGACGAAAGGGAACGGAGAGACAGATAGATGGAACTACGAGCGAACGCGAGATAGGAGAGGCAGAGATGTGTGATATTCTCGGATCGCGTCACCGCGATGGGAGAATATCTCCGCTTCGTCTTGGAGGTTATGGAGATCGATGATTAGCAAATCGCGCGGCTCACGCGGAGCTATACAAGTCAGCCCGTGAAGCGAGAATATCGAAAACGAGGGGAAAAACCAGAGCCGTCGTCTTTTTTGCTCTCTCTTTCTATCTACTGACGTCGTTTTCACGTCGTCTATCGTTTGCGATCAGCACCAACGACGGACCACGAGTTATCGCACACGACTTTCGATTAATCACAATCGTGCGCGAGATAGATGGGTCGATCGGCCGTACGATGTATCGACGCGCGGCGCGCGTATCTCGCGGTAATGGCGGATGAGTTCCTTCAAGTCTCGCGCATCGTAGCGATCGACAAAAATGAAAATTCGGGCTGTTTTCTTCAGCCGTATCTCGATATGCTCGACGGGAAATGAAAGAATAAACATCTGTATATTCAAATGTTGAAGGAGGCAACGTGAGCCTGACAAGTTGCAGAAAACGCAATGAAAAACAACAGACCGAACGATGAATCTCTTTGCTCCATTCTGGAGAAGTTTGATTTTTAGAAAAATTCCGATGATTTCATCGTCCTCGTGTAAGAATAATTATTACGAATACATTCGATAGTGAAAACGAAATGGAAAATTCGAAGTATACACAATTAAATATTCTCGAATTGTTGGTGAAGGTAGAGGAAATTACATTGCGACAAATTAAAATAATTTAATTATTTTTCTCGCATTGCAAAATTTATGCTTATTCAAAATTCACGACATGATGACGACTACGATGACGGAAAAATTTTCGATATAATTATATAAATTTTATGGAATTTGTATTCAGGTAGTTATTGTGGAGAAGAATATTTCATAATAATAATTAATACTTACAATAAACGAGGCTGAGACGCAAATGAGATTTGAATGAATAGTTTCGTTATTTTTTTCGCTTTTTAACAATCTAAGGAATGATATGGCATACATGACGCCGGTTGTGTCCAACAGATCGCCGAATGCGATGGCGTTCCAGAAGACAAAACGTGCTTAATGGAAATCGGAGAAGCGTAAACGTGAGAGGTGAAATGCGCGAGAGAATCAATTTGCAAATGAGAAAGATGTGATCATGCATTGCATGGGCGAATAGTAGTCTCTATTGACGGTGGTAACAATTACTCGGCGGAAATCAATGTCGGTATGCATATCGACGACGTCAAAGTAAACTGCTACAAAGTTGCACAGTTGTATTTGACGTAATGACATGCCAGGATGATTAAATGTGAAGTGAAATGGCGCGTTTATATTGGGTATTCCGAGTTTGCGCATGATTTATGCAAATGAAAGACCAACAATTGCGAGATTAATTCATGTCTAAAATTACGTGATAAATCAAGCGGCAAACGGCAGACGTCAATGAAAATTGAATTTCCATCATATACATAAAGAAAAAATCCGAATTTGTGATGTGTATATAATGGAAATTTTTATTTTTCATTATGCACATAATAGAAATTCTATTTCTTTTTATTCGTACTTCCTATATCGTCTGTATTTCTTGAGACCAATTATGTGCTATTGCTCTGGATGTAATAAATAAAACCTCACGATGCAGAATGACTCGCGACGGGAAGCCTCATCGATAAAGATAAATTTTCATTTCCTCACGGACATGTCCGAAAATCGTCTATATATTTAGCTTTACGAGTAGTGAGGGGGTAACACGCTGATTAACACACGTGTTAAAATGACATCAAATGAGCTAATATTGATATCCTTTGAGCCCCTGTGTCGAATCTCCTCTCGGGAGGTCTTCACGCACACACACGTGCACACCTCTTTCTAACCGAGGGTAAGCCTGGCCAATGGAACAGCCAGTGTAAATGGTTGATATGGGGTGGCACCAAGAGAGTGGCCAAAGTGAGAGAGAGAGAGAGGGTGCAAGGTTTAGGACAGAACACAACTCGCAGGAGCAGTAATATCGATCGAAATGGAGTGGAGTTCGAGGCTCGATAGGTCGGTGTGAGCGCGGGGGCGAGAAGGCGAGAAAACAGGAGAGACAGAGAGGAAGAGAGAGGTAGAGATAGAAAGTGAGTGAGTGAGTGAGTGAGTGAGAGAGAGAGAGAGAGAGAGAGAGAGAGAGAGAGAGAGAGAGAGAGAGAGAAACGGGAGAGGAGAGTATGACAGGGTCGAGCTTGCACGGAGAGGCAAGAGAGGGCCACAAGTAGGAAAAGCTCTCTCGTAAAGCAGGCAGTCGGATAGGTCGACCAGTTGCCCGGGCACGGATCGCTCTGCCTGATCGGTCTTCCACACCTGTCTGCTTCTCTTCATTGGCTCCCTTTTTTCTTCCTCTCTTTGATCTTTCCTTACTTCTTCTCTTGTGTTACCCCTTTCTCTTCCATCGTCCTTTGGATCGCCGTCCATTCATTGACCACTCGCGATCGCAGCGATCCTGCCGAACGCGACCTTGAAATTTAGTGATAGTGCGAGCCTGACCTTGGCAAATTTCTTTGTCAAGGTTGATTAGATAGGTCTACAGTGTCCATTATCAGCTGATTTACTGGATCGCTACCGTTCCGGCAGGTCGAGGTGGATGCATGAGAACGCGAGTGATTTCAGACGGTAAAAACAACGTAAAGAGGCGGTAAGTCACGTCTCGGATCGGATACCACATACTCATGGCCCGACGATCTATTAACGATTTGTTAAGAATATTTCGGAGTATGGAAAGTATGTGTTATCATGAAACTAAGAGATGAGATTGTAAAAATGCCGCAGTCTTTAAATTCATTCCCCGCACCTAGAGATTCTTGAGAGAATTCCTTCATTCCTTTAGAAACGAAGAAAGAAAGTAAATTGAAAATTGGACTCGAAAATTGAGTGGAAAAATTAGGTAGGAAGAACAAGTCACGCTATCTAATTGCGTAATAACGCAAGTATTGCATGTAACGCTCACACGACGATGATAATTAGGGCTCGAGTAATTGTTGTTTAGCGATGAGTTTCGGCCGCAGAAAGAGAGAGAGAGAGAGAGACGGCGAAAGATTAAGAACGCAAGTGTTATATATTCGTAAAGAAAGCGCGGAAGGCGAGATACACGAAGTTGCGGTCCATTCGACAGCTTTTCTGTTTCTCTTGCGAGTTTTTTCGATCGGGAAAGTAATTACATTCCTCCAATCTCGCGAACACTACCGCGTATTTCTTCCTTGCGAGCTTAACTCCGAGACTTAACATCGAGAGTTTGTATGCAGGAAATTCGAAGAAATGAGCGCGTAGAGTGCTTTCGCCAAGCGGGAACTAGTAATTGATTTTGGACTTCGATGGACCCGATTCGGTAGCCATGAGAAGACGAAGAAACGACTGATATTACGACGGGGAACTATATTGGTGTAGAGAATGGAAGAGGCATCCTCGAGAATTCGTCCTTATCTGGACTGGGATGTAAGCGAAACCTCATTGGTTTCTAACCGAATGTGATACAATTATTTATCAAATATTTGACGAACTCGAACAATCACGAAAAATTCATCGAAAACTCGATGGGAATCGCATGCCATTCTGGAAGGATAAGTTGTAACTCAGTCATTACGTTTGATACAATGCCAGTGTGCCTATTCTGTAACTTTTGACGACAATGTCGTTATCGTTACGCGTCGTTACGCAGTTATTACATGATACGTTATATGTACGTATCGACGCGTAACGGCGAGGCGTTATTACCGTTAGAAAGTTACACAATAGGCATGTAGAGCAGATTCCCATCTGCGTGATGTATTCTGAAATGTCCATTTGCCGAAAAGCCAATTTTTACATTCGGTGCTCTGTTGCGTATATACAGTCCAAACATGTCGATACACGATATGTTTCCAAAAGAAATGTTATCTCACATGTTGTAAAACATAACGTAGAATATTTTCGTTCAGTTCGACGAATATTTTTCAAAATCTTTGTAAGCCGCGTTCTAGAATTACTCAAGCAAGAGTCGGAGAAACAATAAAAAGAGACCGTTGTTAATTTTGTGGATAGAATGCGGACAAATACTCCGTGGCGAATAGTCAAGCGCCGTTGCAGGGCGGCGAGGACGACCAGCCTGAGCGTGGGACGTGGACGGGAAAATTCGATTTTTTGTTGTCTCTTCTGGGATACAGCGTAGGCCTCGGCAATGTCTGGAGATTTCCGTATCTTTGCTATTCCAACGGCGGCGGGGCTTTTCTAATACCGTTCACCATGATGCTCATCATCGCCGGATTGCCGCTCATGTTCATGGAGCTTTCCTTAGGTAATTAGCGGCATTAGCGAAACGACGCCGATATCGAGCACTCGGGTGTTCGCAATCAGGATGTATCTGTGTTTCGCAGGGCAATACGCCAGCCTCGGACCGGTGGCGGCTTACAAACGTTTCTGCCCGTTGCTCCGCGGCTTAGGATACGGGATGGTCCTCGTTAGCTCCGTTGTCATGCTCTACTATAATTTAATCATCGCATGGACCTTGTATTACATATACGCATCGATCTTTGGTAAATAATTTCAGTAATAATAACGATGGTATAAACGCGATAACAACGAACGATGAAAATTGTTCAAAACTCCTTAACTCCTCGACTGTAAAATCACAATGTTGTTAATAACGTACATACAAGACACATACTCGCGCAGCGTTATACGCCTTCATTCATCATTTTTCAATCTCAATGGAAAGCGTCTCGGAGTGTAGCGGAAGTCGTAGCATAAAGCTCGTATAAAGCGGAACAATTTGCGGAACTTTTTAATTTATCGCATACAAAACTATAAATACGAAGCTATAAATACGAAAGTGCACGCAAGTGTACAGCGCGGCCCGACAGCGAAGACTCGCTGAAGACGACAGCATTTGCCTTTTGCGGGAGGGCTTATTAAAATTCTAGTTGGCACAGGTGGCTGGGAGCTACCCTGGAGCAAGTGCGAGAAGGAGTGGAGCACCGAGGATTGCTTTACGCCAGAAGCTGCCGAGGTTTGTGCCTCTCGAAACGTTTCTTACTTCAAAGGAGAATGCCTCAATTCGACGCAAATGACCGCAATGGGTCTGAGCATTGAAAACATAGCCAGCGCTATCAGGAGGCCGCCAGCCGAGGAATACTTCAAGTAATGCCATATACGTCGTATATAGATTGTCGCGTCATTCCCTCGACGTATTTCGAGCAGTTCCGTCATTCAACTCGTCGTTGTCACGAGAATCTTTCGTTCATTGATTTAACTCCGCTCTTACGATCTCGCTTTGTTTCGCGACGATTATATCTTGAAATCCCGAGAGGAACTCTATTTTGAGCGAGAGTATTAATTTTGTCTCGGATTACGCCACAGTAATTCCTAGTGATGCTAACTTGAAGAAACAGAAAATGTATGGAGATCTTTATCTTTGCGCCTTCAGCAATTATGTCTTGAGGATCAGTAGCGGAATCGAGGAAACTGGATCTATTCGACCGTCTATGGCAACATTTCTCTTTCTGGCATGGATAATCGTTTTCCTCTGTCTGAGCAAGGGTGTCAAGAGCTCGGGCAAAGTCGTATACTTCACCGCTCTCTTCCCGTACGTCGTCCTGGTGCGTTAACGACAGTCATTAATATCAGATTGAATTTAACAATATAGCTGGCAATAACTGGCATCCCATCAGCTGCGTTTTAAATATCAAAGAATAATACGGGCAAAGAATCGCACTTTCGTCCAACGTCACGTAGTGTTCAAAGCACAACTTTCACTTGCTTGTACAAGAAGATTCAGCACGTTTTCATAAAATGCAAGCGTCTCTCCCGCAGGTAGCACTTTTCATTCGAGGTATTTTACTTCCTGGCGCCAGCGAGGGAATACTCTTCTACCTGACTCCCGACTGGAAGAGACTGATGTCTGCGAAAGTGTGGGGAGACGCCGCCGTGCAGATCTTCTTTGCCCTTAGTCCAGCCTGGGGTGGCTTGATTACACTGAGCTCGTACAACAAGTTCACCAACAACTGCTACAAGGATTCTCTGATCGTTGCAATCAGCAACATCGGGACGTCTTTCTTCGCAGGCTTGGTCATCTTCTCGGTGATCGGCTTCCTCGCTCATGAGCTTGACGTACCAGTGGCATCGGTGGTGGATCAAGGCGCTGGTTTGGCTTTCATCGTTTATCCGGAGGTGATCTTTAACTATCATTTGAAGCTTGTGAGAGCTTCTCGATCCTTTTTGCGTTTCAGTATTTTTCGAAAATTAGATTTAACTTGCTGATATGAGAAAAAAATAAATTACGGAGAAATAAATAAAATAATGAGAAATAAATAAAATAAAAGATTTAAATAAGAGAGAATTAATAATAAATATATATATTTTAATAAATAATATATATTTTATTAAACATAGTAAACAGCATCCAAATTTGTGTGCTAGAGTTTACGTGGAAATTCAAGACAGTGATGTGAAAGTCTTTTAGGATTACCGAGGAGTAATCTTGGCGTGACTATTGGTAGGTCGTGGCTCGTTTGCCGGTCGCACCCGTCTGGTCGCTGCTCTTCTTCATCATGCTACTCACATTGGGTCTCGATTCTCAATTCGCTCTCATGGAAACGGTGACCACGGCGATACTCGACGGCATCCCCGCGCTGAGAAGTTACAAAATCTGGGTTGTTCTGGGAGTTGCGGTGGTCGGCTACGCCGGTGGCATCATTTTCACCACTAACGTAAGTTTCAAATCAAATCATCTCTTTTCGAAAGAAATCGAAGAAATTTGGACAGCTCAATTTTTAGAATTCGCATTCGAGAATAGCGGAAAAGAACCTAAACTATATTTCAGGATATATGAAGCGCTTATTTCGAAAGTTGTACAAGTCCACTTTCGTTACTCGCTTGTTCTCTATTTTTTTTTCTTTTCTATATTTCTTCTTTATTCTTTGGACACCATTTTCGAGATAAATGTTTCATATATCGGTTGTAACATAATCCTTCAAAAATTTGATCTTTCAATTGGTATTTTCTCCTCGGTGTATTGTTGTAACGATTATCCTGCTTTTCCACAGGCCGGCATGTACTGGCTACAGCTGATGGATAAGTACGCGGCCAACTGGTCGGTTTTGTTGATTGCCATAAGCGAGTGCATTTTAGTGGCGTGGGTGTACGGAGCGAATCGATTTCTGGACGATGTTCAACAGATGATCGGACCTCGCGGCCGTTTCTGGCGATTCTTCTGGACATGGATGTGGAAGGTTATCACACCCGCTGCACTGTTCTTTATTCTCTGTTTCAACTGGGTGGAATACGAGCCGCTCAAATACGGGACTTACATCTATCCGAAATGGGCAGACGTGTTAGGCTGGGTTATTAGTATGGTTCCTGTTTTAGTCATCGTCGGATTAGCTATAGTAAGTTTCAGCATTTTCTTAAACGTTATAGTTTTGTGTATTTTAATTTATAACATTTATTGTTTTCGAAATAAAACTTCGAAAGAAAAGTTCTGTTGAAACCTTTTTTTTTTTGAAATTCAGAATCAACTGAAAAAACATCGTCGACGATCATCCTACGACGACGATGACGAGGATGATGAGGACGACGACGATGCCGATGATTTAGATAACGGTAGTCCTTGTCAAAGAAGAAACAAAGGAAAAGGTAAAGGGAAAGATAAAAACGTGTGGGATCGTGTGAAGATTCTGCTGCAACCAACATCTAATTGGGGTCCAGCGTCAAGAAATTCTTTGACACCTTCTAGAACTCTGGCTACACCTTCACCAGGTGACGAATCTTCCGTTACTTTGAAAGAGACAAAGTATTAAACAATAGATGATTGAATAAATTGCAATGTTGTTCATTGTTTTGCAGGGTGTACTGCATATGACTCAGTACAAAACACGATCGTCTTGGTGAACGGACAACCGATGATGGTGCAACAATCGTCCAACGCCATCGCCATTTCACAGAAACTTCCTGGGCCGTCGATTCTCAAGAATTCCAGCAAAACTGACCTGATTACCTCGCAGCAAGTGTGACACGATGTTCGATTTATGTCGAACGACGAATCCTCAGAGGAATCGAACCAAAGATAGATGTAAAATGAATCTATCCTTGGTACGAACATATTTTCAAAGGCGCAAGTCACGAAATAAAGAAAATACTTTATCGTCACTTGATTAGATTTTCCGCGTGAAATTTTGGGTCTCTGACTTTCATAAATTATTCTATCGACAGTTACATAAATTTGGTTTGATTTTGTTCCCATTACCGATTGCTCAAGAAAAAGTAAAAAATGAGTCTGCCATCAACTAGTGCAGTGTACTTAGAAGTCCATTGTTTTCTTTTACAATATACTATTTAAGATTGCAAGATTTTTATAAAAGACGGGCTGGAAATATTCAGAGATTTTAATGAGCTTTGGATATATCGTAAAAGAAAAACCAAAAATAAGATACATGTATCTTTTTATAAGTAAAGATATGAGAAAAGACACATGTATAAGAAATACGTTTTCTTTAATTTTTGGTTTTCTACAATATATCACAAGACTTGTTGCATGCAAGATCGGTGAAGTACGCTTTCAGAATTTCCTTGTGTAAGTGTACCACTGCGTTCTTCCATATTGATCAAACCGCCCGACATTAATGGTAATGTAATAATAGTGTGTGTACTTTAATTAAATGTTAATATTAGGATCCTAATGGCCACAGAATGTTACAGATTGGTCTATTTAAAATTGTTGGTAATTGAAAGGAATTGAAAGAGAATTACGGGAAACAGTACGAGCAGTATTATGTTTACTCAAGCGCGATGATATCTCATCCGTATCCTCGAAATATTATATGGAATATTAATAATTGTTTCGCAATAGGCAAATATTTATTTTTGAAAATTGTTAATTATTTTTATTACTATGAAAAAAGGTAGAAAGTTATATAGATCATTATTCGTGAAAAAAAAAGATATAGATATATAACAGATAAGTTTAGTAAAAAAAGAAAGGGAGTTTATAGCGATAGAAAAACGGATAAACTGAAGGCGAAGAAGCCAAGTTAAATGCAAAGTATATTAATCTCTTGCAGTAAATTTCATTGGAAGTCTTCAATGTTACTAATATCGTAGTGATGGAACTAGTCTGATGATTTAATCAGTATTAAATATTATCCGCAAGTATTAAGTTATACAGTTATCATAAAATAAACAGTCAATGGTATCGGTTATTCATTGATATCTTACAATTGATACAACTATCAAATATTGCACTAATCAAAATAATATATATTAGAGTAAGATTAATTTAATATATTTTCATTTTTTTCTCTCTATCTTTTTCTCTCTTGTAGAAGTTTCTCTGCAAAGGTACTTGATAGCAAAGCAAACATACATGATTTTATGTTTTAGATAATTGATACTTATCGATATCAATTCTTAAAACAATCGAGCAAAATAAGAAATATCAATAAATCTTAAATGAAAGTAAACATACTCTAGAAAGTATTGATATAAATCAATAGTAAACACAAAGATATCGATATTATTGACTTATACTATATAATCTTAGTTCCATCACTACGATACGAGCTTTTTTGACGTGTGTAAAGACTTTCATTGAATAGATTACGTATATTGAGTATGTGTAACAAATTAAATTAAATCGAAAGAGGTTAGACGCAGCAAATTAAGAAACACACTTATAATGAATGGGTTTGTGGAATTGAATAGTTTAGAATATTTCTACGAACGTGTATACGTAGTAGTCAATAACTGGAGAAATCGCGATTTCTTTTTTTTTGTATTACGAAGTACTTCTCAAATAACATTACGTGTGATAATCCAACAGAATATTTTATCTCAATCTAACGCAATTACGATTCAAAAACTACCAATGCCTTGACAATTCTTTCAAAAAAGAAAAAGAAATTTCCGATCCCACGTAAGTCGGAGAATACGCAAACAAAGAGAGTGGCCTTAGTTTTGAAAGAGTTTGCAGTGTATACACATACGACTATTATTCAAAGCGTGTCTTGTTCGTGGAATAGCCTTCACTGTTTAAACCTGTATCACACGTATGACACGCCGTATATGGCTCAAATTAGTTTTCTAATCTTCGTTGGTATTTTCTCTGTGATTGAGACATCTTCTCGCACAGAGAAAAATTGGGCACGTCAAGATTCCTACCTCACTTGAGTCTGACAAACCGAGCGAACTACAAGACGCTTAACGTCATCTGTGAATTAACAGTAGACGAATCAGATATCAAAAGCCTTCGTCGGCGACTGATAAGATTAAAAATAATTCAAAAAAGTTCCAAATATCTCTTATAAAAAGTTTTCGTAGCGAAGAGCGAAAGTAAAGACTTAAGTAACTGTTCAAACTGGAAATCAAAATCCGAGATAATCTCATCGAACTGCATTGAAAGTGAACGCGTCATGATCACATCATGATCACAGAGAACGAGAAGAAAAGTGGAAGAGCGAGGAAATATGTATTTGACAAGTCGAATCCGCGAGTTCTCGGCCGAATACGTTACATCATGAAAGTGCCGTTAGATCTGCGATTGCTTTTCTCTCGGGCGATTTCCCACCAAGCCAGTTAAATGTTCAATAATTTTAATGTTCATAGACTACACAAGTGTTACCTAATGTGTGGCGCGGTCTCATCAAAGATTGTATAAAAATATATAGCTCGCCGTGCAGAATAATGATAATTGATATAATGTTAGTCACTGGCTCACATGCCGGCCAAGTCAAATGGTTGACTGTCCTAACAATAAGTAGAATTAAGGGCAGTGACGTATCGCAAACTAGTAACAGCACGATGGTAATGCGGCAGTTAACAATAGCGATTTTATTGTATATCTGCTCGAGAGTCTCAAATTGTTTCTCTAAATGAATCCTCGTGTGGAAGAGATTTGTTGCTTCGCATCTTAAATTTCGATTGGCATCCTACGATTCCTTGCAAAAATGAATTCTGAAAAACGAGCTGCGGTAAAATTTTTTTTTTCAAATCGTTAATTTACAGATCGACGATCAACTTGGATTATTAACGATGATAGTTGCTAATTAAAGGAGTTCATAACTTTGCAAATGGATAGCTTGTTAATTCGTCTTACACAGAAGAATAAACGCGTGTGTAAATTTAAACGTAAAAATTGAACATACTTTCCGTATTGTGTCCAATTGATGTCGCAATTAAAAGTAATAAACTTACAAACGATTGTGTTAGCTATAATTGTTCCAAGCTTTTATATAATGCTAACTGCAGTTACCGTGTGATGTTACAGTCCCGACGTCACTACGAGCAACCAGTAGAGCGAACAGTACAAAGTAACGTGTCCTAGTGTGTAATAATATAATAAGAAACAGGAGTTTCCTCTTTAGGGAAGCTTCTTTTCTTAATAGTAGGAAAAAGAGTAGGAAGAAGGAGCTTCTACTTAAAGTATTACGAGGGGTTGGATTCACAAAGGGAGAAACGCATTTTCCCGAACATACGTACAGCAAATTCGGTTAGATTATATACATCGTCAGAATAAGAAGCAGTTTTATTGTATAGAACCGACGTACTGATGTTTTAACGTAGAACAAATGAACATGCTGAACGCTATACAGTCAAGACACAATAATGCCTTGAGTGAACAAACACGTATACATACACACAAACACGCACGCACAAGCATACACTCATTACAGAATTAGGAAAGTCTCAGCAGAGAGAGAGAAAGACAGAAATAAAAATAACTATATCATATATACGTCCTAAATAGATAAACGAGGATGTATGCGTGTGTGTTTACATATTGTTGCATAATCTTAAGTAGTCCTCGTGCAAATAAAAAAGAAGAAAGGGCTGGACCCAAAAATTATTAGTTCAACGATAATTGAAGAACATTGATTGCGTGTGTGAATAAGAGTCTATAAATAAAATACAGATGATATGTACGAGGTATAAAAATACCAAATAAATACGTTGTGTTATGTTATATATGTACATTGCATTATGAAAAAAAAAATATATATATATATATATCGGAGGCATCAACAAAAACGTATGTACGCGTGTGTGTACGCGCATATGTAACTTTATAATGTGTAATAAATGTATATGAGATGCGTGTGTAATCAATAAAGTGTTGGTATACATGATTAACAATATGCTGCCTATATATTTTGGTTTTCGCCAGTGACTAATTTCTGAGAGACAAAATGAAATTTTACAAATTAATGAAAATTTAGGATTTTCGAGATATGAAACAAGTCCGTACAAATTGATCTACTAATTAAAGAAAGACGTTGCTTTAGTATTAGCAAACATTATTTAACATATAAAGAACACATTATAGATATATTAAAGCTTCTGAAGTATTCAATTTTGTGCATGGTTTATTCTCAATTGGACTGGATAATCGCACGGGTTTCTTTACAATCACTACCAAAATTATTGTAAAGAATACAAGTGTACCTTGTTTCTGAAGCAACTCTCGTGTCACCTCGACGAGCTTGAATGGAAACTCCAGCGTAATATCTTAATCATTATCCGAGGGTGGTCCGAAAATAACTCTACACTTTGAGACTGCTCCGAGGACTGGTTTCACGAGTATCAGGAAGCCCGCGATGAACAACGAGGCGAAAGTCAGACTTCTTCCTGTGACGGTCCCAGGCCACCAGTGAGTGTAGGTTCCATTGATGAGGGTAGCCAGTAGAAGAATGAGCACTGCGGTACCTCCTAAAGCGTGCGTGCTCTTGAAGAGTATCGGTCTTTCGCGCGGATACAACCATGTGATGTTTTTAGTCGCGATCCCGAAAACCGCGGTCAAAACGGATAATATAATCGTTACTAGACCCAACTGCGAATGAGTCGTTGCGAAATGGGACCCATTGAACCTGATCTTGTTGACGATAATGATAATCAGACCGATCCCTACTAGGGACAAGCCTATCGTGTGTAGGATCCAGTGTATCGTCACCCTGTTACGCTTGGGTAACTTCGATGCGATGTACGCCTCGCCGGAGACGCTGAAGACAGCTTCCGTGATTAGAAGACCGACCTTCGTCACGAGATAAAGAAATATAACATATTATCAAATTGCATTGGAAATTGGATCTGAAACGACTTTTGTTTTATCGATAAATGAAGTAACGTAATGTTGTAATAGTAACCGTAAATATTATCAAATTTTATCAATACAATATTATCTACGAGGATTCTATTAGCTTTGATCTTTGTGATTTGATCTTGTGAATTGAGAATTTTCATAAAAGAGAGAGCTATACGTTTGTGAGTTATTTTGTCCGTTCGATTCTTTGCTTACCCCGAGAGACATGCAAATCGGATGCCAAGAGAAGAAACTGTACTTGCTGAAAGCGAGTACCAAGATATATATCACAGGAGCCACAAGAAGGAAATGCGTTAATACCGAGAAAGCGAGCGTTATGACGCTAGGGGGTCCTTTGTTGCTTGACGCCTCGGTTTTCATGTCGAGGAGGAAACGAAAAAGTCTCTTTGGCACCTAAGAAAAGAAAGAATTATGTTTATTAACAATATCGAGTCGAGACATGAGCCAAGAAGTCGTATAGAGATATTTGTCAGGGAGGAAAAGGAAAACGACGGTAATTTCTGATAGAATTAAAATTAAGTAAACACAGAGAATTGCGTATGAAGATTGAAACTCAAACGAACACAATGAGACATTTAACATTCGACGAAATAATGATTCATCAAAGCTGTTAGTTTGAGAGAAATGTGTCGATCCGATACCGCTCGTCAGCGTGAAGATCTACGGAGGCCGTATGTATCTTTTTATGTAATTCCTCGTAATTACTGCGTGGCTTCAGATGCGTGATGCGTGATTCATCCTTAATTGTGGGGCACGTTTTCTCACGTCTTCGAGCATACACTTATCGTCTACTTCTGCTCTCTTAATTTGTTATGATTGATCTTTATATACATACACGAATATATGTACGTGACATTTCACACATGAAATGGAACATGGTGCTTAGCTGTACGTATTCACAGGTGATAACGAATCTCTTTATCGATTGTACGTGCGAAGATAACGCAACTAATTCCGGAGCATGACAATGAGCTGAGGATTTGTAGACTTAATGAGAGTGTCGAGCAACTCTCGACTGTATCTCAAATTCATATATTGCAACATGATTTTAAAATAATACTATTATACTATAATAATATTAGCATATTTATTGTGCCGGTTTATATGATTTTTTTATACGTTTGCAGATTAACAAATCAAGAAATTTGTATCATACGCTTACAGGGAATATTATTGTTAGCTAAAAATAAGTGGTGAACTAAATAATCGGTATTGAGCTAAGCAAAATCATGGTTTTAGTTAAGTAACTGAAACCAAGTCTTCAGTACAGCGCATTTCGTTAACAGCTTAGTAATCGCCGATAAGAAGTGCACGTTGAGTAACAACACGACGCAAAAATACTACACTGTCGTAATCGCGGAATATGGGACTTGCAATGTTTTTACATTCTGGATACTGCGCAAATATTTAAATTAAGATGATAATCGGAAGGAGAGTTCCACAGGCCCGTAAATTTTTTTCCCTGAATGTCGGAGAATGGTTTATTAAATTGTTTGGACAATTTAACCAATCAACCATTCATCTGAAGTTGATAAAAGATATTTCATTAATTAAAGCAATATTACGAAAGGAAAAGAAATTATTACTTGTTTATAGAATTGGTTTTTGACATTTTTATTATATTTTCTTGTTAGAAATGAATAAAATTTAACAGCGTGAAATATAAAGGATTGTTCATTAAGAATTCTTCATAAGAGTTCTTAACTTGTCTTTAAAAGTCATTTTGATGGAATAAAAAAATAAAAAAATACAAAGACAGAGAGTAGCCATATTAAATTACTGATACTGACTATGACGGCGTATATTACTTCTGATTTATAGCGTGTTACCTTGCTCGGCACTATAAACCGCAAAGTGACATACTTTTCAAACATTTACACTTTCTCGGGATGGTGCAGAATTCTATCTTATACAATACTCAGCGAAGTTGTAATATAAATGAAATTACTAAATGAAATTACGAATGAAAATATACTTTATACATTAAACAATGTATTACAATTATATTTTTTAACAATAAACAATTTTGTGACAAATAAAAAGTGAACGAATCAACTCAAATAACTTCTATAATATCACACAATCACAGCATACACATATCTAAATACACTTTGTGTCTTAGCTCGAAGAACCGAGAAGCTATAACGTGTAAAAAAACAAAATTCAAAAGCACGATGCATCTCTCTCTTGTCTTCGTTGAAGTTTAATTAAACAATTTAAAGCTTATTTTATTTGAATATAATTTTATTCCAATGGCTATTCTCTCGACAGTTACCTTATCTTTAATATTAAAGATTTTTAAAATTAAATCTTGAATAAAAATTCTATCAATTTGAGATTCACACGAAACTAAAAGAAGAATGATATTATATTATCTATCTGCACTTGTCATTGTTATTCGTAGAAAACTCTTAATTTTCAATTATTTAAAACTCAGGAATCATTAAAACTACGAAATTGATTTGGAAATATGCAGAAAGACTGTGCTGGCTACTAAAACATTTTAACTTAATTATATTATTATTCACCATAATTTTCGAAATGAGATAGAAGATGATTTTGCGTCACACCGAATATTTTTACGAAGAGACTGTCACATGAATATATCTCTTCGACTCACCGCGAGCACTGCTCGACTGCTACACCATAAAATCTTCGCTGGCCTTAAAGAGGAAAACGACGTCGAAGGAAAAAAAAGACTGACAAAAAGGAAGATTCAACTGGCACCCACTCTCTCAAGAGATCTATCAACGAAAATAAATCAAGCACACAAGCGCGCAACGGCGTTCGTGACACGACTGAGCAGCATGAACATGGCGATCTAGGTTGTGGATCCGTCGATCATTATCGTAGCGTCGGTGGCCGATGAGGAAACATCGTTATGTTTGCGGTCGGCCTTGTAATGTTGGACTCAGTGTTGCCAAATCATTGCAATCAAATTTCTTTATGAAGATCAGAATTTCTCTTATCCACTAGGATAAAAACTAAAAGAAAAAAATTTTCGCAAAAGTTTTATTCCTAAACCTCTCGATCAGAATTTCATGCTGAAAAAATAAATAAATTATGAATGAAATGTGTTGTCTTCTTGCAACTGTTACTTATTATTATAACAGTAGAATGCAATTGTGTAGAAGTTGCCGAGTAATACAATAAATTATTTAATAAATTAAAGTTAGACGAGCGATATTTCAGAGGTGAAGAAAAAAATTTTTTGAGTAGCGGAAAGTACATAGAAATCAGAAATACGCAATGAAGAGAAATAATGATGATAATGAAGATAATGAAATCATGCTGTGTAGGAAAGTGTATAAGAGAAGAAAAATCATGGAAAATTTTGCGAGTCAAGGGCCTGCAAGAAAGTCAATCCAACACTGCGGCCTTGGTGCAAGCGAACGCAACGTACGTTCCGAACATACAAGCGCTCGTAAGACGCAAGTATGCATGCTCCATAAATTCAAGAGGCATTCGCATAATGCAGTCAAAGAAACTAAAGGAAAACCTACACTGGAAATATCTTACATAACTTATCGATATCTCTAACGTATCTCTAGCTACTTCTTTCGGAGTACAAAAGTTCGTTCCTCTCGTGAGTCTTTTGCGCGTGATTGAGAAAAAAAAGAAAATCAATTCCACTTGTCGCGTCAGTATTTAATAACGCATTAACGATTGAAATGATCTTATATATATATATATACGTAATTTATCCATATGAACGTTCTAGTGATGTGCTCGCACGTGCTCTTACTAAAGTCGTTCAAATCGTGGGCGAGAGCTGATTAAAAGAACACATGGTTTTCTTGATAACATATTGCTTCACTTACAAACACGGATATATTTTCATGCCAGTATATCAACTGAAACAAATTTCGCCTTTAATCTACAGCTATAAATAACTGTGATAAAAAGAAATCGTAATGACCGTCACGATAATACACTTTAATACAAATATGTATTGTATCGAAGAATGTTGTCACGATTACATGCTAAGAATTACAACGTTTGTTATTCATCATTTAATTAATAAACGATATAAATATTTTCTTGCCAACTTAGAAAAAAATACATATGTATAGTTCCCGTCAAAGTTAGCCGATGCATATCGATATTTCTTAAATTCGTCTCGTTCTCTCTGCACTGCAAGCACGAAGCATCCTTGCTGCTGTGAATATTGCCACCTTCGAGTGAGAGAAATTTAGACAAATGTTACGCTTTTTCTAATTTGTCACACTACGATTAGAAAGCAATCTGACAGATACGTGCAACGTCACGTGCACGTGCAGCGATGCATGATGTAGCGGTAGCGACAGCTGTTGTGTGTTGATCGCCGGTCGTCGTGACGACCCGATCGAGCAACACCTCGCGGCGTACCTCTTTGCAAGGCACTTGATGAAACTATCGAGTACACCGGTGCTCTTGATTTTGCACGTCGGAAAAAGTTACTCCGTTCGGAGTATGCGAACGGCGAAATGGTGGTCGCTGATAAACGTAGGTATTTGATAGTCTCCACGGCGGGACATTTTTTCAACGCGTCCGTGCGTCATGACGACGAGGACGTCGAGGATCGTGAGATCCTCGATCATTTCTTGGAGCAATCGTCGTGCAGGACCCTGTGTGCCAGACCGATCGAAGAGAATCAGGAACAAGTCCGATTGAAACTGAGCACGGAGCTGTCTGCTGGTAAAAACACGCTGGTCTTCTTCAAGGTATATAATAGGATATTCCTCGGCCAAAGAAAATATACGTCGACAACGAAGATAGACGAGAACAGAAAAGACGAATGTTTGTCTGCAACGTCGATGTGCATAGGGATGCTTCTCTATATGTCTCTCTTCGTTAAAGCTGATCTCAAATCATCCTCATGATCCGTAATCGTCGTCACGGAAACGTGAGACTTGTCCGCGCGCGACGACAGAAAATATTCTCTAGAAAGCCGCCGTGAAAATTGTCAAATTGCCGTTTACATTTACTGATGTTGCAAAAAACGTGCATGCAGGTGACAGCGGCTGCGGTCACTGAAGAGAACTTTCACGACGTAGTCCAGGTAGCTTCAATCGGCTGCGGGGACGGATCGGTGCTGATCGAAGGTCTCCGTCAAGTATGGGCGCCAACTCTCCGCTCGTCCGGATTAAGCGTATCGTACTTGAAGAAGCTGGAAGAGAAATTACTCAATTCCGGATTCTCGACCAGCGTCGCGGAGGAAGAAGAATTCTGGCGGAGAAGACGGGACGAGGTGAAGCGTTCACACGAGAAGACAGTTTGCGAGGAAGCAGCTAAGTCACTGAAGAATATTAGGGTCGAGCTCGAGAGTGCAGCTGTGTCAAGGTGATGAACCTCTTCAATTCTCATTACAACTTGACGTCGTGAAATTTTGGTTATCTTCATTTCTTCTGTTATTATCTTTTGCACAGAGATGGGCTGTTGGCTGTGGAAGAGGCTTGCGAGACCATTTCGGTGTTCGCGGATGATCTGTGGAAACTAGGAGGACCGGCTTATACAGAGGAACGGATGAAGTCGCTCCTCGATGTAATCGGTAACGAGATGGTCGAGTTGGTGCAGAATTATCTCGATGCGGTACGTCAACTCACGCCTTCGTTTCTGACGAAGCAAGCTAACGAGCAAAGGATTAAGCTACGATACATTGCATTTCTTCGTCGTGTTATCGCTCTTTCATTTCGAAACGCTCCCGACTTTCATCGCTTATATCATACTATTTCTCTATATATCATACTATTTCTCTATAACATCTGTTTAAAATACAAAGAGATTGATGCAAGATTTATCTATATATAGAGCAATCTACGAAATATTATTCTCTCCAGGTCGACGCAATCGATTCTCGTGCGAAGGACGAGACGATCGCGTTCGGGGCGACGGTATGCGAGAAATGGATAAATGCTACTCAGAAACTGACGGAGCTGTTCTGGCCGCATCACTCGCTTCATCCTTGGCGTGGGCCGGTCTTCGTGCCAGGGAGATGCTCGAAGCTTGGCAAAAGACTCAGGTAGGTCGCTATCCTTGCGAGAATCCGCTTGGGAATAATTAATGAACGTATTTGCGATCCTCAGGCAAACTTCCGAGTTGCGTGCACAGTATCGGCAATTGAGCAGACTTTTGACGTCGAGTGAAAGATCCGGACTCGGTATCGAGAAGTTGCTGCAAGTTTTGGACGACAGGAAAGGTATATATCGTTCTGTTCCAGATTTCGTACAGATTTCCTAACAAACAACTGACAAAATATTGCTCTTCGAGAATTAAAAGTGGTACGAGGAAAACCAAGACTCAATAAAGTAGCATTAGTGAGATTAGAAATGACAAGAATTTATGGGTTGCGATTTAGTCGCGCTGAGCGACGATGAACGTGACGACGAGTGGAATCGATTGAAACTGAAGATCGAAGAAGGCTTGGTGCCGGCTGAGGAACGCGTCGCTCAAAAGCTGAAGGATCACATCGCCGACGCTGACACTCCGAGTTCCTTGGTGACTGAATTCGAGAGATATAGCGAGCTGATGAAGAGGGAAGGCCTCAAAAGGGCTTTACGTGGAGAACGAGAGTCACTGCTCTCAGCATACCGCGATCTAATCGGTATTGCACACTTATACACGTAGACGGCGACATTTACTTTTGTTATCTCAAGTATAATTATCATGATAACTTGAATAATCATGATAACGTATCATATCATCATGACAATCTGAAAATATACGATTTTGGTAGTTTATGTTTGATTATTCGTGTTTTAATTTTTGGCGCTATTATGTTATATATTTTCTATAAATGTTGGGAATGTGAATCCGTACAATTCGATTTATTTTTTGCCGAAATTGCAGAGAGTCGCTCGGCTGGTCCCGACACGGAAAACCTCCTGGATACTCCCAAAGTGTTACAAGAAATTCAAGCTGCTCGATCCGCGGAAGTACGATTAGAAAGTTTGGCTAAATTAGGAAAAGAGTTGCTAGCTGATCTCCCGGGCTACGAAGATGTGGCAGCGCAATTATCGAACGCACTGGAAAATGTCGAAGAGAAGAAACGAGACTTGGTTGAGTCATGGGTAATATTTAATCACCCACTTTTATTTCCAATTCGATATTATATTTGATCCTTCTAAAATTCTGTATTAAATTTAAACGAAGAATCCTCAGCATATACAGTAGTAAGCAGATCACTCTACAGGTGAACAATACCAAGAACGAGATAGCCAAGAAAGAGTTAAGTCTGGGCACCGATTCGCCGGTGGTTGAACTTACCGGTACCAGCATGATGCGGGTGACCTATGACCCTCGACTGATGACCATGATCAGAGAAGCTAGAGCCTTGTCCGGCGAAGGAGTCGAGCTACCGAGGGAGATCAGAGAACTGGTGGACAGAGCTGGGTCCTTGGCCGGGCGAGCTAGAGCTCTTCAGCAGGTCGCTACCTTCCACAACACGATCGGTGATCGAATGGTGCCTTCTCAGAGACCACTCATGTTGACAGTAGCTCTCGAATTAGCGCGAGCCGTTCAGGAACAATCAGGTGTCGTATGGTCTGATCCTCACCTCGTCGACGTATACACCACTCGATTGAAGGAGTTGGTAAGAGATCGGAGTTTTTTTATTTTTTATTAAATCAAGATAGCTACGCGAGAATTAATGAATGTACGGTATATTTAATCTAATGACTTCCTCAGGTTACAAAGTTCGCTCGACAGAACTCGGAATTGATCTCGAAGCACTCCATGTTACGGGACTACGTGTCGAACCTGTTGAAAGGCGATGCTGTGCATCTCGTCGGGAATCAGAACATCTGGAAGGAGACGCTGACGAGCATGAGAGCGATCGTCGACGCGGTGGACGCGGAATACGGTAACGCAAAGGCTTGGAAGCTACACTGGGATCGACAGCTTCTGAAGGCGCTGGGTGTAGCATATAGGTGCGATAACAAGTGATCTCCAACAATCAGTTTGATATAATAATCTTATCACCCGAGGTTTTTTTAACAAAGATATTTTTATATTTGTATGTTTTACTCAGAAACTCTTTACCGTCCTTGTCGAGAAAGCTGCCTGAGCTTCGAGTAGAGCTCACTTTTCGCGATGGGTCCTTACAATGGAGACCACCTTTTGAGGACATTCGCGCCAAGTTATATTCCGGTATTCGCCGATCGCTTTCCATTCCGATCTACTTTAGGGGCGTAGGAGACGTCAGTGATGCGCACTTCGGCGATCTAGTGCCGAAGAACGCGTATCTCTTCAGCGGTGTGTACAAGCAGATTGAAATCGCCCTGTCCACCCTCGAATTGTTCAGGATCAAGTGGCTAAATTTAGCGACGCCCGCCAATATCGACGTGGGAGAACGGTAAATTAAATATCATATATCGTACTCGATCCTTGAAGGATCAATCACAAATTAGTCGCAAATTTATTTAAATGTCCAGATTGAAAGGCAAACCTCCTCAAGAGTGGGCGAGAGCTTTCAAGGAAGCCAAGCAATGGGCTCAAGAGGTAAATGTTGCATTTGTGAATTAGAAAAGAAGTTGCACAATGAAAAAGGACAAAGAGAAATTTACCGTTCTGATACTTGCTGACAGAATGGGAATTATACCTCGGGATGTGTCCTACGATTGTAGAAAATGTTTTTGCCTCTTTGCGGCACATCGCTCTGATTGAATGATTAGTTAAATTTTCGTTGAATTTTCGTAACATAGGTGGGAAAACTGCGAGGTAATGACGTGAAGATCCTGTGCATCTGCGTAGACACCGCGACGACGAGGAACGACTTAGAGACGGCGTCTCGTCGTTACTGGGAACGCCTGTGCTCCGACTTAAGGGCGGAAGCGTCTTCGCGGCTGGTGGCTATAGTGGATTTCCTGTCCTTCGCGTCCAAAGAGCTGGAACGCAGACCACGAGACGTGGAAGAGGTTGGGTTAGCTCATGAAGCACATGCTCGTATCGAGCAACAATCGGCAGGCATAGCTGAAGAGATGGAAGCCGTTGCTGTGCTCGCCAAAGTTATGGCTGCGTGGACCAGCGAGAAGCTCGACGGTAACGTTTAAATAAAAATTGCTCTCGTGCAATCTTATTTCTTCTTCTTCTTCCAGCTTCTCGCAGGTTGAAGACTAAAGATGCAGAGATTAATATCCTCGTTCATTCGTTAAGTTAACATGAAATCATTTTACTTTACCAGGCGTTAACGCAGCTCACGCCGCCTGGCAGGATTTGGGTGATCGCTTGGAAAAGCATAAAACCGTTATGGCACGTCTAGTGGAAGATGCCAAAGTGAACCTTCGTCACAAGGCGGTAGCGTTGAGGGACGAGAGAGAAAGGTGGCAGGCCAAGTGGTCTGCGAGGTCGGAAAACATGTCGCTCGACTGGCTTCTATCGATGAAGGAGCGTTGGATCAATCTAAATGAACAACTGGATTCTTTAAAAGCGGATTGCAAGAGAATAACTCTGGAGCTTGAAACTGTCTTGGGAGAAGACGACATTAATTTATCGCAGTTAGAACGAGAATTAGAAGCCGAGGAGTCGAATTATAGGTTTCTACATTTTCAATGAACGATTGTTCTCACCAAATTAAGCATTTATACAAAATTAGAAATATTCGACAAATACAGAATTTTTTTTAAATTGCACTTGAACACTTTCAGCATTAAATATAATTGTGTGCAGGTTCCAAGCCGAGTTTCTGGAAGAGCTGAAGAATCAGGAAATTGAGGAGTGGGCCGTAGCCAGGAGAAGACTACCGAGACTCCACGATTGGCTTGATTCATGGGAAAGCAAGATTCACTTACACGATAACACAGAAACCGACCTAACCTTCACCGGTAGAAAGATAAACGAGGTTCGATCTGCAATCGAATCTATTCAGTTGCTTCGGGGAGACGAGATCGCAGACGAGCATTGGACCGAGTTAATACCTATACTCGGTTTGAAAGTTGAGAATCCACGTGACATCACTTTGGGTCATTTGCTTAGAGCTAAGAAGGCATTAATAGAAAATGGGGATCGAATAAAAGTAAGAATACACAATTTTAAGATAGTAGAAATCGCTGAAAATATACTTTTGAAAATTGGTACGATTGATTCGAAATGCTGCGCCGTGTTTGATCATTCAGGAAATAACAAAACGAGCAGTCGCGGAATTAGGAATTCGACAAGCGTTAATGGACCTGGAGATCTGGGAAGGTACCGCAGCACTTCCGTTGCAAGAATCAACTGACAGCAAGAACATGACCATCCAACTTGTCGGAGATTATGGCAGTCTATTAGCAAAGACAGGTGCGATCAGATTCGTGTCACGTTATTTTTTAGAAATTATTATTTAACGAATAAGACTTGTCATTTCATGCACGACGTAATTTTTTTAATTAAAAAGAAAAACAATCGAATCGTTTGCAGAGGAACTGATACTTCTATTGGAAGGAGCAAAAGGTACGTCAGGACACGATAGGTTCGCGTCTCGAGTCGCACGTTGGGAGGCAGCTTTGACAGAACTCGAAGAGAGAATTAAGGTACTCAGTACTGTGCAGAGGAAGTGGATTTATCTGGATCCGGTCTACGGGAGTGGAGCAGCTCCCAACGATTCTGGACGATGGTCGAGAGCTGACAAGGAATTTAGGTTCGTGAGAACAACGGTATCGCGTAATTTATAAGATGATAAACTTATTAAATCTGTCCAGTTGGTTCTTTCTAATTATCTTATATTTAATTTCATAAATCTTATATTATTTATCTTCATAAATTTTTAGACATCTCATGGGAGATGTGTCACAAGATCCTAGAGTGCCATCCTTGAGACGTCTTCCGCTACCTGCCTTGATAAATTTGAAGGACCTGCTGGACAGATGTCAGAAAAGTCTGGATGAATTTTTAGAGGTGAGATCTGGTGACCGGAAAATTTTGGTGATATTTTATTCGAAGCATCGCAACGGTAAAAAAAGTGCAGTGAAAAATTCTTTTGACATTATACATTTTTAACATAATTTCGAAATTGTAGGAGAAACGAGCAACTTATCCGAGGTTGTACTTTCTCAGCGACGAAGATCTTCTCGAATTGGTATCAGCTAGGGGGAAAGGCTTGGAGGCTCATCTGCCGAAGTTGTATCACGGTATCGGTTCAGTAATAAAGGAGAATAATACATTAACAGCGATTGTGTCGCCAGAGGGAGAAACGTTGAAATTACCGGAAGCTGTCGATCTCACGGAATCTTTGCCGCGATGGCTAGATAATCTCGAGAAAGAAATGCAGAAGGCTCTCCGTCTTAGTTTAGAGAAATGTTTGAGCACTTCTACACCTGACCCGTCCATTTATCCCACTCAAGTAAGATTTATTATTACATTCTATCAAACATTGAACAATTTTAACTGATTTTCCGGGGACGATTGAAAAGCCAAATACCAAGATTGATGAGTTTTATTCCTTATGTAATACGCTTTATATTTTTATTTTCATCCCCGTATATAATACTAATAATAATAATTTGCAGGTATTGCTGCTTTCGGAACGAATACGATTCACCGAACGCTGCGAGCAAGCTTTAAAAGAGGGTCGTGCAGCCTTGCAAAAGCTTGTTGAATTTTTGGAGTCACAACGGGCGAGATATAGAGGTTTGGAAGACGCTGGTGACAAGCTAACTGCATTGAAAGCACGGGGTCTTCTTTTGGACACTGTTCACCATTTGCAAGTGGCCAGAACATTACTGAAGACCGTGATAACCGGCGAAAATACCGGCTGGATGTGGTACAAACAATTGAGGAGTTACAAGACCGTAAGCTCTGATTGTAACATGGACTGTTGAAATTATTATTATTCGACTATTAATTAATCAACAATTAATTTTCACGTTATCTCATACGTGACTTTGTTTTCAAGAATCAAGGTACGTACGTGATACGATGCGCTGGTGCGGAGTTACCTTACCGCTTCGAATACCAAGGAGCGTCCATCGGTTTGGTGAGGACTCCTTTGACGGAAAGGTGTTTCTTAGCTCTTACGCAAGCTATGAAGCTTGGATTAGGTGGGAGTCCAACGGGTCCCGCTGGAACTGGCAAAACCGAAAGCGTCAAAGCGTTAGCATCCGTTTTAGGTAGACTGGTTCTCGTTTTTAATTGCGATGAGGGTAAGAAAATTATCTTCCAATCACTTTGCAAGCATTTGATTAATTTAAATTCACTCTACGAACAGATTTATTAGATCTAAATACATGTTTTAAAATTAGATGATTCATTGGAATTTATTGGAATATTGTCGTAGGAATGGACACTGGCAGTATGAAGCGTATCTTAGGTGGATTGGCGCAGGCTGGTGCCTGGGGTTGCTTTGATGAGTTCAATCGTCTCGAAGAGGACACCCTGAGTGCGGTAGCGATGTTGGTGAGGCCTCTTCAGGAAGCAATACAGAACGGCTCGCCCGACATTCTGCTGGGCGATCAGAGAATCAAGCTGGATCCTCACTGTTGCATCTTCATCACGATGAATCCAGCCGGAAGCGAGTACGGAGGCCGGCGCAAACTACCGGACTCCTTGGCAAGACTTTTCCGACCAATTAACATGGCTCATCCGGACAAATCGGACATCGTTAGGACTCTGTTGGAGTGCGCCGGATTTTTAGAAGCTGCTACTCTTGGCAAACGGCTCGTCGAAGCTCTTGAAATCGCCGAAACTATACTTTCCGAGCAGCCGCATTACGACTGGGGTCTCAGATCGCTCAAATCCGTATTGGACGCGTTAGGTCCAGCTGCCGGTATCGACGAGACTACCAGGTACGTTTGTTCTCTTCTCTCAGGAGAGGCTATGTTTAAAAAAATGTTACACACAATCGTAGAATGTTCTGTTTTGGCTCGACAAAGTGGATTTTTCATTTTTTGTCAGGCTTCTCATTTCGATCAAAGCGTCCACCCTTCCGAAGTTGACAGAAACAGACACGATGAAATTCATGTCGTTGCTGAATGATCTCTTTCCGAACGTTAACCCTTCATTATCGGTCTCTACCGAGAGTGAAGACTTGGTCGCCGCGTTGTCGAAGATCTGCGAGACTCGAGGGTTGACGAAAGAGATCGTCAATCGATGCGTTCAACTAAACGATCTGTTAAGAAGCAGGACCGGTGTTGCTATAGTCGGTCCGCCCGGCAGCGGGAAAACGTCCATCAGGTCGTGCTTGGCCGAAGCGATGGCGAAAGTCGGCGAACCCGTACAGCAGATCATCGTTTATCCAGGTGCGGTACCGAAAAGCAGATTGTTGGGACACGTGAATCCACGGACAAGGTAAGTGTTGAGACATCGATCGCTCTTATGGTCTGATATTATTGAAATTAATTATTAAAATTACGTTTACGTGTATATTTAAATAGAGAATGGAAAGAGGGCGTTCTATCGAGCGCGATATCGTCTGCTGGAGACACTGTGACCTGGATAATCTTCAACGGAGACGTGGAGCCTGAATGGGCGGAAGCTCTAAACTCGGCTCTGGACGATAATCGACTACTGACATTACCGAATGGAATAGGAGTTCGTCTTGGTAGCGGCACAAGGTAGCACTTCGAATATTACTCAATTAATTGGTTAATCGAATGTTTCTACAACGACATGCGTAATGCACAATGGCGATATAATATACAATCGATTTTATTTATCTGGAATATATGTGTTATATACATGTTTGTAAAACAGGTTTATTTTCGAGACTCACAAGCTCGCTGGTGCCAGCCCGGCTACGGTTTCGCGGCTGGGCGTTCTGCATCTTGGATCAACGAGAGCGACGTTCTTGTTGGCGCCATGGCGAATAGAGCAACTTTCACCAACAGCTGCGGAAATTGCGAACGCTCATTTATGCTCATGCATGGACGAAACGCTGAAGATTAACGTCGACGAGTCGTCTGCATCTGGACTGATGGACGCCGCCTTGTGTCATCTTCGTAAGGCTCAAACGTTCGTACAAAGCACTCAAGTTCTTTTGCTCTCACTATGCAGTCAAGTCAAAGATCAAGAATCCAGAAATAATCTGGCGAAATTCATCTACGAATCGACCGATAGCTGGTAAGTGTTCGAAAATGCTGTCGATCTGTAATAATTTAAAACGTGTGACGAGAATTTTTATTTGTTGCGATTTAATTTTGTTGAAAATCACGGAATATTATAAATCTCATATCAATTACAATTCATTCCAAGATTTATAAATTATATAACTTTATCTTCGATTGGATTTTAATTGGAAAATAAAATATTTTTCTAAAAGCTTTCTAGAAATTTAAAGATTTAATTTAATTTTAAAGGTATTTAAAGGTATTTAATTTGTTACAATTTCTTTAGTAGTATATTAGGTTGACATTGCGTCAAAACTCTTAATTAATTAATCTTAATTAATTAACTCTTAATTAATTTGATAATTTAATTATCTGAGGTGTCCTGACCCACAAAAACCAAGCGCCGTTCTGTACGACAGTGAAACTGATCGGCTGGAACCCTTCAAAGATACATATGAGTCTATCGACAGCGATTACGGGCCTGTTTCGATTTCAGGTATAACGGAAATTTTCAGCATTATACAAATAAAGACAAAGCAAGAAGTCTTATTTATAATATCTCGCGTAGATCTTATTAGAAAAGCTGTAGCAGCCATTTTGCCGTGGATAGAAGACGGTCATCCGATTATGATTCGCGGACCTGAAGGCTGCGGAAAGAACACTCTAATCAATGCTGCATTGTGGACGATTAAAAATCATGACAATATGACTGTAGTGAGAGCATCTTCGCTTTACGGGTCCGATAATCTCGTGACTCGTCTGAAAAAGGCTTGTCTGCGCCTAGAGTCCTCTTCGCAGGGTAGAACGTACAAACCGAGAAGCGGAACTCGATTGCTTATCATCTTGGAAGACATGCATCTTGCCGCTAAAGATTTACAGGTATTAATTTCTTTTCTAATTTCTCAAGTTATGTAAAAGTCTCGTGATATGTTCGTGATAGTAACATCTTCAGTATTAATTGAACGAATGGAAAATCATCTTAAGCAATCTTTCTCAAACAAGATTTGTAAATTTGAAAACAAATCACACACAGACTGCTTTCAGGAGTTAGTAAGAGAGTTGCTTCAAGAGAAAGGATTCCTCGAGGAAGATCTTGAATTCTCTAAAGTGTCTTTAACGATCCTCTGTACCGCCGATGTGACTACTCGGTTGCATCCTAGGCTCGAAGCTTTATTTGCAACTTATTATCTAGAGCAAGTTACTTTTTCACATAAAAATATAATATTTTAAAACTTTCAGTAAGACTTTACGAGAACTTTTAAAATTTACTTACAACAGATATCCGAGTCAAAAGGATATTGCAGCGATCCTTGAGCTTCGCTTGAGAAACTCCTTGAAACAAGTTGACTTCATTATGGCGGAATCTTGGATCGCTCGAATGATGCCCAGCATTTTGGATGCTTTCCGATTTGCCTGTTCCTCTCAGGAATCGTCTATCACTTGGACTCTCAAGGACATTGTCTCTTGGGCAACACGCTTGAATTATTATCCTATTCCTGAAAGCGAGGCGGACATTACTCGTTACTTATTAGACATCGGGCATCGGCTTTTCCGTGCAAGGTGTTATTTTAATTTCTATGAAAAATCGCAAACAGTATAGTTTAATAAATTCAAGTTGAAGTTTCGATGAATTTTTTATTGCTCCGTTTTGCAAAAATAACTTTCATTTCTTTAGATTAACGCCCAAGGCACAGACACGGTGGGAGTCTCTGTTACTTTCAAAGGAGTCCGAGGTGAAGGATTTCACTAACGACTTATACGTGTGGAAGAATGCAAACGTCGGTCTGTATCCTTTGAGCGAAGAACAATGGCGCGAAGAGGTGATCAATGTAGCAGCTAGATGCGCTAGAGAAGGTCAAGAAGTGCAGGCACCAGTCTCGTCTTATCTCTTGGAAACCGTAGCTGGTAAATAACCTGATTAAATTATTTATTTTTTTAAATTGATTAAATTTTATATTTTTAAGCCAAAATGTTGATAAAAAAGTTCCGTACGATCGCTCGCTTTTTAAATCCACTTAGATTATCTCGGCACTTGCAATTGTTAATTATTTTTTACAGGACTCAGTTGGGCTGTAGGTTGCAATTTCCGAGGTATGATCCTCATCGGGCGACCAGGAGCGGGTAGAAGATCAGCAGTTAAACTGGCCGCAACCTTCTCTTCCCTTCGGCTGATTGACTCGGGACCTGGTATCGTATAATGAACTTTAAGCTAGGATCAGAAAAACGAGTTGAACATATTATTGTACCGTTACATTCTGTCAGAATTTTTATATCATATTTGTCAATGATTTCTGCAGACCGTGGTAGAGCAGCGATAAAAAGCTCCGTGCAAGCTGCAGGTATCGAGGGCCAGTCGACACTGCTCTTGCTAGAGGAATGCCACGCCAGGGAAGAGAGCTTGGCCGTGTTGATGAGCGCTATCGTATCCAAAGGGGAAGTTCCAGGTCTCTTCACGGCGGATGAACTCGACGCGCTGGTCGCACCATTGACCGATCTCGCCCGAAGAGAAGATTTCCAAGGAACACTGGAACACTACTTATATTATCGTACATATATTTCCTCAGTTCTTTTCTTTCTCTGCATCCAGATAACCACACAATGTAACGATCATATCAATAACGTTTTGCAGGTCTGCGTAAGTATCTTCGGATAGCAGTAATCTTGGACTCGGAAGAGATCGAATCGTCGCAATTGATGCATTTGGATCTTCTTCGACACTGCACGCTGCTTGGTTCCGGGCCTGGCCCTGGTGAATGGTGGTCTTGGGAGAACTCGTTGATCAAACTGGCGATTCAAGAAGGGACTCTGCAGCTGGATGAGCTCGAGGAGCTATCAGACGGCGCGAAAGTGATGATCGAGGCTCACCTGCAAGCACCTCGCCGTCAAAGGGCCCCGGCGAGGTTCTTAGCTCTGGTGCACACTTGGAAACACCTCCGCGATATATGGAGCAAGGAAGTTGAAGGGAAACTGCAGACTCTCGAAGCGGGTATCGGAAAGCTGAGAGAAGCCGGTGAACAGGTAGCCAAACTGGAAGATGAAGTATCGAGGCAGCGTCAGGAGCTTGAGGTTTGCATAATTTTCTTTTCTTCATTTCTATCTTCGAATTTGATTGATATGTCGGTCTTTTGTTTTATTTAAAAGTAAAAAACATTGAATAATTTACGGTATCATAATCATTCCGTCGTATTCCAGGTGGAGAAAGGAAGAGCCAATGCTGCTCTTGAGCAAATCACTGCAACAATGAGAGGAGCAACCAATCAAAGAGGTGAGATGACGAACTTGAAGACCAACACGGAACGAGAGAGCGTCGAACTCGCTCGACGTAAGGTATTCATTCATTCTTCTCGATTATTGTCTGTCATCTGGTGATATCGGCTGCAAAATATTCGTTAGATATTTAATTATCTCAAAATAATTATTTAAAAACATCAAAGTTACCATTTATATCGAATAGATTATTATGGTATTTATTGGAATAACGTCGGTACACGATGCATGTACAAAACGATGAAAATTGATTATGTTTAGGCGGATATAGAGAGCGAATTAGGAAAGGTTGAACCCCTGGTGGAACAAGCTGCTCAAGCAGTAGCTGGCATAAGTGCCGACGCTTTGGCTGAGGTTCGCTCACTGAGAGCACCTCCAGCACCAGTGAGAGACGTGCTCGAGGGCGTTCTTCGGCTAATGGGCATAAAGGACACGTCTTGGAACAGCATGAAGACTTTCCTCGCGAAGCGAGGCATTAAAGACGAGATCAGGCAATGATCGATCTGATTCATTTGCGCGATTAAAATGTTGTCCTTTCCAAATTACACAGTCAATCGTTCACACACTAACATTCCTCTGTTTTTTTTGTAATTCACAGAAATTGGGATGCGAGGCGTAGCACGTCCACCAGCTTGGAAGCGGTCGCCAAGCTGGTGAAGGAACGTCCGGATAGTTTCGAGGAGAAAACGGCCAAGAGAGCGTCGGTAGCGGCTGCTCCTCTGGCAGCTTGGGTGTTGGCAAATCTTCAATATGGTCAAATAGTACAGCAAGTCGCTCCTCTGGAACGGGAACAGCGACAGTTAGCTGAGTACGTGACTCCAGTCGTGACGAAACTTTTACTAAATTCTTAAGTGAAAGAAAGACTATATTTTATTTATTTAACAATCTCTTTTTCAAGATTAAAATTTTCTTGAATACATTTTGTATTTTATCATCTTTATCAATCACATGCCTTTTATATGATATTTATAGTACAAGTTTTGTATAATTTTCAAGGCGATTAGCGGCGGCCGAGGCGCAATTAGGGAAATTGGCCGCCGGACTAAACACAGTAGAGAGCCGCGTGGCGCAGCTGCAGAAAGAACTTGCGGAACACACGAGGGGTGCAGCTGAACTACAATTGCGAACCGAATCCACCGAGGCCAGTCTATCGACAGCTCGAGCTCTCTTGCAGAAGCTTGATACTGAGCATCGCGATTGGGAAACTCAATTCCAGGAATTAACAGACAGGAAGGAAAGATTAGATGTCGAAGCGGCTAATGCGGCGGCTCTACTCGTGTATCAAGTAAATATATTTCTTTTTAGACATTTTAAAAACTAATAAATTCTTTCGTAAAACATGCATAATAAATAAGTTTCTTAGAAAATTACATTAATAATTTATCATAATATAAATAAGAGATTGTTTCTTGAGCTTTAATACTTATAACTTGCGTAGGATCCTGAAAAGGATGATAATTGGAAGAGATCGGCTATGAAATTGTTGGCAACCGAACGAGAGAGATTATTATGGAGGGCACAGGGATTACCGGCGGATACGAGCAGCTTGGTTGCAGCCTCTCGCGTTTTGAAAGGTCCCTTGGTGCCCATTTTCCTCGATCCTTCGGGCGTAACGGTATCCTGGATTAAGCGCAGCTTTGGCTCCAGACTCGAGGTCACGCAACCTGAAAGCCCCAAGTTCCTCACGGCTTTGGAACTAGCGGTGCGCTTCGGGAAACCTCTTCTGGTCGAAGAACTGGTCGATTTTCCGTCGACATTACTGCCCCTTCTTCGCCGAAGGCCTCTCAGGCTGGGTGATCGTGTCCTGCCGGCTCAACAAGGCTTCGAACTTTTTTTAGCTACCAGGAAGGATAGATTGGAAGATATTCCAAAGGAAGCTGATGCTGTATTATGCGAGATCACGCTTGGCACTGGTACAAAAAGCTTGGCGGAGAGATTCGTGGAAAAGGTAGCGTGACGAAATAATTTCTACTATATATATAAAATATTTTCTTTTGTCGCGTCTCTCATACAACTTAACCACGTTCGATTTGTACTTCATTCACGTTCAAATAATTAACGATTCTGTTCTTTAAGCTCCTATTGAACGAGACTCCAGAGCTCGAAGTGCAAAGGAGAGAAGCTTTGGAGAGGGAGGAAAAATTGTCCGGAGAACGAGACGCTGCCAGGTTGGATCTACTAAGTCAGCTGGCTACAGCCAGAGGCCAGGATCTTTTGCAAGAATCTCAGGGACAAAGGCAAGGAGGACTTCTGTCTTCGCTGGAAGCGACGCAATCCAAGGCGAAGGAGATAGCCCTTGCTCTCGAGGAAAGCAGACAAAGTTTGAAAGAAGTCACGAGGTACATTGACGACATCTGAAGTTGTAACTTTGGAATGTTAGGCTCTGATTAGAAACGTTGACCTGAAAAATTTATCGTCGTTTCTTTCTTCTTAGACGAGCCGAAGATCACGAGAAGTTTGCGCAGTTTGCCGCTAAGGTTTACGAGATTGTCAGCGAACTGACGCTTCTCAGCTCTTTATACGTTATTTCTACAGAAGCTTATACGAACATCTGTTTAAAGGCCGTGCAGGGTGATTATAATGCAGCAAGTGAAGATAGGGAGAAAAGAAAGTCACAGAGCGTAATGGAGAAGCGGTATGTATATTTAATTATAACTGTGTGATAATTGATACGATATTATTGTGCAATCAATCATATCGCGTTCCAGCTTGATAACTTTAACATTCCATCATTGCGCCAAGGCGATCTACAGAAAGCACAGGCTTCCTTTGGCTTTGCATATGGCATTATCCTTAAATCCAGTTTCGGACGCTGAAAGGAATCTTTTGTTCGACAACGGTGCTATCAACAATAGCGACAATTCGGGTCTGGAGTTGCTCGACTGGGTGCCGGATGAACGACGTGGAGCTGTGCAAGCCTTGAGTTCTTCTTTACCTGAGGTACGTAGCGAAATGCTTGGGATCGGGGTGTGTTGGATCGTTCGGTAAGACTGCACCACCTTCGGGAAATCCAAACATTGAAATTTCGTTGACGTCCGAATTGTTTCTTTTTGTGAAAAAGGTTGCCGTTAGAATGAGATCTTCCTGGCTAAAAGATATCTCCAACATTTACGCAGACAATGGACTCAGCGCCTTCCAAAAAGTCTTAGTCGTGAAGGCTCTGCGACCCGACTACTTGCACACTGCTCTTTCGAAACTGGCTGCAAGTCAATTAGGTATCACGACATATTTAGTATAATATTAATGCATCAAGGAATCTTAACTTTGGGATCTTACGGAAGGTGTGAAGAATCTGGCACCACCCTTGTGGACATTGGGTTCTGTAGCTCAGGAGAAGGAAGCTTCGTACCCTGTGTTGTTGCTCTTATCGCCCGGCGCCGATCCTGGACCCGAATTGAGTGCACTCGCTGCGAAACACGCTTCATCATCTGGATTTACCGAAATTTCTCTGGGTCAAGGACACATTACTCAGGCCGAATCGGCACTGGAGGCAGCATGCAGGTGAAATGCCGCTACTCGAGTGAAATTAGAAACGATGACCTCTTCATTATCACAGCCGTATGCAATCATATGTTTGCCATTGCTTCGCAGGAATGGCAGCTGGATATTATTGAGCAACTTGCAGCTCGCTCTAAACTGGTTACCGCGATTGGAAAGCCTGCTTCGTTCACCGATGTGCACTGCGAGCAAAAGTCCTTCCACGAGGATTTGGCTGTCCACCGAAGAGTGTTCGGGATTTTATCCGGGCTTAGCGGCACTCTGTCTAAAACTGGCGTATGAACCTCCCGAGGGTGTGAAGAGGAACATGAAGAAGTCGCTCCAGCAGCTTCGACAAGCGCAACCCAACGACGACGGTACGGTCGCTGTGATGGTTCTCTCTTGGCTGCATGCGACATTGCAAGAACGACGAAATTTCGTTCCTCAAGCTTGGATCAGACCGTACGAGTGGAACGACTCGGATCTCGAAGCAGCATACGAATTGGTGATTAAGGAAATGGTGAACGAAAAACGATCGCAGCAAGGTATGAATTTTTATATTCTTTCAATTCTTCTTGATTTTAATTCTTTTCTAATTCTCTAATTTCTCTTCAATTCGTGACACTTGTTAATAATGGTTCATTGAGAGTAGCAAAACTTTACAAAGGAAAGGAGAATCATCCTTTTCAATAGTTATATATATATATACAATATAAATTTTTTCAATATATATATGAATTTAATTCACGATTTAATTTACATATTATTTTATAATTTACGTGTAAAATTTTCGATACCAACAGGTGACTGGCAAGTAGGCCGAGGTTTACTCGACGTCGCAGTTTACGGCGGTCGTCTTCAGGATGACTACGACGCGAGAGCGTTACGTTCGATGATACGTGACGCATGGTCTAAAGACATCTTCGAAGGTCGCAGGAAACTGGGAGGAGTGTTGAAAATAACCGACGTGACTCTTATCGATCCGATCAAATCGTTGGATAACCTGGATGATTCTGATTCACCAAAGGAATACTTCGGCCTTCCGGCTAATGCCCACAGGGCATGGGAAAGAGCTGCTGCGGAGGAAGCCTTGACTTATCTCAAAGGTACTTAAACTTTAGATGAGAGTCCAAGTAATTAATATTTTACTTCCCATTTCTTCTATACTATCTATACACTTAGCTTCTCAAGTTTTCTTAATTAATGCATCTTTCGAATTATTTCCCAGGCATTTTAATGAAACACCTCAGCGGCAACGAGGGAAGCAGTAAAGTAGAAAAACCAAGAGTTCAACAGGACCTAAAGGAAATCATCGACCGACAATGTTCGTCGACGTTTACGTATGAAACAGGTACTGTACGTGAAAACAAGAGAGATCCATTGCAGGACTTCTTCGTGGACGAGATTGATCATATGAAAAAATTATTGAACGTTATACGGGCGGATATGAACGCATTATCTTTCGAAGATAGCGAGGTGAGACATACTGTTCTTTATTTAATTTGAAATTATACCTTCATCTATGTATTCTAATAAATATCTCATTCTAATAAATATTATAATTTTTTAATCATCAATTAGAATTATATCTGCTTGTGGCAGTATTACTAAATTAACATTGTGATATCATTTTATTATAAAATTGGTTTTAACGACAATTTTTTTAATTGTCACTTGCAATTTTACAGACTCCCAAGCACTGGCTTACGGAATGGCGAGCGGGGCCGAAGAATGCTGTTCAATTTGTCAAGGCACTTTTGTCCAAGTACGAAGCGCTGAAAACCTCACCGATGAGTATACCACGACGAGTCGATCTGTCTCAATTGTCTCGACCACGTGCTCTTCTAACTGCACTGAAGCAATACACTGCGCGAGAAGTTGGTCATCCGCTGGAAATACTTCAGCTGCGTGCAAATTGGATCGAGAATCGCGCGAACAGAGACTGGAAGGTATCGCTTTCACTCGAAGGTCTACTTATATCAGGTAATTTTAACTGGAGAATTTTAATACGCGTCGGAAATTTGAGAAATATTTCGTTCCTTTTGGAGATTAATACGTAACAATTTTTTAAATTTTTTCAGGAGCTTCGATCGAAGAAGGTGTGTTGAGGGACTTGGACGCAAACTCGCCGGCAGTCGCGGTCGCTCCGACGTGTCAAGTGGCGTTCGTGCCCGACGAATATTCGGAAGATAAATCCGGCGATGATAATCCCCACGCCCTCGAAGACACGCATCGAAAAGATGATCTGAGCATACCGGTTTACACAAGTGTTCAACGAGAGACCCTAATCTGCTCGTTACCAATAGCATGCCCGAGAGAGGAGCGCGACGCGTGGTTACGTCGTGGCGTCATTCTGTATCTAAGATCTTAGCGCAATCATCTTCAATCTCGGGGCCAATGTTGAAGATTCAGGATGAGTCGCGATCAGCGTATGAAACGTTAAAGTAGATCTCTTATTAAGATCTCAGATGAAAATTATTATGGAGGAGAGAGTCGAGATATGAATAGCTTTAGAGCTATAAGTGATAGAGAACAAAGATACATATTTTTCAAGTTTCAGAGAGATACGATAGATACTCTTTTATAAGTGCTTCTTTTCTTTTAATTATAGGTGGGAATTATTTTTTAACAGAATTTTTATGGAATCTAATTGCTAAAATATGTAATGTTGGAAGTTCAAAAAATGTAGCGTCTCTCGACTCTCGCATCTACAGGAATTTTCTTTTTAAATTAAGTTCCTAATCTGTATAAAATCTTTAATCCTTTATCGTAGCAAACTATTTATTTATTTATTTATTTATTTATTTATTTACTTATTTATTTATTAATCTTTGTCGAACATAATGTGTCAATAAATCAATAGATAGAATTTCTTTAATCGGACAAAAGATGAGGGAGAGAAGTATATACCACATGTGAATGCATCAGAAGCGTGAATCGGACAATTTTAATACGCTTATTATTATTAAAAATACATAGAGAGAGATATGTTAGGAATCTGTTGAAAGATAATCTTGTACAAGGTATTTCGTCGCTATCGCGCCAAATCTTGTATCCGCGAATTCTTCGGTTAATCTGGTGTAGATTTTTCTGTAGCATCTTCCTGCTGGTGCATTACACGGGATGTTACAAGAATAGTTCAGTAATTTTGGTGGTTTGTGTTTTAATAGATCTAGAATTACAGATAATACAGCACAATATCAGTTGTTTCAATAAATTAAAATGGTCATTGGTTGGTCCGCCTAAGCCTATTTCACGACTTAGAGATTCGCAATGTTCACACGATGTTTTGCGCACTGCACGAGTCGCATACTCTGAGATAGTATATATCGATGTTCACATAAAGTTGTACCAGTTTTTATTCCGTACAAAATAAAGTGATCGGTGGATTATGTTTTTGTCTAGCAACTTAATGGCGACTGGATTTCTCAGCCTATCTTCTTTTATATATATATATATATATATATATATATGTATATATATATATATATATATATATATGTATATAAAAACATTCGGAGAATTTTTTCTGACGGAGTTACGAGCAGGCGAATGGGTAGATTTTCATAGAATTATCGTAATTTGAATCTATATTATTTAACATTTCATAGCTTTTCTTTATAACACTGGACGACATACATTGAACATCCTGATGCTTCGAAGTATCACGACTTATGCTGAACAAACGAAATAAATGAAATTAAAAGCAAACATGATCATGAATATTACTTACAAGTAAGAACAGACTTAAACTTATCGAAAGGTCTTGTCTGATTATAAGTAAAGTTAACTTTAATACTAAAGTTGAGGGATGTCTTATGAATTAAAAATAAATGTACATTCCATTAAAATTTAAGTCACGGAAACACGCTATATGGACGATGAAGAGATCTGAAATCGTCTTTCAAAAATTATTTAAAAAAATCGCCATTTTCGTACGTGAACAGTAAATCACGTGTTTTGTCGTCCAGTATAGACAAATACAACGAACTTTAAAATCACAAACACGGAATAACAAGATCCTATTATAATATCGATTATAAATTATCTATACGATTTATAATTTTAATGAGAAATATAGAGAAAGAATTGAACGTTAAGGACTTATCATTCGTACGAGAATAAATGAGATGCAATCTCATAAGATCGTGAGAGAGAGAGAGAAAAAGAGAGACAGAGAAAGAGAGAGAGAGAGAGAGAGAGAGAGAGAGAGAGAGAGAGAAAACGGAATGGAAAGGAACGGACGGGAAGGAAATAATAGTCGCGGTGCGAGCGCCGGCTCATTCCGAAATTTCGTGATTGTCGTCAATTTATTGCTCTAAAACTTAAATTGAGATTTGCGAACCGAGCCGGCAAGCTCATCGCCACGAGAAGCATCGCTATATATTCAGGAAATTCTATTAATTTCCTTCTGTCTCCTTACATCAGACCTAATGTTATCTCCAAGGATTGAAACTGGTACAATTTCGGTGAGCGAAAGGATTCCGATGCTGCGAACAAGCGAAAATGATCCCTGTACTTATTCACAATGAAGATACGAACGGTTTAGCGTATGGTTACGTGTTTCCTCGTTTCATCTACAGCATCGAAAATTGAGAACTCTATGAAATTATACCGGCTTCGACATCCGATGGTAATCCGGACGTAAAACTAACATTATTCTTTTTCTCTATTCAACCTTCTTTTCGACATATCGGATATACGCGTATATCCGAGGTAACGCGTGTGCGAAATATAATTTCTCACACACCCTACAACAATCCTTAATTATACATATCTTTCGTTTTAACTTCAATATCTCTTTTTTATCCAATAATCGACGATGGTGCAACAGGTACGGACCGCGAAAGGCATTTCCCTTTTAATACTTCTGAAGAGCGATAAATATATACGCAGTGTGTCCTGTCACGTCGCGCTCTTTCTCGTCAACGTGCGCGTAGTCAATTTCTCTGAACGAAAATCGAGTCGGAGGCCATTCGTTCGTAATTTCTAATGTTCGATATCTCGGTAATTACGCCCGAGGTGTAAAGCCGCTATTAAAATAAATTCTTCTTAAGGTCACTCAAACACGAGGGTTTTGTTATCTCTATTTACATAATTATATAAAAGTTCTTGACTCGTGTGTGATTTTGAGAGAGCGCGCGACGAATAGAACACTAACACTCGATAGTTTCAGTACACTATGCACTTCACCTCGAAATATCAAACATTTACCAATTTTGATAGGGAAATCACAGAGATCATTTCATCTCAGAGAAAAATTCATTTACTGGGGAGTACATATACTTTAGAGCTTCGAGGAACTCTGCTTGAGACTGAATTATATACGGATACTCTTAACAATCACTTTTCGCGTATTATTTCGCGTTCAACATTAAGCTCATAACATACAAGTCAACTTCTTACACATTCGATATAATTAATTTCTTATTTTGTTTTTTTTTTCTTTTTTAATCAGTAGTACCTTTACAATGACAGGACATTTATAGAATTTAAACTCTGATCCAGAAAATAGAGTGTATTCAAACTATTGAGCGCCAGTATACATGTAATAATCTTTAATTTAATTTAACGGAGAGAAAAAATTTGGAGATGAAGGATATACGATGGCAACATACTCGCCGTTTTCAAATTTTAGCATTTAGCATTTGAAGTACGATATAATGTGAACCGAGATTCCAGACGAATCAGACATATCATTAATAAGTAAAAGAGCTTGATTAAGACGCATAAAGGAGACTTACTCGTTGCGTAACACAGATCGTATCAACCTGTGTGAGTGGCGTCTTCTCTTGGAACAATACGCAAATCCAAGCGATGAGCGTTTTCAAAAATTGTACACATATGTATACAGATTTGACGTATGTACAGAAGGTCCCGACGTCTCTCGCTGTATCGTTTCTCGGCTTCTACAAATTCTTCAAACTCTACAAATTCAGTGAACCTTGCAGAGTCGATTTTTTCCTTGGCGAGGATCGCTTACTAGAAAAGCACCGTATATAATTCGTAATAAGTAATTCGCCAAGATCCTTCGATCTTTCGCTAATACGACGAAGCTGCCGCTCCGTTTCTCTAATTTTATCATCTTAAACGGTTGAGACGTGATGCCATGTGAGACAGATCTGGGACATTCCGTGCATGTAACGCGACTCGACAGAAAAATAATTTTAATTAGTATAGTAATAGTACAATAGAGTATAGCGATAGACCGCAACTAACTACTAATTGGTGTTCGTACGTTGTTCCCTTTTTACATTTTGGTATCGTTTATAAAGAATGTTTACCTTCGTTTTTTTTTTTTCATCGTTCTTCCTCTATGTAAGATTATCCTGTGCTCTTTCTTTCACAATTTTTAAACTAACAGATTATCGATCGACGAGCTCGTAGCACCCATCTCAAATGGAGATATATCATAAACGTCTGTGTGTACAGTTTCCGCACATGCTCCAACGTGAGACAGTTAATCTTTGATTTGGCATCATTATTATCGTCCTTTCATGATTTCAGCCAGTTGGCACAAATTATGTCAATATGTCGCAATCACGGACTGACCCGTTGTGTATGTGAACAGATACCTTCGCTTCCTTAACTGTACATTTGTAACTACTCGCTCGACGTTTTTTTATTATCCTCGTTTTCTTCGTCTCACGGAAGGTCTTTTAAAAATTTGCGGTATGTATATATATATATATATATATATATACGTGTATACATATAAAAAAATTACTGTCTCATTTTGGACCATGGCGACATTAAATGTCGCACGAGAAAAATAAATTCGCTCGCTTCAGGAGCACTCTACGAGCTCCATGGCCTGATTGTAGCCCACATTGCCGAATACAGGGGCACAAGTGGAGCCAGACAAGTTCTAGACAAGTTCACGATTGAGAAAAATAAGGGCTTGTTATCGATTAAAAATCGCTACGTGAGTCATTACGTATATGTATATGTAACTCTAGCATGTATCGTAATTATATACTATGCGATAATTGGATGTGTATATACGCTCCTAAAGAGAGACTTTTCGTAGTAATCGACGAGACGAAAAGAAGACAATGGAAAAAAGTAAGATAGCGTTTGGCAAACACGTAATTGCGTCGACGTGTACACACACATACACACATCGAACGAGAATATTAGATTATCACGAGAGGGCGAGAGACTTACGTAACATCGCCGAGAAAAAATGCTGCGTAGACATCGCATTGACTGACGACCGACAATCGTTGTACTTCTTTCGTCGAGGTGCTTTAGGTGATTCAGGCTGTAACGATCAACGCTGTCGGTCAGAGAATGCTCTCCATATGCTCATCCGTCACTAATTGAAATTGTTCTTGACCTGAAACAAGTGATTACACACGTTATATGTCAATGGCATTCCGGCAATCGATGAAGAGGTCTGGTCCTTGCGGAAAAACGATCAAGTACTTACTGTAGAGATACGCTGCTAGGTCGCAGTCTTCCGCGATCAACGCAAGATCTCGCGGCGTGCGACCGAGCCGGTCTTTCACCATCAACGCTGCTCCACCCGCCACGAGCATACAACAGATGGAACGGCGTTTGTTCTGGGCCGCTTTATGCAAAGCGGTTTGCCCTCTGCAACGTGAAGAACACAATGGTTTCTTATCAGCTTGCTATAGCCCAAAATACTTCTGTTGGAGATAATTACCACTCCGGTTCGAGACATTTGCCGATATCTGAGAGAGATACTCACTTGTCATTATCGACCATGTTCAAGATTGTCGGTGGGGCGCAAGCAATGAGATACCTAACGACCTCCTTGTGACCGTGCTTGGACGCCAGATGAAGCGCCGTTTGACCGTTAGCATCGATCGACAAGAGCGAGTAGCCCTGCTCGTGAAGCTGCTTCAACGCAAGAAGATCGCCAAGCTTCGCCGCCGTCAGTATTCCGTCGCAGGTTTTCTCAAGCAACCCGGTACTGAACCGATGAACTCCCGAGCTCAGCCCGAAAAGTCTGTCGCGAGGACTGAGAATGGAAATCGAGATCCAAAACTTATACACAATGTTTCAGAACCGTACATACCAAGCCGACGGAATTCACAGGAGGGAATCATCGAACTGACAGACATGATTTTATAAATTATTCTCCAGAAAAGAGACCAAGTCAGGGGATCCTTGAAATTCGATCGATTACGAGGATAACGCTGAAACGAACTGTCAATTTTACCTGATGAAAGTAATTGGTCGGTCAGCCTGATGCTCCGAGGAGTCCCGCTTCCGGGGCTCGCCGTTTACAGGAGAATCCGACTCGATATCCTTATCCTTATTGGGTGCTCCGCTCATCAGCAAGAACGAGTTCCTCCGACTCGCCGTGGTTGACGGCTTGACCGCCGTGCTAACGACCGAACTATCCACCTCAACTAGCGGACTGCTCCTTTCGGTCTTGTCCAAGATCGGCCGCGCGTCCTCCTCTGTCACGGCTGGCATCTCCTTCGGACCTTCGTCGCTGTATCACACGTTCCATCTATTAATCTAACGATTACACTTGCTTACCATGGAATTTTCGTTTGGACGTGTTATTTGTTTCAACATTATTATCTCATATTCTTACTGTTCGTACTACAGGATATTCGTGATGAGGATTATTCGTGAGAATAATTCTCATAACTTGATCATGAATTTATTCACCATGAAAGTGGCACGAGCAATCTTCGCGCGAGTTTGACGACTTACCTTGGACAAGCCTGCGCTGCTTCTTTCTCATTAGTGACGATAATTTGACCTTCGGGTTGGCCAGCATCTTCCTCGAGAACGTACACAGCATCCATGGCGACGTCCGTCACATAATGCAATTGTTCTTGAGCGCGATCGATCCTGAAGAATCTTTCAGCTGTACACGCTAGAAAACGATTAGTCAAATATCTTATTTTAAATGTCTGTTATACTTTAGTCATGCAATTTGCGAATGTAGTCGTAGATGTAACAGCGGCACTCACAGTCGACAAAACAACAAGAATCCATATTGTAATTTTTTGCCAAGAGCTTCCTTAGCGTCTCCAAATCCGTCGTAGCATCGAGATCGAGCGGTTCCGTCAGCAACTGCTCTGCTATGTTCTTCAACTTGACCTTATCGTGATGATAAGTCTTGTAATCCGACATCTTTATTTTCATCACAGGAAGCTTTAGCCTCTCCAATCGTGCCGTATCCTGACGTGGCTTCCCCGTGTTTCTCCTCTTGATCAACATCGTGGCCTTGTTCAGCAGACTTAAAGTTATGGTAGCTGGTAACAGGCGACAAGCCTCGCCGTCCACCTATAACGTGATAATAATTATTTGATAATTATGTGACAAAAAGAAAGCTTATTACAGAACATCAAATATAACTTTGAAAAGGAGTTTTTACAAATCTATATTGTTCGTTATTTGACTAACTTGGCAGAATTTCTTTCAAAGGAAGACCGATTTCAAGATAAAAGAAAAATCCCTATGGAAGGGACAGAGAGAAAGGAATAATTCTACTGTATACCAATGGTATGTCATCGCAATGATACTAACACAGTTTCATATATTACGTAATCCTAAAAGTTATACTTGCTTGCATCGGTATAGTCCTCGTCGTCACCAACTTGGCTTTGCTACATTGCGCTATGGAGGTGCCATGTCCACCAGCTTGTAAAAGAGGCAACTGGTACGTGGTCAGACCAACCACCTCGATCAGGCCGTCGTCCATGGCAGGTTCTCTGGTACCGTTGCCCGCACCCCATGGACGCGTTCCACCACCATAAGAGGCGATGTTCAAGAATACAATGGCGTGGACTCGGTGCTCCTTCAATTTCGGCGTCATGTCCTGGCCGTCGCAGTCCAACGTGACGAACTCCGAGAGGTCCTTCCATTTCCTACGCACTAAGTCCTTGCCGCCCATTTGGCCGTAGAACATCTTGTTTCTTAGTCTGGAGTTAAATTTCTCTGGATGAGCTTCTACAAACGATCATGATGAATTTGTCAGTCAAAGGCTTCGTGCCTTTGAAAATATAAGATACTTTGTATACTTTAGATAAAACTAAAATTATGACTATTATTTATACGATACTGATTACCATATCTTTTAATTGCAGGAGAAAACTTCGATTGCGACACGACCATTCGAACCAGGGTATCAACGTTATCGGCTTGCCGTTTGTTGGTTTCAATGGAGTCACGCGGTGAAAATTAAGGTGAAGCCTTACCTCGGGCTTCGTGAAACTCCAGGGCGATGTGAGCGTCCACGCCGAGGGAGAAGTAATTGTTAACAACATTAAGCGGCAAATTCTCCTTGCCCTTGTTGCCATCGTCATCATTCTGAGCGTCGTTGTTTCTCTCGACTTCCAGTTGCCATCTGTCCAGTAAGGCAGTCTCACTGTCACCTATACTCGTTAGAATCTTCCCGATCGGCTCGTCCGTGTAACCGCCACCCCATCCCAGCGCTCTCGCTAAGTCATTCCCGGTGCCCAGAGGAAGAACGCCGACTGCTGGCGGTGGATATGCACCGATCTGATCCAGGATCGACAGGACCCAACCGACAGTACCGTCACCGCCGCAAGCCAAAACACGCAAATTCGGAACCTTCTTGAAAAGGTCCAGTCTGTAAGTGCAACGTTTTCTCAATCGTCTTTCTTCTTCTCCCCTTTGTTTCCACGTAGCTAAATACTGAGCCTCTTCAATTGCATTTTAATTTAACAATCAGAATTAATTACAAACTAAAATGAAGTTAATTGACTGATAAATTTTATTAATTTTAAAGTTAATTGAATGTATCTCAATGGAGGATCGGTATTCTGACTGTCGGGATCAGGTGGCTTATCGATGCAAAGACCAACCTCATCCTCCTGGCAGCCATCGATGTTAATACGACGCTTAACGTTATTTCGTATGCACCCTGCGTTGAAGTAAACGACGAATCCCATGATTCACTCACCCCATTTTCGGACCACCCTGCGTCAGATCGAAGACCTGTCTCGGATTAAGCAGCCATTGAAACTTCTGCAGCAACTTCGCGCCCTGATTGCCACCGGATTTCGGATTTATGAAGACGAGGACCGGCTTTGCCGTGGCCGTAGGTATAGGCTTGATAATCCACAGCATCCCCTGATTTTTCTCCTTCTCTTTATCTTCCTCCTTCTCGCCGTCTTTTCTTTTCCGTCGCTCGGAGGCGCCATCGGCGGACTTCTTTTTCCTCGGGGATTTCTTTAAACTGCTCTTGAAAGTGCCCTTCCGAGGAAGTTTCACGATCCACGAAGGTGGCACTATGATCGACGCGTGGCTACCCAATTCGCAACTTTCACCGATCTTCTCGACATTGAAACATGCCTCCTTGTTGTGATAGGCGGCCTTGCACCAACTGCAGTTCACCGCCACAATCTCTTTGGAACCGAAACTGAGCTTTGATTGAAAAGACTTGCCGCAGTTGGCGCATTTACCCTTCTGGGATCGCCGGTGAACCCAGTGGTGATGGGTGGTTGTTTGTTCGCGATACTGGCGCACGCTTACATCGTGGAAACTCGGTTTGCACGGAAACTCTAAACTCGTGACGCAGCAGGCGTGGGCCACTATGTGACAAACCGGACACTTCAACCGGGGTCCGTGTTTCTAAGGAAGAAACAACGTCGGCCAAATATTAGCCAGACATTCTCAGAGATACCTGATTTCTTAATTACTCATCAAGATTGTCTCTTCACTACTTTTATCTATCATTTGACTTTTTCCCCTCACTCATTATTTTCCCTCTGTTCCTTTTATTATTCTCTCAAGTACTTATCTCAGATAACTGGTATATTGAAAGTAACATTGTGATCTTTTCTGCTTGTGATTTTGCAGATTTTTCATTTCCAATACTTACGGCACAATCATTGACGTAACAGAAATCCCCGGATGTAGCGGTTGGTACCCAAAGATGTTCTTCATTACACGCATGGGGACCCCAGTCTGGTGTTGACCGCGGCTGGCGTTGATCACTGCTCGCGTCACCTTCTTCTCTCCCTCTAGAATCATCAAAGGCTCATAGAAACTCATGTTGATGAATTAATTTTCTCATGTTAGAGCGCATATATTCTACAGTTTCTAATTGAGGAGTTATCGCGGAGGTATATAGGCAATCTAATTTTCTACCTTGCACGCGCCATATGCCGACTTTGATGAAGTATAACATAATATTCTGCTATAAAGGAGGAAGAATAGAGAGCATGATTTAATTATCATATAAAATATTCCAGTGACTTTGTATTTAATAACGATATTAACTCTCGTCGTAGCGGTTGGATATAATGTAGAATAGAGAACACTATATGTGTACTGTTACAAACGTGATTAAAATTTCTCATATCTGTGCCGGTTTTGCAAAGACCCGACGCGAGCACGAGGCGGAAATATTAATCGTTTTGTACCTTTAAGGCACGTAAAAGCATCATGAAACATGTACGTTGTTTTGAATGATTAAGTCTGGCTTTCCGCCGCGAGATGTATATTCGGGACTCGAGCATAAAAATTCGACGAACACAGTCGCTTTTAGGAACAAACCTTCCCAGGATAAAATATGCTAGCACGTGTAGTAAAAAACGAAGAACGGTAACCACTAAAATAGACTGCTTTAAAAAAGGCATGATATTACTGTCCCACTTCGTATAAATATTCCGAGTAATGATTTATGTAACGTAGCATTTTCGGCGAAGTCATAAATAGAGAAAAGACGGTTTCCTGCCCGAATTTAAAATTATAATATAGTGAATAACGTAAAAGGAAGATGATAAAAAATGATGAATGTAGTAGAAAAATCAAGAGATTTATTTTTATCGATATAACTCTTATAAAAGTACATGCCTTACAAATTAAAACATAATTATCTATTAACGAGTGATTAGAGTAGGAGTATATATGGTTGACACAAGTGAGAAATTACAGGCTTAGGAAAACAAGACATGTATTCTAGACCATCGATTTTAAAATTAACATAAATAGACAATGAATGAAGAATTAATAGAGAAGAAGGTAGAAGCATGTATCCAGTATTCTTCGAGAAAGTTGGCGATTATTTTAAAAATCGACGTCATTACAGATAACATTTATACTTGCCACAAAAACAAACTATACAGACCGTTCAGAATATCTGTGCTGATTTTCTGATGATCTGATCGCACTCTTCTACCTTCTTTAACAACAAGTACATCATTAAAACTAAAACACACGATGTGACATATGACATTCGGGAGAATCGCAGAAATTCACACAGAAACGAACATAAATCTCGAGAAAATCAATTCAAACATTGCGAGAGAGCAGTTCAAGCTTGATCCGAAGATTATTCAAAAAGAAAAGAAACAACGAGGAAGAACAGACGACGACATAGAGAACAGCGCAGCTCCACACAAGGAAGCAGATGCATAATCAAGAAGATATTTAACATGATGCTAGGACCGTATCGCGTGGCATTCTGAACGCAATCCGCTAGCCGCGGCTCCATCAATCAGACGTACCCACCCTATCGAAGGTCGCCGTTCTTTCGCCGGTAACAGCGCCGTGTACCTCGTCCGTACGTCCGTCGGCAGAACAATGTCGACGCTTTTCGATCTGATGTTCTGCTGCGGCACCGCCAGCAAGTCCGAATTGCTGACGCCGCTGCCGTTCTTATTGTTATTGAAGCACGAGTCCACGGAGGCGGCGCGATCCCTCTTCAGCTCCGGCACGGTCAAGAAAATGTCACGCACAATGAACTTGGACTGGCATGCCTCGTCCACGTAGTTCTCCTCGTCGTCGTCGTCGTCTTCCGTCTCGGTGGAAGTCATCTTCGCCGTCTCCTCCTCGCTCCTCGAGGACAACGCGCCAGGTAACTCCAAGGGGAAACAAGTCAAGGCCTCTTGCCTGGACAACCTGCGTTGTCTCTCCGGAAACTCCATCCTGATCTCGGGACTCGCCTCGGCCGCGACCTCGACCGCGGACGGAATGCATTGCGGCATGCTCTGCACGTCGTCGGGCATGAAAGTGACTAAGATCTCAGGGCTACCCTCTCGTTTGGATTCCTCCTCGTGATCGGACTCGTTCTCGGAGATATCCGTGCTGTTGTCAATTTCACTGCGCGATCCACCGGCCTCGATATCATCTTTAGATCCTTGGTCTTCGTTCAGCCTCTTGTACTCTTCGACGCAAGCACAGTGATAGCAGCCGGAGACCTGAATGGTCGGCGTTTCAGGTCGCTCGAATCCGACGGGAAGCAGTTGGCTACCGGAGGACGAGCCGGAACTCGCCGAGTACGCGTCGAAGCTCTTGGAGCGTTGGCCGGTCTGCAGCTGCGGTACCTTCAGGGTGGACGATCTTCGTCCGCGTGTCGAGTCCTTCCTCGACGGTAGAGAGTACACGGAGGATGAGGAAGCTGGTCGATTGTCATCCTGTAGCTTCGACTGCAGCTGTATCTCGTCAAAAGAGGCCGATCGGATTTGCTTGGGCACCTCGAGGCTAGATTGCGACTTCATCTCTGCTCCCGTGGGAGTGCGCGACCTCTTGAAGGTCGTACGCAGCCTCTGCATCCTCGCCTGCTGGCTACCTGGTAACGCCGTTGCCTGCGCTCTTGGACGTGCCGCTTCCTGACGGAAACGACTCTTCGGATAAAATTAATTGCCCAGTCGCGTTACCTTCTTCTTCTTCTCCCTCGTCGTCGAGATCGGACACGCCGTTGGTATCGCCGCGCTGCTCGTGGATCGTCTTCCGCTCGACCGACGGCTCGACTGCGTGTTTATACCTCGGCAACGACGTCGACGACGACACGGCCGTCTCTTTCTCCAGCTTGGACTTAGCTGCCGATTTGCAGCCCATCCTAAGTACCTTCGCCGCTGATGTTAAGTACGAGATCTATGGTATATACTTGAAAGATGTTTCCCGGATTTCCGTTCGAGTAGACTTGAATCAGGTCAGGTGTTGAAGAAGAGTATCGAAATGCTGATAGGAAAGCTCGTTGATGTCGAGAAAGAAGAGAACGCGGAACGAAGCTCGTTGAAATCCAACGTGATCTTCCGCTTGACTGGCGAATGCGGAGACCTATTTGTTGTTTCCGAGTGGCTTCATAGTGAGTCCATTCGCGCTACATTGGACTTTATAAAAATCTACCTGGTCACTGTGCCTCGTTTCTCGCCGCATGTTCGATTTCGATTCGTTGCCGATCGACGTTGCTCCAAATTACCATCCATTTGCATCCGCATTTTCTGCTGGCATATCAGGACTCGAGCCGTCTCTGGTTGCAGCTGGTGATGAGCTTTAAGGGTCATTCAGCTCACATCGTGCTATCGAGTGCATCGACCAACGACGCGCGAACCGTGATGGAAAGGTCACACGTCCGGCAGAAACAACCTCGACAAACCTGATGGCGTTACAAGGTTGCGGCGAACTTTATCTCGCCATTATCTCCGGCATTGTTTCTCCGATATCACACTCGTTTCTTTTCTGTGTTTCCCCCTTTCTCATATCTACCTACCCTCAATGGCTATCGCCCCTAACCACTCTCGCGCTAACTCACTCACTCACCCTCTCTCTCTCTCTCTCTCTCTCTCTCTCTCTCTCTCTTCCCCCTCTCTTCTCTGCCGCCCTCACGGTGCGGCTCTCTCCTCTTGAGTGACTAGCAGCATCGATCGAACTTTCCAGCACCGGAATTTATTTTCATGGTGACGCGTGATAACATCGTCGATGCTCGTCGATAGGAAGCGGTGAGCATCGTTGCGGCGCGGCACAAGACGACGTCAAGCAACTCGGCAACTTTGAGACCGGAGATCGATTGATCTCCGTGTCACCGTCGCAAGATGTTTCGGTCACCGGACAGCGTCTTCAAGGTTCAACGCTTACGACGTCACCGAGCATTTCTCTCGTTGAGAATATCGGCGGCGGCAACGAAGTGTCACGGTTTCCAATACGATGGGAATGGAAGTTTCTTTGACTGACTTCGGGACGGTAGTTTCGCTGACGAGAACTCGAAGTTCCGTGGATTAAATCGTGTAGCATCGATTGGTACGTTTGCCCTGATATTGCGTGACACGAGCCGGCGTTTTCGTCGGACAAATATTCAGCGACGAGGCACGTCGAGACCGGCCGACCTTCGCCACGTCGATCGATTCACACTCTCGATCAATGATAAAACACATCTCACCGAGGAAGCTTCCGCACCGAGCTCCGCTCTCTTGAAGAAGCTCCTCAAGATCCCAGCTTTTTCTCGTTCTCTCCTCCTCTACTTCTCCCGCGAACAATGCTATCCTTGGCTAACAATGATATCCTTTCGATAAGGACATTGCCGAACTTGGAAACAAATGGTAGCGCGTCGGTAGCAGTCGAAATATCTACGCACCATACATGAGTGAAACGCGATGAGCGGATCACTCAAGGTTGTCTCTCTTCCTCCTCGAGTCTGTCATTTTCCCCGTCCGTGTGGTCTCCTCTGGAATCTTGCACGCGGAATTCATCGGAGGTCTCTTCAGATTCACAAAGCGCACGTCGCGCGTCCTTCGAGAATCGCGAAGAGACGCAAATACACGGCACCGACAGCAACGCGATGCGACGAGACGCGAGGCGAGACGACGCGGCGAAACGAGGCGAGGCACGGCGCGACGCGGCGTGATGAGAATAGCCGGTCGGACTAACGGCGAGGGCTCGTCGATGAGGGATGTCGAAGAGGGTGAGTGCGCGCAAGGGTTGTATATGTACATCCGTCCTTCTTTATCTTCCTTCTACCTGCTCGCGCCCCGTGTACCACCTTCGCTCGCACATGCGCCCTCAGCGCGGTGCGGATTTCTCTCTCGCGGAGTACGCGCAATAAAGCAAGCGTACGGCAAGCCAGAAATTCTGGCTGATACTGAGATGAAAAACGGGCATCTCGAGAACGGCACGATCATATCTCGAGAAGTACCATCGTCTTCTTTAATAAGTTTTCGATCGCTCCGAGATTCGTGCTCTTTGATTCACCCCGGTCGCTCCCGACGAGAAACTTTACAGATGAATTTTCGCCACTGCGGCGAATTATTCCACTCCGTGTCGCTCATTATCGCGAAGGTTGCTCTTTGAGCGATTTGAAACTGGAAAGATCTGGGGAAACTTCTCGCTAGACTTTTTCCTTTCAGCCGGACGCGTCGAGGATAGGTTACCAAACAATGGGAAACTCATCTTCAGTGTGTGTCCAAGTTCATTTATAATTCTTTAAGTTTAAAGTGAAGGGGCTGAAACTTAACACGTTCCAGAGGAATCAAAAATTCATCGAAGGGGATGTCGGTATCCTGAAAGGAGAAACGACTTTGGCGGTCAAGGGCGGGTAAAGTTAGGCCGGTCTAACGAGTCACGATAGACCCAAACGTGAAAATTACAAATGCCTTCGGTATGAGATCTTCCTATGGAGTGTTTAACAAGACGCACGTGCGATGTAGGTTGCAAAGACCGTCAACAATACTTATCATAATAAATAATAATTTAATGTCATGCAAGGTATCGGTTAATGTTCGCATGTACTGTGTCAGTGTCAGTGTCGATCAAATTAGATTGATACGTTTCTGTAATTAGTAATCGATCTCTAAGCGCGTCTTCCGTTAAACTAATTTGCTATTCGAGCCCGTAACTAGAAGGTTAACTGCTAACCTTTCTTCCGAATCGGACGGTATAGGATCTTCGCGGCATCTTAAGTTCGTGCCCTCCGCGAAATGCACCCGTTGTCCCAGCGTCGGGGCCAACTCGAGCAACCTACAATGCACACGAGAAACACCCAGATGGTGTTATATGGTCAGCGTGAAGAACGGCGATTCGTTTTACAATTTCTAGCAGCCTTTTTTCACCGCGACACGCTCTCGCTCTCGCGCGTGACTCTGGAGAATCCAGCTGGCCTGGCAGAAGTCGACGGAGTCAGATAGAAATTCTTAATTAGCGGATTCTCCAGGATCACGTAACTCGTCTTAATTAAAGCGTAAAACTTCGGGCGTTGTGTGTAAAACTCGCGTACTCTTATTCGTGCCGTTGTGTAATTGTGTACTCGCTACGAAGCAAATTTAACGGGAGACGGGAATAACGCGCAAGTGAGCACAGCTTCTCTCCCCGGCAACACGGCAGTTCGGACTTGATAAGATCTATTCACAGGTCGTGCGCGAGTTTTCCCGATTTGAAATTCCGTCCGTCAAGCGCGGTCAATTACAGGCTTTTCCGCCTGAAGCGCTGCGATTGGCGACTGGCAGCCAATTTTCGATGCTATCGACAATCAGCGCGCAACACCGCGTTTGTTTGATGAAAAAAAAACAAGAAAGCACAAAACTAAATGCAATATATGGAAAAGAGAGGTGGTTGTGATATTTTTAGAGAATAAAAATGAACACCGTGACTCTCCTGATGAAATTGCAACGACGATGAACCTCACGTAATCTCACCCCGCAATGATTGTGCTCACGCATACTCTTAACTTGCAAAAAGGAATTCTACACTCGTCACAATGTCGCTCGTGTCGTCGTCATCGTGTTCCTTCGAGAACTGCCGGGTGCTCGCGCCTTTGCGTCGATATTAACCGCGAGAAAATCTATACGGATCTATATTGGTCTGAAACTCACGTGACTCTTATCGTAATCACATTCTCCGAGTCCGATTCCGAGCGTGATCCTGCGCACGACAGCCACGATGCACAGTCGATGATCATCTCCGGGCGGTTTCCCCGCGATACCTCGACGCGCAACTGACATTAAGGAAAAATACCGCGCGAATAACGCTGGTGCGTTTATTACCCGCTGCACTCTTGTTGCCGCTAATCTTTCGCAACTGCGCGTTATGTCATCTTTGCGTGCAATAACGTAATAACACCTGTTTGTCACTTTTCCAGTAACGCGAACATATCACCGGACTGTTCACCTATGCGTGAGTTCACACAGCTCACCTATAACTGCTGCCGCTTTAGTTACTCATTTTTAATCATGAATCGCACGCGCACATCGCTTGACTAGCCGCCGCGCAATAATTAACTTTCAATTCTACGCGCTCCAACGATAGCCGGTTCAAGGATCCCACCGAGGGCAACGCGACACAAAGCCGATAACGCTAATCCGAAACAATAGTTTAACGTACTTCTCAAAGACACGTTCGCGATTTTACTGTGCGAGATACAAGCGAACGAGAATACGGCGGAAACGTTTCCAATCGTTATCGTTTGTTCGTTTGCTTGCATAATTAGCATCTGAGCAGATCTCAAACGTCATTTCAAAATGTCGGTCCGACTAAATTTCTTCTAATCCAGATGATAAAATGCTAGATATCGATCGGCTGTACTGAGCATAACGGCCTCCTTGGGAATTACTCCGCGCGAAAGATTATCGATTATGTCATTTCTCAGCATTGCTCTTCATTTAAACGGTCTGAATAACTGCCAACTCTCTCTCTCTCTCTCTCTCTCTCTCTCTCTCTCTCTATCCCGCACTACCCGGTCCTCTAATTCTTATTCAAGTTTAATCGCCGGCGTACCATCCATTAATATCACTCGTTATTCGACACAAATACAGTTCCATCGTTCAACACTATACATTATACACTCAAATTCTCTACACACCGTCAAAAAGTGTCCGCGACCAAGACAACCAAGACGGATCGTGAGACGGACCCGGTCTCTTTCGTACTTTTACCATGTTTCTCCTTCCACGATGATGACTGTAAGAGCGAGAACTACAGTCTCGTTCACAGATATTAGGCGTCTGTCTCATGCTCCATGAATGAAACTTATTCGCAAATTCATGTCGATCATATCGACGGTATCGGTATCGCGACACTGTGTGTCTATTTATTAAAATTCATTTTCGCAATTTTATCAGCAATTACTGCTGCGAAGGTTGCGAATGAAGAAACGACTACATCGCCTGATTCAGCATTAATGAACGACTCTGTATCAACACGATGAGCAACGAACCGGTTTTTCGTCTCGTCGTTTGTCGCGTGGGTTCTCCTCAAGGATATATCGCGAGAAGGTGGAAATCAGACCTTTCAGTCGTTCAAAGGTCCACTACTCTCCGCTACACTTTCTACTCTCGTCCTTGTTCCCTTTTCTTAAAGGGCGGGCGCATACTTGCTGTATGCTAAGAGACTGGCAGCAGCGGTCGTCGCGGTGTTACTAAAGAGAGCGGTTTCACATTTGTGAGAGAGACCGACGCGAGATCGATAATGCAAAACGCTCGACGAATGTTTATAACTACAGAAACTACTCGAAGCAATTACGAAGAGCAAGTATTACGGACGGTCGTGTGAAATGTGCAAGGAGTGCTAAACTCTTAACCAACTATGAGTTCCTTCTTGCCGGTCTCCTTTCTCATATCGTATGCCGGCGTCGTACAACTCGGGAATGTCTACGTCAAAACGGTCTATGCTTCTCGTACAAATAGGAACAGAAAAAAGGAAAATAAGAAGCTACGCGTCAAAAGACGTTCGTTATCCTTACCCTTCCTCGCTCGTATCGTCCTCTATGTATTGCTCCACATCCTCCTTCTTCTGCTCGTTATTCTCCGCCATAGCCGCGGCAGATTGCGGAAGTTAACGAAGAGACTGAATAGAATCCAATTGCGAGATGACGGAAACGAGACGAAAAACTGACATAACTCTGTCGACTCTTTGACATACTTCCCGTCAGCAAAGTGACGAAACGCAGCGGGACATTTCTTGCGACTAACTCGCGCAGAGCAGCCCCGAGTATTATCGCGCGTTATGGCTTCCGAAGACTCGCAGAGACACAATTCTATTTTCCATAATGGCGTAATGGCATTATCGGTTATTCGTATGCGTATCGTCGGTTCGCGAGAAATAACGAAAACATCGAAATGTTCACATAATTTACATGAAACCAAATCTACATAGAATCAAATCATTTTCATCAAGTCTAATTATGCACGAATTATAAATATGAGGTAAATTAGTATTTTATCGCTCGTTTTATAATGTGTGACTTCGATCTTCTTTTTTCTCTTTGCTTTTGTAATCCTCTTTTTTTCTCACATTATCATTAATTACACTACCAGAGGTCGAGTTAATCGTTAAAAAGATTAGGACTGATTTAGCGAAGGAAGTTGTAGTTAATAGGCAGTTGGATGGGACTTGCAGGCAAACTATTAAGTTAATAGAGATGTGATGTCACAAGTACGTAATACGATCATACAACTGGAAATGTGTTTACCAAGGAAACGACTCACCGTTTCTTCCGGTCTTTCGCAAGCGCGAAGCAGTTGAAGTATACGATCAACTGCATGAACGAGAAAGCGCACTTAAATATTATGGAGAAACTTAGTGAAGAAACGCGAGGTTTTGACATGCTCGAGTGTCTATTGAACACAACAATGAGACAACTAAATGTCGTAGCTCAATGCGTGACGGTCTTGTTTTTAAATTATACAGTTGTAAGTGTGATCGCAGGATGGAAACCGACAGTAACCAACTTCTCTTTTACATTTGAATAACAATAATTGAATACGAAATGCTGGAACGATGTGCCAGCAGAAATTCGTCAGTTTCGTACCGCAATTTGTCTTTCCTCCATTTGTTACCTTGCTGGAGAGTCTCTCGCAGATGTTTCTTAATACTTAAACTCGCAACTCGGGCCATTTTTACGAATTGAGACAGTCGTGCTGAGAGACTCGACTCTTGCCAAGAAAAAAATATTCATTAATTTTTGTTGTTGTAGTTATATGTCTTTCCGACACATCTATCATTGCTCCTTATTATAGAAGAAAAATCATCAACTTCTTTAGACTATGAGATATTAATCTCCACTCTTATTAAAAAACTACATCATGACGTACAAGACGAAATGGAAATAAATTCTACAAGGACCTACAAAGAGAGGAAGAAAAAAGGAGAGACAAGCAGAATCATCTTCAAATTTAAAATTGATTCCAAACGCGCAACGGTGCCGGATTCTCGGCCCAGCTTTACGCGTCATTCCCACTTCGTCTTGTCTGGAGTGCGAGGGGCGATCGAGAGATACATCGATCTCTCCTCCATTGTCAGAAGGAAGCGGGTCGATTGTCGCTTACCTCATTGAAAGCGGCTCTTTCGTTGGGCGAGCCGTGTCGCAGTCAGCACGTCGGCGTACCTGCGTTTCCTGCTTTCGTAATCGACATAGCCGCGACCGGAGGAAGAGACCGTTACGCGATCGCGACAGCTCCCACACGATCAACGCCGCGACAAGCGGTACGTTCTCGCGAAAACGCGACCGCCAGTTACAAACATTTGCATATTGCGAAAAGCGCACGGATATGGCCGGCGCGTGATCGTCGGCGCAGCCAGCACTCGTTCGACCGTTTAAGCAGCCGCTCGCGAATGCCGCGAAACCGCACTTCTTGTCTTTTAACCAGGACGAACAGTACCGAGCGGTATTATCATTAACGATTCACGTCGCGAGTAGGCACAAGCGCAAGCACGAATACACGTCGACAGCACTCGTAGTCTACAGCCGCTCGTTGATGCGCGACGGTGAACGGCGAGTGGCACAGTGCTAAGTCGATGTTCATCCACTCGATCACTCGAGCCACCTGGGGAGATCAAAACTAAGGTATCCGAACGTGGTCGACAGGTATCGAACAGTCACTCGTTCACCGGCACGCTCGATCTGTTTACCGAAACACTGTTGGATCCGTGGCCACCTATTCAGCAACCACGAGCGTCTCAGGTGAACTGAATGGAATTACAGTACGACGCTCTAACCGGAACTCCGCAGACTCGTGACGGCACGACGAACAGATACCTGTCTACGTCTGGGTGCTCAACAGCGACTCGCTCGTTCGTACAGCAAACGTTTGGTCGCCCGCGCTACTTCGCGTTGGTGAACAATGAAGACCGCTCTGGATAAAGTTAACAGTTAAGTGCGGAAGCGCAACGCGAGCACCTTGACCAGCAAGACCGAGTAACGTTCCTTGACAAATCACGCGATAATCTCGCGGCAACAAGGTGCTCGAGTTGCGCCTCTGCACTCGGTTAACTTCGCGTATCGCAGCCTGCAACGTGCAGTGCCAGCGTGGAGTGCAGCATGGGCGAGCGAATTCGCGATTAGTTAATGCGCTTCATCAGAACGCGTTACGCGACGCGACACTCAGTCTATGAGTCTCTTTATTTCGAGCTGCTCGAAAGACCGTTCCGGCTCTCTCTCTCTCTCTCTCTCTCTCTCTCTCTCTCTCTCTCTCTCTCTCTCTCTCTCTCTCTCTCTCTCTCTCTCTCTCTCTCTCTCTCTCTCTCTCTCTCTCTCTCTCTCTCTCGAACGGAAGTTCTCGACGACACTGTTAACCAGCACTTACGTCAATGGCGTGTTCGACGAGGTGACTCACTGGTCATTAGCTGCTGCATTTATTGAAAACGCAAAGCGGGGTGATGACGCGACACCATGTTCACCGGCTGTACTCACTTTTTCCATTTTGATCAGTTCAGGTAAGCGAAGCGTGCGGGGAATACTGCGATATAGACGAAAATTCTTACCGGCACTATTAACGATACACTTAAGCACTGGACCTGTTCTCCAGACGTAGAGACGAAAACGCGACGCGAAGAGAAAGAGAGAAAGACAGAGAGAGAAAGAGAGAGGGAGAGAGAGAGAGCGAGAGAGAGAGAGAGAGAGAGAGAGAGAGAGAGAGAGAGAAAAAGAGAGAGCGCAAAAACGCGAGGCACGAGGACACGGCGGCTTACCATTATAAATAGTTGCGACCGAGACGACTAGAAGCTCGCGACCAATGTAACAGACGAAGAGAAAGAGGAACAACAAGCGAAGGAAGAGGACGGTGACCAAGCCGGAGGGAAATAGCGATAGGTTTGTGCTAGCGATTGACTCGAACGATCCTCGAGTCACCGCTTGAACAGTTTCACCTGAAGAACCGTCGCGCACTGATACTCAGCGAATGGGCGACCTGATCTAAATCGGGATTGAACTTTAGGCCGGTTGGTCAAAAATGAGGAGCTTACACGAACGACGCAACGTGTACCGGTTACTCGAATATAAATTAATTATTCAAGTTCACACTCCTGCTCAGCGAAGGACTAGTCTTTTCCGACGATTCTTCATGATCCTACCTGGAAAGAGAACGTCAGTTCGTGTAGGTTACGGAGAGTCTCACTCACTTTCGAGAACTCTGTGACGAGAAACGATATTTATGTTATCGCAACCTAAAACATTAAATATTTGGTAAAACTTGATCGAGATAATTGAGAGCGATTTTTTAGTTTCTACAACTGAGTTTTCATCTGCTTGCTGGACAATGGAAAGTCAGTTGTACGAGTTGAATTTTTTTCCATGTTATCACGCTTGACGTGCTGCTTAAAAAGGTACATACACTGCTTTCTCCGTTTCTCCTCGAGAATACACGTGATTTTCACGTCGCTTTTTTCGCTGCTGTTGTTTTCGCAATGAATTAATAAGTTGTTAGACTTCAGCACGTCGTCTGTTTAATCTTCCCGGCTACTTTGCTTAGTTCCTCCGCTAACACTGCTTAAGTAAACTACTTAACGGTGCTGGACGGAAAGAGCAATTAATTACTCACAAAACGGGCGGATCGAGTCTATCGCTAATCGTGCCGCTTGCCTCGTTCCATCCTCGTGCCTCCGCGTCATTGTTCCCGTCCGCGATCCTGCTCGCAATTCTAATTGTCCGATTCTGTTGTTCGTGTACTTCAAACCAGTCGTGTGTGTGTACTTCATACTCTTGTCGCTTTATCGATCCAAAAGTCCGACCGACGAAAATCTATTTCCGATGCCGATTTTTTTCTGGCACCGCATTCTGGCTCTTTCGTGCACCGCTGCTATTTCTGTGGAATTATTCCTACATTTATGCGAATATCGCGTGAGCGACTTGGCCACCTCAGCTTGCGAGCGCTTTAACACGGTGACGTTATTTTCAAACGTAACGTCACAGCCAAGTTCGACAAATCTCTCCCTTCAAACACACCGGTCGCATAGAGATCTGAAACTTGAAATACACCTCAAGTCTAGAATGCTGAAATTATCACACTGTGCGATGATTCGACTCACAGGTTCCTACGCAGGCAGGCGTCGCGGAAGTTCGCAATCCGTCGAGACTCCGTGAGCGAAATGCTTTCAGAATAAATGCTTCGTATCGATGGTACGAACTCACGGATGCGGTTTATCGGATGTGTCGCATTTCACCACGGCAAATGGCTGTCGATTTCGATGTATTTCGCGCGACTGCCAATGTCAATATCAACCTATCGCTTGCCACGACTGCGCATGACGAAGCGCTAAGCAAGCACTTTAATTAAGCTGTTTAATTCGCTTCTCATGGGAAGTTTACTTGATGTGTGCGTATACGTATACGTTGTTATTCAACACGTTGTCAGTAAAATATTGTTGTATCTTGTCTTGATAAGAAATGTATCGCAGGCAAGTCTGCACTTGCCTCTATGTATTATCAAGGGCGACACATCAATTTTACGATAAGACACACCGGAAGGTGTGTGACATAATATATGTGCGTGGTATGACACAAACTGCTTCGTCGCAAGTTCTGAGGTCAAACCTTTTCAAATTCGCCAGAGTCAAACGAGAATGATGACAGAAGAAGGAATTATCTTTATTTCAAGAACTTTACAAAATGTCCAATCAATTTCATTTTCTCTTTATTTTTTATAACAGAAGCTCTTTTACTCCACTACACATTTTCAAGATATGTGACTGCAGGACTCGTAGATGTACACACTGTGAGTGCGAACGAAATTCTGAATGGGTTTTATACGATAAATTGTTTTATTTTAATAATCTGTGTGCTTGCGTTTGTACAATAATAATATTAATAATAATAATAATAATAATAATAATAATAACAGAAGTAGAGAAAGAGAGAGAGAGAGAGAGAGAGAGAGAGAGAGAGAGGGAGGGAGAGATAAAGAGAGAGGAAGAAGGGAGAAAGAGAAAGAGAGGAAAAGTGAGAGTGGTAGTAATAATAGTAACAATTAAAATAGAATCATAGTAGTAATAATAATAACAATAGCAGTAGTAGCCACGGCGTTAGAAGTGACAGTGGTAGTAACAGTGGTAATAGAATGATCTGTTGCAGAAGTAGCGTCTGTCATCCATTCAATCCGAGCTTCAGCGTTTGAGTGTCGAAGAGAAGACGATGGTAAAGTGAAAATGGCGATGGAGGCTTCCGGTGCTCCCGGGGGTGACGGTGGATGAAGAGGTACCGTCGTGACGGTATTTCGCTATCGTCGCTATCACTGGCACATTCGACGATTCGACGGACGATCGCGCAATGATCGTTTCGAGCTTGAAGTATGCTTTCTGACATATTCGTGTACGCACGCCGAAAGCAATCAGATGATTTATTCCTCCTCTTCCTCCTCTTCTTCCTCTTCTTCCTCTTCCTCTTCCTCTTCTTCCTCCTCCTCCTCCTCCTCTTCCTCCTCTTCCTCCTCCTCTTCGACCTCCTCCTCCCTTTCTTCAAATTGCGGCTCTTCGAGGTCCTCGTCAACCGTAGCCTTCACGTCTTCCTCGCCTTCCGGTGATTCGGGGTCGCCAGACTTCTTGCCCGGGCGCTCGCCGAACCACTTCGGTAGCTTTGCTGTTTTCCACAGGAAGCAACGGGTTAATTTCGTAAGCAACGATCGTGGAAAAGACAAGTGAAATGTGTGCTACTTCATGATCAAGATGAGGGGTGAATGATGACAAAATAGTTGCTATACTTAAAAACACTTAATTAATATGATCTAAATATAATCCAAGCGTTTTGTTGATTAACTGCGATGATAGTTCAATTAATTATCGTTTTGGTTAAGTTAATTATTGGAGGAAGATGAAAGCTTTTCTGAATCCCTACGAATGTGCCTATTTCGGCGCTTCGAGAAATCCCGCGAGCTCTCCTCCGAAGCTCTCGCTTCGATGCCGTTCCGAAGCTCCGAATCTCGAGATTATTATACATACTCTTTTGGCGACCCAAGAACTGTTCCTTCTGTTCGGTCCATTGTTTCTCTACGAAGTCCTTTTGCTGTTTGGTCAGACCCTGAAACGGACAGAACGGCATGCTAGGAGTTATTTTCACACATCGGGGGTTTTTCGCCTGGAAACTTCCGTGAAACACCGTCCCTTCTCCTGGGTCTCTCCGTGGTGAAGTTGGGGCTGAGAAAATTCATGTCACGGAGGCTATTCTTGTCATCACCCTTAACTCGGTTACAATCTTCGACGCTTGTTCTTAACGCTCGAAAATGGATTTTCGGATCCACGTCTAAACGGGATTGAATCAAAAGCCCACTTCGCTCAACTCTGCTGCTGAAGGGAAATCGAGAAGGGGAATCGAGAGATCTCGTTTCGAGGCCACGTGGGATAAAATCCAAATTATTAGATTATCGTCGTGGTGACTGGCTGGTGTCTCTGCCGTGTTGGGCAGTGTAAAATAGCTATGGGTGCGAGCGCAAAAACGATATCGCCGTGCTTGTGTATGCAGCGTCATCGAAACAACACGGACACAGCAGTAGCTCGGGGGTTATCTCGACCGTTTAGTGAACGAGGGGCGAGCGAAGAAATTAGAAACACGATCGTTGATGAAACTTATAGGTGGGCGGGGGCAATACAACCAACAAAGGCAAAGCAAAGGGGGACGGTAAAGTGACCGAGAAATCACGGTTGGACTCACTTTTGTTGCGCTTCATAAACCGATCTGATTTTTCTTTCCAGTTTTTCTCGTTGGTCTCCGCTAAGATCGTGTCGTAGCCCTGTGTGATTCAATCGACATTGGCTCACTAATCACGATATCTCCGTACGGAGTCATTTCTATATATATCGCCGAATTTATCACATAGCACAGTGAGAACAGATTTACTTTCGTACTCGACAATGGCTTTAAACGTGGTACTGACGGTGTTTTCGACGGTGTTCAGTTGCGCTTGTAAAAGTGTTCACGTGGGTGTCGTGAAAGCGAGAATTCGGGACTTTGGTTTCGTATTCTGAGTGAAGATCGTGTGAGCGAGTTCTGGTTGAATTAAAAAATAACAAGAGAGATATATGTGTACTCACTCCCTCGAAAAGTTTCTTCTTGTCGTCGTAGGACCTGGTATCGACGCGACGCTCGTACTTGGAGGCAACTTGGATCTTCGGCTGTGACAGAGCGACTCGATTAATCTCTCTCGTTTCTTTTTCATCTTCTCTCTTTCTTTTTTATTTCTTTCTGCTTGTTGTACACATGACAAGATAGAAATTACATACGGGATATTTGCCAGTCAGAGCCTCGGGATCGAGACCCTTCTTCAGGGCTTTGTGCCTCAGTTGTTGCTTTTGACGTTCCTTCAGCTCTTTAAGCTACGATAAAAATGCAATATTGATTTGTCAATACAGCCCGAAAATGACACGAACTATAATTAAATTCTTGTTTGAACAACTTGTCCCTCGGGTGGAAACGACCAACGCACGTTTCCTTTCTTTGGAAAGTCGCGTTTTATAAAAAAATTATATTATGCATACGTAACTAAAATGTAGTTTCCTCATGCAATTGGAAACAGCGAAGTGAAATCCCACGAAACTGGAAATGAATGTCGTTAAGAGAGTAATCTCAGTTTTTAAGAAGATTTCAAAGTAATCAAGAGAATAATCTCAGTTTAAGCTTTACTAAGAACGACTTCGATTATTAGATTTAGATTGTTCAAGCAAGGATAAGTAGCTCGCAGTGTCCTCGCGATCGATCGATCATACAAACTCACATCGTACTCCTGACGCTTCTGTCGCTCCTCCAAGTCGTACTTTTCAGTCTCGAGTTTGACTATGGCCTCCCACAGCTCGGTTGCCTTAACGCGAAGCTTCTCGACCGCAAGACCGTCGATTTCCAGGGGTTTAATGCGAATGCTCAGAGAGATTTTCTTCTCTTCCTCGAGCTGCTCCTTTGTCTTGTTACGCTCGAGTTGCGCCGATGAGAGAGTACCACCCTGCATTTAGACGGGCCAAATCCGGCTCAAATTGCTTCGGTCAATAAGAAAGAGGAAAAGATACCAGATATTTTAAGCTATTCCAACACCCACCGAAAGATCTTTCTTGGTGATGGTGAAGTTCGGGCCCTTTTTGCTCGCCTGGTCTTTCAGCGATTGCATCATGGCCTGTCGTTTCTTCTCTGACTCTTCCAGGCGCCTAAACGACAAAATAATATGAGATACGCTGTACGCGATCGAAATCATCTACCTTCGACATTTACCTTCTCTTTTCCTCGATGTCGCGTTGTCTCTTCTCCTCTGGAAAAGGAAATTCAAACGTCTCAATTGAATTATCTTGAGATTCATCGGAAAGAAAGAGAAGAGAAATATCGAAGAAAGTTTTTACCCATTTCACGTTGGCGACGTTCCTCCTCCTCCTTCTTCTTTTGCGCCAATCTCTTCTCCTCGTCCGCGCGGGTGACTTTGCGCTTGGCTTGTTTCTCCTGGAAGGCAATATACTCTTCAAACAAAGTACTAAGTAGCTATGAAATTGGAAAAGTCGTACAAATAATGAAAGAGCGTGCCTTTAATCTCTTCAATTCTTCCTCCTCCTTGGCTCTCTGCTTCCGCCATTCCGCTATATACTCTTTGATCTGTTCGTCGAGATCACTTCTCTTCTGTTCTTGTCTCTGAATGTTCAGCGGTGGATTAGTCACGTGTGCTCAATTGCACGAATATCTAACTGAGAAAGACGTTACATGCATATATTTATACATATACGTGCAGCTGACACTCACCTTCATAAACTCGATATTCTCGCCAGATTCCCTGAAGACGGTCGGAGCGAAAACAAAAATATCTTTCTGTAAATCTGCCGTTGGTTAAGCCCATTCTCTGGAAGATCTCGCGAGATCCCCAAGAACGCGAGATTCTCACGTCCGTCTCCACAACTTTATTACAACTCCATCCATTCTCTCCCGTAGCGCATATTATTCAATGTCGCTCGTCGCACGTATATTCACACACAGACAACACATGGGCGGAACAGTCAGACATATATAGATACACGGACGGACAAACAGAGTCAGAGAAAAATACGGGGACAAAAAGGAGGAGACAGAGGCTGGGCCAAAGAAAACGTGAGAAGAAGAAGGAAGAAAACGAAAGAGGCAGTCTAACGGCAAATAATGTGCAAGCGTCTAAAAAAGAAATAACCCAAAGTGCGAGGTTCATGAGAAGGAGCATTAAAGGGAAGTAGCAAGAGTCGTCCAGTGAGTCTCTCGGACGAGTTAGTCGGTCTCGTGATGAGGATCGTAGGGATTCACAAAACCGAGGCCACAAAATAGAGGATAAACGCGCTCTCGAGCATTATAAAAAGAGAGCAGATTGTGAGAATTTCGAATGTATCTCGCGGATAGGAACGTGGAGCGTTCAACTCGCTTGAACGGAACTTGCTTGGTCGATCCCGGAAGTTTGAAAAATCGGACCTTCGAGCCGAGCTCTCCCGGAACAAATGGGAAATCGACTCGACGCAAAATTCACGGGAACGCGAAATTGAGCGTCGAGAAATCGGTGTTCGGAGGGGCGGGAGAGGGAAATGATAGTCGCAATTGGATTTCGATCCGTTTCTTCGGGACTGGGACGTTCCTCATGAGTTTTCCGATATTTTGCAACAATCTACTTTTTCTTTGACGACATAAAGGGTGTCGTCACAAGTGTAAGAAGTGCTGACTAACTAGATCTGCGTAGGTATTATACGCTCGCCATCAATTACGGTGCGAAGTCGACATAATTAATGAGGAGGATCGGACATTAACGAGCCTTGAACACAGGGACGTAACATCGCTTTGACGTAAACTCGAACAAGACGTGGTTATGTACGTACAATGCCGTTGCTCATTAATTCATTATTAATCAGAGAGACAAAACGTGTAAAATACGCGAGGGTGTGAGAGCGAGCGAAAGAAAGAGAGAAAGAGAGGGAGAGAGAAAGAGAGAGAAAAAGAGAGAGAGAGAGAGAGAGAGAGAGAGAGAGAGAGAGAGAGAGAAAGACGTAGAGCAACACGAGGGGTTGAGGGTGTGGCTTTCAACACTGACAATTAGATATCATCGACAGGACTGAGATTCGACGTTTCAGAACCGACGAAATTTGGAATCCGTGCTGACTGACTTGCAAACAAACGTTAATTATATTGGCGACATTGGCCGTGTTAATGACCGATCATTAATTACATCATATTGTGGCGCCGGGACGCAGCAGACGTCCGTCTTGGAACAAACATTGCGATATCGCGAAGAAATTCGTGAAATTTCTGGCGAGCTCCCAAACTATTCGACTGACATCGTACATTAACGCTTACGCAATCGCGCTATGGAATATTTATGCGACATGTGTGATTGGCGTTGCGTTTCGAGTAGATCTATTATATTGACGCGCTACGGGCCAACGATCGCGCGATTTTATGTCTTGTATCGATAAACAAAATACAGAACAGAGATTAACCGAATCGCGACACGCAACTAATTGACCGTGACGCGAATCACCGAATCACCCGTGATCTCATTCCTGTCGTAATGCAAATCGGAGGGTCTGCTGGCCGATTTTACCAACGTCAATTAATTTTAACCGTAATCAGCCGAGATGCTCAGCCTTTCTCCGATAATCCTTATCGTTTTCTGATAGCCGAGAAAGAAAGAATGACCCGAACTTTATCGTCGCGCGAATTTCCTGTTGGAGATTCGCATCTCCACTTCTTTTCACGTGAGATAAAAGAACTCGAACTTTGATATTTAATACGAAATGAAAAATAGAGAATTGGTTTCATTAGAGCGAGCTAGTTTACAATGCCGGCAATACTCTTTTCTATAATTTAAAGAGAAGAAAAAGAAGAGAGAGGGAGAGAGAGAGAGAGAGAGGCAGAGTCGTCCTCGGAGAAATTAAACAAGTATTAAATTTAATAGACGTCGGGGAAACCAACTCCGGTAGTGTGAGAGTGGCCGAGAGTATAACGAAAAGGGTGTATTATTAACGTATAAACGCCTCGGCATAATCAACTTACTTTTGGGACGCTCTACCCCTATAAAAAAGAGAAAGCACAGATTCATTAATAAAGTCGCGCGGTCGGTCGCTTACGTAGGACTGTACAAAGTAGCGCTTAAATTATAATCGGTATCGCCTGTCTCCACGTTCTCGCGCCTCTTCCTCTTAGCGCAAATATGATAATCCGAAGTCTAAGCTGTGCTCGGTAGCTATGATCGCTCCGAACGACGATTGTCCGCTTCGGCGATTAATACGAGCGTGATCGCTGTGCATTGCTTGTTGACATTATCAAGCGGATCGTCGTTATTTTTCTTCAACAGGGATCGCGTTGTAGACACTTGCACGCGCAGCGCTTTGCAAAACTCCTCGTCGCTCAGGTGACGATACGAGTGACAGAGAGGCTGATTAGTCGACAGACATAACGAACAAACACGATAGGGACAAAAGATGGGCGTGGAGTGACGAAGTGTGGAATGTATACTCGTGTGTCTACGGCTGACGACGATTCGTGTCAAAAAGTGTCTGTGGAAGAGTCAGGTTGTTCCTGTGAAAGACTTCGAAGTCAAGTTCGTATATTGTGCGGCTTTTCTACAGGGCTTTTTTTAAAAGGGTGGGCATTTTGTGTTATACAAGTGTGTGTGTGTGTGTATGCGTGTATGTATCATCTGTACATGGAGAAGTGCGATAGCGTTGTTGTTCCTTCGTTTGGCCACCGACGCAAAACAGCGTCAAAGAGACGTCAAAGGCAGCAAAGTGTGTTACACCTCTTGAAAAGTTAAAAGGCAGCGACGGGCACATCGATGTTGAGTGAAACTCGATTAGCTCGGTACGACAGACTCGGTCTGGCCCTCTTCGTTAAGAATTTGCGAAAATTAATTACAAAGTCGAGAGTAACGAATTTAAATTAATTTTCGCGGGTCACTGGAGAAAAAATTTGGTTTGGAGCACTGTTGCAGAGAACGCTGCCAATTGACGCTCCACGCTACTCTTTTCCCCTCTCTCTCGCGTTACGTTTTCGCGAGAGGAGTGAAAACGAGCAGCTTCGTAGCAACCGTGATACATTAATTTCTCTGGGAAAATATTTCGTCGGTATTATTCGTGGAAACAGGTAGGAGCAATGGGAGGAAAAAGAAAAAAGAAAGAAAAAGTAAAATGCAAAAAGAGAGAGAGAGAGAGAGAGAGAGAGAGAACATGTACATGAAGAAAGAGCCAGTTAGCAAGTATATCGCTGCAAAAAGTACGTCTATGCAAAAACGACTGCGGCAACGCAACGCGTATGAGACGAAAAAAAAGTAGAAGAATGGAAAAGAGCGAGAGACTACATGAGAATAGAAAGAACGAATGAATAATTAGAAAACTACCACCAGACAATACAAGACAGCGGTTAGATAATGACGAAAAAAGAGAAGAAAGAGAAAGAGAAAGAGAAAGACAAAGAGACAGAAATAGTAAATGAGGCACTGACGACAATACGTGAACGTATGCTAATTACTGGCCGCAAAAAAAGACTTTTATACTTGTCGTATGCAAAACTTACTCAGTCTTCTTCTCCTGCTGCCTTTGATTTTGCGATTTTTTGTATCGTACCGCGCGGGTCGAATAGAGCCGATCGGCCGATGGCGAGTGGTGGTGATGGTGATTGGTTTAATTGATTGATTGATTGATTGTTTGATTGGTTGGTTGGTTGGTTGGTTGGTTGGTTGGTTGGTTGGTTGGTTGATTGGTTGGTTGGTTTTGTGTGTTGTATGTGGAGATACACACAGACAGAGAGAGAGAGAGAGAGAGAGAAAGAGACAGGGAGTGAATAAACAGAAAAACAAAAAGACGGAGTTCATAAATTATAGTCAGAAAATATATATAATGCGTGCGGACGCGAATTATTTCGCGATTGTTCGAAAAACATCTTGATTCGAAAAGCATCTTGATTCGAAACTGATTCTGATTCTATTGTAAGTTTCTCGTCCGATGGCACAAAATACAGAAAAGTACAGAATATAATACGGACGATGGTAAAATGCAGAATCGACAAACGCAAGAAACGACGCATTCCTCCCCCGAAAAATATGAGATCTGTAGCGAGTTTCTATTTTCGCGAGATAGAAAAACAAACACGGTGCCGTCAGCGCTAAATTTAGCCTTTCGACTGAATTTAATCCGTCGGCCGAGAGAATAAGACGATCTATCCTTCGGACTCGCTATTTCGATCATAATCGAAACAAATCGGTCTCGACGCGTCTTGGTAGCAATGCCCATAATGAGCCTCGGGGAAACTTACTTCCTGAAATGAAAAAAACGAAACGAGCCGTACGTTAGAGAGACATCGAGCACGACATTAACGGAATTGAACGCGATTGAAGGTGAACACTTACACTTCCTCGACTTCCTCCTCGCTGCTGCAAAAGAGAAAATGGAAAAGAATTTAGTTAGTCGGGGCGGGCACGGTAAGGGTGGTGATCGCGTTTAAACGAGGTTGACAAAACTGACAAGGGTAGGTTGGTCTCAGAAGCCGCTCTTGGGGAGACTTAAGATTCTCAATGCTCTTCGGGAAGCTTCTTCCCGCGCGATTTAATTCCCGCGAGCATCATCACGCTTACTTTACTCTGTTACTCTTAAAGTATTACCGGTTCGACTCGAGCACTGATGCAATTAGGTCATTATGCATGAGGAGGGCCCGGAAGGGGACACAATTGAGAGACGATATAGTTGGACAAGAGTATAGAGTGGTACATTAAAACACAAAGCTGCGGATCAGGGGCGTTATTAAAAACCTTACGTGGACGATATTCGCTCGGACACGGTTTACATAGAGTGACAAATCAACGAGCTGTCGCGGTCTTCTCTACCGCCAACTTTCGTGGAGATCTGGCAGCCGTCGCTGACACACCTTGACCTTTCCTTCTCTCGCGTATCCGCGTTCGCTATTAAAGATCTATCTCGGAGAGCAGCGATATCATATCGAAGATATTATGCTACCAGCCGTCTATCTTAAAGATTACGCAAGCCATTCTCTTCCCGAATTCTCCTACGATCTAACCAAAGTCTCAAAGATGCGCTCACGTGGATTGGCGAGCTCATCTCATTGAAATTCACGCCGTTCCAAAGTTGCACTTGCGTCGGTTTCAAGGTAGACGGCTTGCATTTCAAAAGAAACCACCGCCAGGGTACTTACGAGTATTGCTCCTCGTCGTCAGACATGTTGGCGGCTGTTTAAAGGGCTGCAACAGAAAGGAGAACCAAAGCTTAATCGTCGAGTTTGCAATGTCGACGGGAACGAGTCGCAGAGCGCGGACGACCTCTTTCTATATCGAATTCTACAAATGAGATTTGACAAAAATTACAACACATCGCGAGATGAAGGAACATATTGTCGTGTCAGAATTTATATTATCGTGTAGCGCCTTTTTTGTAGAATTTACGCTTTGCGAAATCATTGAGAAGGGAGAAACCTCTTACACCGAGTATCCTATTCGGTACTTAACACACTACCGCAACTTTTACGACTTAACCGCAGGTGCTTACAAAAACCACCCTGATCGATTTGAAACGCGTCATGCTCCGTTTCTTATCGTCCACGATAAATCTAGAAAAAAAGACGAACGGTATCATATTTGTATCATATTTGCCGAAAGAGAGAGAAGCCGAAAATCTTTTCAATTATGATTTACGGTGTAAGACAAAGATCGGGAGAATCGATTAAGGTACGGCGGAAAAAGAGAGAAAGAGAGAGAGAGAGAGAGAGAGAAAGAGAGAGAGAGAGAGAGAGAGAGAGAGAGAGAGAGAGAGAGAGAGAGAGAGAGAGAGAGAGAGAGAGAGGACAGATACCCGAATATACAAAAAAGCCAGCAACGTTGAATATCTTTGATGAAGATTGGGCAAAGTGGCGTGAAGAAGAAAATTGAAATTGAATAGACCGGATCTGGCGCTCGCGGATGATCTCACAGTAATCCGATATCCCGGAGGCGAGGGAGGAAGAGAGAGAGAGAGAGAGAGAGAGAGAGAGAGAGAGAGAGAAAACACCAGTTTGCTAACCCTGGCCGCAAGTTCGGTATCGCAAGCTCTATAAGGAGCCCGTCCCCTTCTCTTCCTCGTCGCTCTAATTTTAGAGGGACGGCGCGCTCGCGCACGCACCGCCTCCATCTTTCCGCTTTCCTCTTTCTCCAGGCGTTTCTCGCGAGCTTTACGGGAACCTCGAGGCGGTCACAGCCACCCTTCGGCAAGCTACGATATTCGTAACATTAGACGACGACCGAGAAATACGTCGGATACGCTATCAATTCTCTGGATCGTTCGGAGGCTTCGAAAGAGGTCGTAAAGGCGTCGTAAAGGACATTTTAATCCTGCGAATGTCAATTAGACGTTTTACGAAGACTCTCTCGTGCCGCTTAAGTATACTTTGACGGCGACGATCGAGACTTTTACCGTCATTAGCTTATCTAGAAATTACAAATGAGAATTACAAATTGAGATCAAAGTAGACCGTTGTCGTTCAGCGCTGCAAAGTTTGTGAATTTATAAAACGAGACTCTGCCTTTTTCTGCAAGATCACCCCCTTTACTTTTGCCTCAATGATTTTTCGTTACCGTCATGCTTATCACATGACAGGCGCACTACGCGGCTTTTTTACGTAAATAAATTTGTACGAAAAGGACACTCGCACGTTTCTCCCTTTGCACAATTTAATTTACAGCAGCGATCAGCACACTACACCATCATCGGTGGTCGACGCCGGCGTTTTCTAATGACAAGTGGATACAGCCGCGCTGCGGTCAGACACTGTCAGACGCGCTTTTTCGAAATTGTTCACTGATCGAGCTTCCGCGACCCTTGGGAGTAATGCCGCGCACTTTTCATCTCTGAAGCGACACACTGGCAGCTCTTTATACATGTATATATATATATATATTATATATATTATTTTTTTATATAAAACTCAGTGATCTCTAATATACCGCTCTGAACTGAATATCTCTCTTAGAAACCGGCTGTCGGGGGTAAATTAAGCGACAGTCGATAAACCCTCTTCCACTGTTCATCGTCTTCTCTCTCGCTTTTTTCCGCTCTTAAAAGTAGATTATATGATTAACCCTCGAGGCCTCGATAAAGTGCGCCAGCGCGCCTGCGAGGTTGTAGCCGACTCCTTCCAGAGTCTACTCTCTGGAGTAAAGGCAGCAGAAATTTCCGCCGAGATCTCTTTTAAGTTAGCCATTATATTTAACCGACCACGGTTCACCGACAGCGTCATCATTACAGCGTGGGGATACGCAAACACAAGGCGATTCATCGCGGACGTTTTCAGGGTCGAGGGTAATTAGCTACCTCCGACGTTGGCAGAGCGATAGAAGATAGAGAGAGAGAGAGAGAGAGAGAGAGAGAGAGAGAGAGAGAAAGAGAGACAGAGAGAGAGAGAGAGAGAGAGAGAGACAGAGAGAAAAAAGGCATACAAAATCAACGAGCACATGTAGTATGAGGAATATTGAACTTACACTCGGGTGGTGTCAATACAAGGTGGACGAGTGCGTACGTGCGTGTAGGCCTGTGTGTATAATCGTGTGGGTGTGTGTGGACGGGCGCGCGCGTGCGGACACGGGGGTGCCAGCCGGTGGGAGCGAGCGAGGGTTTACTTCGCAGAGAGACACGCACAGGAGGAGCTCTCGTCCCCGTGGAATGTGGAGTCCGCGACAACCTGAGCCGCTCTGAGAGGTCCGACGAAAAGCCGCGACTGGACATCGGCTGAGGCTCCGGGCGAGCGGCACGCCTGCCGCTACCGCGCGTTACTTCGCGGCCTCCCGTCTCTCTTCCGCTCTCTTCCTCCCTCTTTCTTTCATCCCTCGACTATTAATAGAGCGGAGATCCGCGTCCGTGGGCCACGGAGAACGATACGATCCTGAGTTACTGTTACTATTTTCGTGTCTTTTAACAGGCGGACGCGCCGCTTTTCTACGGAAACTCTCCGTTCTCCGGCCGACTCGCGCCTTGCCGCCGCGCGGCGAGCGGCTTTGCTCCAAAAGGAGGCCCGTTGCCGCTGCGCGACCACTCCCGAGAGGGACCTGGCTTTATCGTGATACGACACGTTCGTGATACGCAATCCTCTCTTGACACATGGTGAAATTCATTCGTGACTGTATGCGTGACTCCGTGCGTCTCGCGTGTGTAACGTTTAACGTTCTCCCTTGGCGCTTCACGCCGATTTGGAATCTTACACACCTCGTAACATGAACGTTTGCGATTACTTCGCTTCACTTTGCTTTCCTCGGAGAACACGCAATCGTGACTTTATGCCGTAGATGTCGTATACGTTTGAGATGCGACGCAGCTGTCTTCATGTTCGCACGATGAGAAATTATGATTTCACAAGTTTCGTCAGTGCGATTTACGACTGCGTTATTCTCACGTAACTGCATACGCAGCATTGTACGAATAAAAATAGCATTGTATATGCAAGAAATAATGGATTGCGGGTAGAGGAGCGTCGAGCAAACGGGGACAGGGTCTCGGCTTTCTGAGCGACGAAATAAGAGCCGCAATGAGCGTACATGGAGCCGACGGTCTCCGAGACCTTGGCGAAGGGTGTGGGGATGGGGAAGTCACCCACGTCGTTGAAACGAAGGAGGCGTCTTATCAGTGCCCTAAAACTGGAAGCCTAATCTCGAGCTGTGCGCAGACTGCGTCGAATCGCGAGGTGCCTCCTTATATGGTGGGAGACGTACGTGGGAGGCCAGGAGACCGCGTCGTTGCGGTATAAAGTTGCTCTCGCGAACGCGAATGCGATCTCGTAGTCGGGTTCGAGCGGAATCGTCTTCAGCCACCTTGAAGATATAAACGCGGGAGGACTCGCGCGCGCGTCCCGCGATTTGCGACGGGAGATGCGGCACGACGTTTGTTGTTCGATCCAACAATGATTTTTGTGAACAATATTTCTGTGGGAGAAGTTACGTCACAAGTTTCTCGCAGATTCTGCATGTAGTGCCACGTAATGCTGATGCAACAAGAGAAGAGATAGTGTAACAGGAGTATATAAGAATATAAACGTTATACATACGTATGAAAATAGTTACATAGAACGTTATAAACATTTTGTGCGCACTATGTCCTATTAATATGCTACTTAAAATAAAATTGGGAAAGCTTTTCTCTGACTGAAGATTATCAAATATATATATTTCCAAAGACTATAACTACAACTTTATGAAAAGATAACGCAGAGTAATTTTTTCTCTATCTTAAGATGCCTTTTCTAAAACTTTCAGAAATTTTATTTTATTTTATCTGTGCTTTGTCAAATAAAGGAATTCTATTCTTCAAAACTTGTTGGCTTTGATGTATTTTGACAAGTTGAAAAGATTATTTCTGTCAAATTTATTGTAAAAGAAAATGTGGAGTTTTCTATTAAAAACTATTATTTTATGTTTCTCTACAACTTTTTTTCAAATTACACAACTTCAAAGTCCGTATTTTGACAAAAATAACAAGTATCGCCTTTCATGTTGAAAGGCATAACTTTGCCTGAAAATTAATTTTTTAAAATTGCAAAATTTTTCAAATTGTGCGAAGCTTAAAATAGAGACTTTGCTAGACAAAATACTTTTTTAAAAGCTAATTTATGTTATTTTTTAAGAAAATTATAGTATTTAGAAAGTTTATATTTTTGACCGGAAAAAGTATTCATTCTATCTTAGTCTATGTAATATGTTATCGATAGTAAATTAACAAATAAAAATATCAAAATAATTAATGATTGCTTCAGCTAAAAAAAATAAATGTTATTGTAGAAAAGATTTTTACATTTTAATAATAAATAAGAACAGAATTCCATCCTCTGATAGATCATACTACTAAAGAATAAGTCTACTTTATTCGTAGTTTAATCGTATTATTTCAAAATAAAGTTCATCTTATCTGCCACTAAGTCGTCCTATTTAAAAATAAAGTCTTTAAATCTATCTCCTACAGTCGTATACAAGTCGTATTATTTAAAAACAAAGCTTATACAACCTAACTAACCTTTTGTTAAATTGTATAATACAGAGTTAAATCTATCAACTTATCGAATTGTGCTACGTCCTTTTTTCGGGATGAAAGATGGTGGCGGCTCGTAGCGGGGCTTTCAGAACTACATTTTGTAATAGATGACGCATGTATCATTAATCGCAGCTAACGGACTACCTGGCGCCATCTAATAATGTCTTTAAGAAACTGATAGACAAATGTGGTTTGAGTCTTAGCTAAATATGATTCAAATTTTGACTAAGTATGATTTGAGTATTGGCTAAAGACGTAAGAAGACAGTGAATGAATCTTTTATTTAAAAAGTTTGACTAAATGACAAGTCAGAAGAATAGTTTATTTTCTGACAATACTGCTCAAATATGAATCATATAAGTTTTTTATTTTAAATAGGTATGACTTCTTGGTTTTAAAATATTAGGTACAATGGGTCGTTTGAACGGTCTATCTTTTCCTCCAAATCTCAATTGCCCTGACTCTTTTTTGCCACCAAAGCCACCTCCTGAATAATTTAAATAATGAAATATTATAGAACATTTGCATAAACAGATTAAACATGTTTAATCATTAATTGCATACCAAGTCTCCTTGGTTTCCAACCCTTCATGGTACGACCACATTCACGATCAATAAATATTTGATATCCTTTTAATGTGACATCTATGGCTCGTCTAAATACCCTTTTGACATCCTCCTCACTTCGCATTTCCACAAAACCATAGCCTTGAGAGAGACCAGTTACCACATCTACTATGACTTTTGCTGAAATGACGTCTCCATATCTGTTAAAAAACTGAAGAGTTGCAAATGTATAAATACCTCAATATCTCAATGATACTATAAGTAATTGTTATTTTATAATGTACTCAAGACGTAATATTATAAATACCAAATATGTTAACCTAGTAGTACCTCTATCAAATCATTCTTATTGATTTTAGGACCAAACCTAGCTACAAACAAAGTTCTTTCTGATTTAGATTCTAAATTATGAGGTGGTTCATAGTGCCTCATCATTGCTCTACTAACTGCTCTGTCATGAGGCTCTATATCTGTTCCATCGATACTACCTGCTTTTAAAGGATCATATTCTTTGGCATAAGGACTCCATTTCTGTAATATATCTTCATTCTAAAATAAAACAAAGAAATTGATCATGTAAGCACTGTTATCTCTTTCTTATTTATATTTAACAGTTTAATTTTAATCTATGTCAGCTGCAATAATTTATTTATTTTATTGTCTTTATTAAAAGAAAATAACCCTTGACGTGTTTACACTCACCATATTAAATATAAATTATTATTAAATACAAATTACTTATAAAATAAAAACAATTCAACAGAGAAATATTTTGTTGAATGGTCAACAGCTGAGGCAAACTAAGAAATTGCCAGAAATATGTATAGTAGTTCCATCTAACGTTGTTTGGTTCAACTATTATGTACACAATAATACAAAATTCTAAGATGCATTCTTTTTAGAAAAAAAATATAAAAGATAAAATATACTCTTTTTAAAGAATTCAAATAATAAATTAATATATTTACAGACACACATATATATAGAATATTATTTATTATTATTATTTAATTAATTCCCTTATGAAATATTGAATACATATATGCATAACATTTTGTAAATTACATTCATCATGAACGCAAACCTATTTCACATAAACAATATGAGGCAAATGACGTAATTTGTGAAAATATTTAGAAACGTAAACCAAAAGAAACATAACTAAATTATAATATAATTCAAATTTACACGTTCGTCTCATCCTCTTATATGTTATTATATTTAATTTAAAAATACTATATGGATATTTTTTATTAGCGCGCATTTTTACTGATAAAAGTTTTGATAGATTTCTCAAAAATGTGGTTATTTTAGTCCAGTTTTCTATTATAAGATTTATAAACATTTTTGGGCTCACACAATATTATTTATCGAAATCTCTATACATGATACATAACACATTATATATAATATTATATTCATCTTTCGAATAAATCCAAATGATATTCAGAAAAAAATTGTATGAAAAAGTTTCAAGATACTCGTGTGACTGCAACGTATTACCGACCAACTATATTCGATTAACATGGAATAATTCGGACACTTTTATTCAATTAATCATCGAGCCTTATTCTATGCATTGCGGAGGATATAATATTCTCGCTTCTGAACAGCCAAGGAATTATGCCAACATAATGCGCACTCGACATTGTTTCACTTTATGACAATTTCTCTTTTATCCGTTGTATCTCTTGCCAATTCTTCACCTAAAATACGACGCACGCGTTGAACGTGAGGAATTTTACCCGTATATAATACGAAACACAAGTAATTATCGGATTAATAATGTCGTTACCGATACTAGATCAAGTCTAAATCTAAACGCGCGCCCATTCGTTTCAATGCCAAGATAGTATTAACGGCTTTAACCCAGCGTTTCTTAATAACGTAGCGCTTCAATCGGTGCTTCTGAATTGGATTCTCCACAGCGGCTTCCAGCCAACGGTGCTCTATAAGTTTGCCAGGAGATGGTCTATTCCTAGAGCAAGAAAACTAATCAATTTCTCGATATATTTATCACATGTAGACTAACTAGTAACAACAAGAATGTTCTCTTTCGCGTCTCGCATTATCGCATGAACGATACAACTGTGATAAAATACGAGAGTTGAAAACAATACAGACGATTCGCGAAAAATGAAGACAAGAACAATCGACTTCAGATTGATCGAAGCGTCTGTTATTACAATTTGATTCATTTCTTACATTCTCTGTAGATCTTACTTTTTTAAGAAGTTACTTGCAACGAGTTAATTACATGGACACCGATATGAGAAATAACGAACAAAATAATCAGATGTCACGATTCTTCTTATATGCTACGGTGTTTTGTATTAAATATAAAATATAAACAAACCATTTTTGATCAGAAATGTATAAATATACGTATGTTATTGCAATCAACTCTCTCTATCCTTCTCGCAAATTTAGTGCAGCATTCTTAGTAAAAAATCTAAGTTTAGCCTGCTATCCATTACGAGTCTCGGAACGGAATTAAAATTACTATGATACACTACACTATAATACACTACAATATGACAGAATAATACTACTATTTCGCTTAAACGTGTTTTGAAAGCTGCAGTTTACAGACGAAGAGAATTCTCAAAACCGAGAGAAATGAGAAGCTGTCTCGCATTGTCTTTTTTGTTAAAAGCATCACGATGGAATATTAACTTGCAGAGAATCAAGGCTGAGTTCATTCTGTGCTTCAATGAGAAGTAGAAATTTACGCACGATCGTATCATATCAAGCTTTCAGCTCCATTTGAGGGTGTGTTTATGGTAGCGTAGCAAAAGCTCTCGCGTTTAATTTAGAGACAGTAGCTCTTCGGTTACTAGCAAATCTAATTCGTTCCTTAATTCCCGACTAATCGTCTTCGCGCGGATCAAAATGAATAGGCAGGAATGGCAAGAAGGAATACGACCGAGAGGAATATGACAATCAGTGAAATCAGTCTCCGGTTTCGAGGATTAGAAATTCGCAACTTCGCGAACTGAAAATTCCCATCTCAATTTTTCTTTCTCAACCTCTCTAAAACATGAAAGATATCAATGACTCTTATATTTATTATCGAGGATTATAAATATCGTCTCAGACCTCTGCGATGCGTATATCTCATCTGAAAGGCGCCGAGGCGCGTGAGGGTCGCTCTAAAAAGACAGATTCACGACTGAATAAGACTACATAATATGATAAAACGTCGTGCGTTGTCCTGAGAAATCCGCGCGCGACCGAAGCACGAACCGTGAACGTGTACTCGTACGCGATTCGCGGACACGCGCGTTCTACGTTCAGCGATATATCGATGGTGACGTCGAGGACCCGACGTGGTCGGGAGGTTGCTCTTCCTGCTGCTTCGACTGGAAGTACTCCGCCAACGAGTTCATCGTCCTCCGGGCGATTGAGTCTCCGGCACACCAGTCTATACTGACGGACTTCCTGCCGGCACCGGCACAGGGTGTCGCGGTGGCCTCGTCCCATTCGCCCAACAGATGTAACAGCAGATCTTTGGCGCTACTCGGCTCGTCGAGGTTCAGATTCTTGTGCAGATCCCGCAAGTTTGATATTCGCGGCACATCCCTGCTAGTCTCGCCGAAGCATCGTTTGACTCGCGACCGTCGCCAGGGTGGCGTCATATCCACATCCTCTTCTGGCCTGCTGACGGAGGCCGCTTGGGGGAAAGACCTTTTGCCCGTCATCTCTTCATTGAACTTCTCCTCGATCGTCTCGGAGATCACCGTCGACTGTTCCATAGAGTATTTCTTGCCCTTACGCCTGTCAGACGTCTCGCCGTCGCCGATGCTCGTTCTCCGGAGAGCTACGAACACGTTTCCAGGATTGGTATCCTGTGTGTATTTGTCGAAGCTACGGCTACTGTGAAAGGTCGTCCCGTTGAGCTTTCGCTGCCTCGTAATATTGGACAGTTTCTCTGTGATCTCATTAGTCTCTTCCTTTTCGTTGCAAGACACGGACAACGTGACGCTGCTCTTCGCGTACGTACCACGAGCGTTACCGACGTTGTTGCCGAGCTTCTTTTTTACGGTACACTGCGCTGCATTCATCGTACTTTCGTCCACATCCTCCTCGCTCGCGCGCGACCCTCCCATAGCGATCGCACGCAGATGCTCCGACAGCTTGATGATCTCCTCAGCGAGAGCAATCTGACTGGCAGGGTCGCGACGGTTTCGCATGGCCGTACCCTCGGACGCTCTTCTCTCCAGGGACAAACTGAGACTTGGCACAGATAACAGATTACTGGAATTATCTCGTACAGGCTCCAGCACCTTCTCCGACAACGTGCTGCTGCTGGGAAGACTGTCGCAGGGCGAGGGACTGTGAGCTCGCAAGGACACCGACTCATCACGTTCACGAGTCGGGTTCCTTGGCAATGCGTAATACGTGTCGATTGTGTACGGGCTGTCCGGGTGTTCTCGCCAGCGCTCGACGAACAGCCTGAGATTATCCTTCGTCACATCCAGCTCGTCTTTGTAATCGTCGGCGAATCCTACGACCGGCGGATGATTCTCGATCAAGGCCTTTCGTTTGGCCTCCGCCAGTCCCACGACCTCCTTCTCCGTCCTAGTCCTAGCGCTCGTCTTGCGGGCCAGCCAGAGGTGTTCCCGACATTGCGCCGCCGTGAATCGCTTTCTGAAAGATTCGAAAGGCTCGTCGTGAGGACGGTCGTGCTCTAATGCCGTGGGCACTCTCGATAGGTTCCCCTTCGCGCGTGGAGAGACACTCGTGTGTTCCGAGGGCACACGGTAAAAGACGAAAACGCGTGACGAAGAGTGGCGGTGCACGTGCAAAAGGTGCCCGACAGTGATGCTCAGATGCCATACAAGTGTGTGTGTGTGTGTGTGTGTGTGGTGTAATACGTGTCTTTACGTCTGCGCTTGTGTTCGAGAGTGCAAGGTTCCCGATGAAAAGTTGTTTAGTCGACGAGCAGGCCGTCTGTGCCGATGCCGTCCGCACTTCTTGCCGCCTGATGTTTAATCACGAGATAGAATGGTCGTTTCTCTTTATGTAGCCTGTACAGTATCGACCAATGTTAATGCATATGATCACCGGAAGTAGAATTTTCTTTTAAGGAAAACAACAATGGGAGCCAGTGCATGTAGCCGTGACAAGCATAGACTCGTGGACCATACACACACCCTCGTGCACAGCGAGCGAAGAGGGGCGATTAGCTGCATGAAAGAGGGAGAGAGGACTCTCTTCTCCTCTGAGAGTAGCGACAGTCACTCGAGAGGGTAGATCGTGAACGCGCGCGGTCGCAAGCAGCGGGTAACAGACTTCGCATGCGACGTGAAGAAAAGAAGAAGAAGAGAAAGAAGAAACATGAATGAGAGAGAAAAAAAGAGAGAGAGAGAGAGAGAGGGGGGGGAGAGAGAGGGGGGGGGAGAGAGAGAGAGAGAGAGAGAGAGAGAGAGAGAGAGAGAGAGAGAGAGAGAGAGAAAGAGAGAAACGAGAGTAATGTGTCTTGGCGAAAGAGCATACTTACTCCTTGTCTTTTACCAGGAGGCACCTGATGAAATCCTTCGCGTCATCGGAGATTTCGGCGAAAGCCTCGTGATCGAAGTCATACTTGGCGATAGTGACGTTGGCCATTGTCTCTATATCTGTATCGCCCATGAACGGTGATAAACCGGACAATCTGCAACGACAGTACATGCACGCGATCGTTGCCGTGACGAGACGTTCTCTCTTCTCTCCCCAAAGACCTACTTACAAAACATAACAAATAACACCTATGCTCCACACATCGGTGCCGAATCCGATTTGGTCGAAATTCACGACTTCCGGGGCGACAAACTCGGGCGTACCAAACAACACTTGCAGCTTCTTGTTCGGATCGTATACCCTCGCCAGACCAAAGTCTATGATTTTGATTCTGTTGCCTTCTTTTGTAAGACACAGGATATTTTCGGGCTATAAAATAGAGAGCTTGCTCATAACAATTCATAGAGATATTTTCTTCGTAACACACATTGAGAAATTAAAAGAGATATTAAAAGCGTACACTCTGTCGGAGCCTTACGAGGCAACCAGCACGAATCGCAACGCAACTGAACTGACTCACCTTCAAATCGAGATGCAGGATCTTCTGACCGTGCATGAACTCTATTCCCTCGCATATTTGCCGCATGAAAACGGCGCAGCTGCGTTCCGTCAGCACGAAATCGTCGTCTATCACTCTCTCGAAGAGCTCGCCACCGTCGATCCTTAAATGATGGAAATTTTAGCAATGCAGTAGCGCGTCTTTCTCTGATCTTACGTTCCTTATGCGCGCCTCGCGCACAACACGTGCAAAACATACAATTCTAAAATGACATGGATCTTTTTCCCCGAATCGATGGCATCGTACAGTTGAATCAATCGTGGATGCTGCAAGCGTCGCATGATGTCGACCTCCCTCTGCACCGCTCGTCTATCCTCCTTCTTCATGATGTTCACCACCTTCGCGGCGAGCATCAAGCCGTTCGCTTTTTCCTTGCATCGATAAACAATCCCGAACTTACCCCTACGACGAAAAAAAGAATAAAAATCAATCGAAAGCTAAATCCTCTGATTCTTTTTTCATCTGTAATATGGCAAGAGGAAGATATATGTAACTGTCTAAAAATTCAACAATGTCGTCACTGGTTGGCCTAACAAGCCCGTCATTTACGAAATCTCTCTATGAAATGTATTGCTCGGCATGTGACATTCTCGAGCGACAAAAAATTACGTATGAAAGCGACGAATAAGAAGATTTGCCAAAACTGTACATACACCCGCGTCTTGGCGTAGCTCGCCCGACGGTGTCGTGGAACACAACACGCCTGTCACAAGGCCAAATCAATGAATCATCGGAAGTTAGCGCGAACGCGATGACCGTACTTGCATTATTAATTAAAATTCTTACTGTTTCTCTCTTATATCTGCTCTTCAATCGTGCCTGGGAAGACATACATTCTTTATTCGAATTAAAAAGATTTCAAGGTGGTTTTCTTTGTATTCCAGATTTGACATTTAATTCCGTCGCCAAGATCGCCGATAATTTGAAAATAGATAGGACCAGAGAGAAAAAGAGAGAGAGAATGATTTGTCCACAATTTTACGGGAGTCGATTTTGCTTTAACTCGTTTTCGCGTTTCTAATTTTTACTGAGTGTTTCGCGAACGAGACACATCGACAGACGCTTCATTGTCAAACCGCATTCCGACACCGGCAGGTCAGCTGAGTTCAAGCCGGTGTCAAGAGCGTCGGGACGCTCGCCGAGCACGACGTTCGCCGATTTGACGCTTGTACGTCACTCACGGTCGGGAGAAACAGATTATTTATAGATATATCGCAGGTCCTTGATTACTCATGAGAGCAGACCGTGTTTTGCCGGCGCATGCATCTCGACCTTATCAGCACGCGCTGCATTCCGCACTTGTGTACACCTGTGTACACGGATGTGCGAAGGTAAAAAGATATTCATATGCGATATTCGTAAGTACATTTGTGGAAATTATCCGGCAACCTCGATATCCGGACGATGTCGAGCGTAATGAACACTCGAAAGCCGTTTGAATGGCGAGTCACAACCATTCGATCCAGATAACAGCCATTATCTTTTTAATCGCTGATTGACCTAAAATTAATAATCAGTCTTTTGATTTTACAGAATTTATCACTCCCCTATAAAGGATCATTCAGATTCGCCTCAATGATCAAGTACAATCGTGATCTATTAAGATTATACATGTATATATACATTATACAATAGAATATTATTAAATAAAACACTCAGAGTAAACATTGAGTAACAGTAACATTATATCAGTATTACAGTTTCCCACTCATCAACGTAATGCAAAACACATGTTGCGCATAACAGTTACATTGTTGACTAGGAAATTATAACATTGATGCTATTGTCAGCTAATGTTCACCGGGCCAAAATAAACGAAAAACAGAGGAAGAGAATGCTGGGATTTCCTCTAGAATATCGCGATGGGCCTTTCGAGATTTGTCTTACTGTCGTCCAGAAAATCTTATTGCGCATAGCATCCACGGCCAGTGACACAACGGTATATATAAAAATACCGTTGCGCAAAGCTCTCTCTCCCTCTCTCTCTCTCTCTCTCTCTCTCTTTTTCTTTCTCTCTCATGCGTATCGCACGAAGCTGAAACGCAATTGCGATTTACTATGGAACCTGCAGGAATGATGATACACGACCGGGCGAAGCGTAAACCTCGCCGACACATAACATATACAAACTTCAGTCGGCGTTCCTGAAGAAGTACGTCGTCGTGTCGACATACCGTCGTCGAACTTCCGGAGCGAACCTCGGCTCGGGATCGACATGTTAATGTTTTTCGCGAGCGAGATTAATTCGAGACATGCGATCACGCGTGATCGACACGTCGTTGGCACTCGTCGCGCCGGCGTCTATATGCATCCGCCGATCGACGGATTTAATCACTCACCGTCCGAGCTCCGCCTGAATGTCATAATCGTCCTTGAACTCGACACCTCGACGTATAGTTACGTCTCTGTAGGGGAAGCTGGGCTCAATCTCTGAAAACGAACGAGTACAATCGTTAGAATTGGAGGCATCGAATGAAACGTCGCGTAGGTGTTGCGCGAGCCTAAGTCGAAGTGATCTGCTCTCGAGCCTCTGACGCTTGCCTTTGAAGGCCGTAAATTATTACGTAATGATTTGATTTTAATTTTCATACGAGCACAATCTAATTTTCACAGAGCATTAATTAGCCATAAAAGTTGGCTCAATTTTTATATTTCTTTTCTTCTATTGTATACTTTCGTATCTTAATCCTCTACGTTTCTCTATATCCTCCTTTGAATTAAAGATGATATAATTTTGAAGATTTCGAACTTTGATGCTGTGAAACACGTGAAAATAGTATCTCGCGTTTATTCCAGGCAACGGGAGCGCGACAAATCGTGTGAGAGACGCGCATCTTCAACTCTCGAACACCCCGAGAGTATATCGGTCTCGCCTCTGAGACGAGTGTCTGGTGTCTGGTTATAACTCTGTAACGACGGGATCATCAGCGAGATGCAACAAATGAAACATCGTGTAATGATTGTAGCTTGACAAATGATCCTCGCGTGAGTCGCGCTTCTGCCGAGCGCACTGACAGATTTTTGGCGCGCGGGCGCGCGTTGTCGATCACGAAGCGTTTCCCGCGGTTTCTCTCGCTCAACACCCCGCCGGTTTTCCCGACGATTATCCGCCACCCCGATCCACCTCTCTCTCTTACCTCCCACCGGGTCCGACTCGTCCACGCGGATCATATTCCTCGTGCGACCTTACGACGAATCGCCGCCGCCGCCGTCGCTGTTGCAGCTACCGCTGTGTTATCGTCTTTTCGCAAGAGGGAAAAAGAGGTGAAATAAGGCGAGGACTCCACCGTGATCGCGCGAGTATAGCGAACGCGGCGAATATCTCGATCGATCCGTCGTGAGCCACGAGCGATTATGTACTATCTCTGTGCTGCTGTGCTTTAGTGTCGCCCGCGGAGACCGAGAGGAGTGCCTCCTCTTCTTCTTCCTCGGCTCGGACGGATTTAGATTTTCGGCGGACGCCGCGGATTCTGCTAGCTGGTCACGTGGTCTGTAGCCCCCAACAATCTCGAAGTGGGGATTCAGTAGCTGGCGTCTGTCTCTCGTGCTCTCTTCCTCTCCCCCTCTCTATCTCTCTTCGTCTCGAGCGCGCGCGCGACTCTCGCCCTTCTCTTCGTCCATGAAATTCCCCCTTTATAGATTCGTAATGAATCTTGAATCGAGATGCGAACACCATGGCTGGTCATCATCGACAGTCTGATGCCTGAAAGATACCGATACCTTGATTAAATTACATCGCTGATTAATGAATTAAAGCCTGTCGGCCTTATCATTTATGAGATTAATGTAACACACCCCAGGCTTCATTCACTAAGTGCCGCGCCATTCTACAAATTCCATTCGCTAGGTATATAGAGTACCTAGTCTTTTAATAGTTCGACTTCTCTCCCCCTTTCTCATTCGGCGGAGCATGCTCTATGAGCTAAAATAACAGAAACAAGTCTTGCGATAAAGCTCGCAGGAACTCCGAATATGTGCTACTTTGAAGCTTCTCACCGTGCGAAAATGAGAAATCCAACGCATTCTAGCTGGTTGATGCCTTACTGCAACAGTGAAAAACATAAAATAAGTAAAATTCCAGCAATCCGCGCAATAAATCACAAGCAGTTAAGTCAGCTAAATCGGAAAAGATGTTTGCGCTTTTGTGAAACGTTTCATGGGGCATAGGGTACATGCTTGGCCCAATTACTATCGTGGTCTTTGGCGACCCGAATTCCAGTGAGCGCACGTAGCATTCCAATTTGCTTTAACGCGAACCTATGCATTGCACTGATTTATATCATGGCGCGTATGGGAAAAGAAGCCTATAATATTTGTTATTGTTTCACATCATAATTGTTGCACTTTGCTCACGTAGTTCAACTTTTTTTACAGTTAGATAATCAAAAAGGCAAAGTTAAATTAATGGAAAACCTCAAGTTATACGGACAAATTCAAATTTTGTGAAAAGATTCTATTTTGTACAATATAAAAGTTTGAGGAAAAATCTATTAAATATATTAATATTCCTCTTATACGTATATATATACAATTTAATATTTTTACTTTATTTTGATATCTGTTTTCGGTGGTATACGAAGCATATTCATTAATTAAAATTACTTAGTTAAATTTATCGGTACATGAACTTGACAGCTCATGCGCACACGTGCGCAATGTAGCGGTTCACGCATTCTTACATCTTCCTCGTGTGCGAAGAGATATCACGTGCAGAAAATTGAAAATTATAGTTCATTTCTTATATGTGATAAATCGTTAGTAATTTAGCTATTAAAATGCTTTGCGTATAATTCAACGTAAAAAAAACTTACGTGTATTGTAGATGATATTAACAATTTGAATATTGGATACTGTTAGTGAGGTTATATTCCTGATATTTGTCCACCTTTGTAACTCAGGCCACAATTTCTTACTTTGTACTGTACAAATAAGCCACTCGTAATTAAAATCTCTAAAAGTTATAAAGGATTGATAAATTAAAATATTTTCACATGTTAAATCTTGCAAATAACAGGTTTTTCAATTTTTCTCTGATAAATTTTTAGCTTTGAGCATTGTAATAGTTTACAGATATATATAGGATTATAACTATATTACAATTGTCAAATCTTACAGCTTGTAAGACACAAATAAAAAAGCTTATTTTAATGGCTAAATACAATCAAATACAATAATAAATTTTCTTATACTTTCAGAAAATACTTTCCAACATAAAGATTATCATCATCTAAATCATTGAACTAATATTAAAATGGGTTATTCAACTGATCAGGACAGTGATATTCTATCTAGTTTAGAAAGTGGAAGTGATAAACCAATTACTACCACAGAAGAGAAAAAATTTAAATGTACTTATCCAGATTGCCATGCTGCGTATCCAAGGATTGGTAAATTAGAAAGGCATATAAGGCTGCATACTGGAGAGGTATCTCAGAAGAAAAGAATCAGTATTAACATATTAGCTATCGATATTCCAAATAATAACTTCATGCCTGAAATAAACAAACAATATTTCTAATAAGTTTTTAATAAATATATTTTATTTTATTGTATTATACCAATTAATGTAGTATATATACAGCTGATATGTTAAAATATTCATAACTATATGATGTCAACATTTAATGATTAAGAAATGTTCTATAACAGAGACCATATGCATGTACACATCCAGGATGTACAAAGTCATACAGATCTTCCTGCCATCTAAAGAGACACATAAAATCACACGATCCTATTAAATCATGTTATAAGTATGTATTACATAATATACATAAATATATATAAATTAATTATATATAAATATATATATATATATAAATTAATACACAAATTGTCCCATTTTATTTTTAACATTTAAATATATAAAAAAAATTTAGTTTTTTGAGAAAAAGCTTTTATACAAAAGTTGTAAGATTTTGAAAGAGTATAAAATGATAATATTCTTTGAAATATTTTTAAATATCATTTTAATGTGTCAGTCTCCAGTTTAGTAAGTAAAATTATATAATCTTCTTTAACTTGAATTTTTCTGATTATTTTATCTGTAAAAATATCAAAATTTTACAATTTTTGTCTGAAATATTTATTCAAGAAACTTTATGTTTTTAAGATGTTTAAATGTCAAAAATAAAATAGGATACTTTATACTGTAAAATAGGATACAGTACCTTTATTTTATATATTATAATTATATTTGTTCTATGACTTTTTTAGATGTAATCATTGTTCAAAAATATTTAGTAATATTGATTCTTTAAGAAGTCATTACAAACAACAACATGATCAAAGAAAAATTTCTTGTAAAGAATGTGGTGAGAATTTTAAAAAAAAATATCGCTTAGTTAAACATCAAACTATACATTCAGTGCCTACAGTTCCTATAGGCATTGATTGTATAGAACAAGTTACAATGTATAAGACACGTTACAAATGTGATAAGTGTCCTAAACGTTTCATAAATAATACTAGACTTAATCGTCATAAAAAAACACATGAAAAAAGTTATTCCTGTCCAGTTTCTGGATGCTCAGAAGTATTTGATAAATGGTCACTTTTACGTCAACATAAGGCAAAACATAAAACAGGTATGAATACAATGTGTTATATAATGTAAATTTATCATTTTAACAAAATATAAACTTTAATATAAAGATCTCCAACTTCTGTTTCAGAGCATAAATGCGACAAATGTAACATAGTTCTCCGCACAAAACGCCAATTAAAAATTCATTCTAAAACACATTCTGAAAATAGACCGATTATATCATGTCCATATGAGACATGTTCTAGAACTTATTTTTACAAATCTAATTTAGACCACCATATAAGAATGAAGCATCTTGACCACAAATTTTGCTGTGATATATGTTCCGCAGAACTTTCATCTAAACAGAAGCTAATAGAACACACAAAACGTCTTCATGAATCTAGTGAAAAAGACGACAAAAAACTGAAAAAGAGAAAGAAAAGGAAAGATAGCGGCATGCCAAGAAAAAGTATAATACGTAAACTAATAGGACATAATTTGCCTCCTGATATAAATGCCGCATTATTAGAACGAGAAGCAACGATGAATCTTCCAGTATCATTTGATAAATCAGTAAAAACAAATGAACAAGTTGAATCTGTAGAAAACGTGTCATAATAACATATTTCACATATCTCGATACGTTTCGTTACTTCAATGACGAGAATGACGAGAATGAGAAGCAACTATAATTAGAAAACATTTATATCCTAATATTGAACAAGACTTTATAAATCTTTTTTGAAATTTTTAACACATTTGTTAAATTTTTATATATACTCAAATAACTGTCCTTCATAAGATCATCTTGCAAAAGAAGCTTATTAAATATAATGCATGCATTTTATTATATGTCTTACGTTTTAAATAAACAAATTTTTTTCGTTACGTATTTTCACACATAAAAAGTGGAATCCGACCAAACTTGAAGTTACGCGTAAAATTTAAAAGTTATCCTATCGAAAAAGGTTTGCAACTTTTGAAATTCCAATAATAAATAGTAAGTTTTTAGTTATTTACTAATTAGCGCGACGCAGACGAGAACCATGTGATTCGTCGTGACAATAAGATATATTTTAGCCAATCAAATTCTATAACTACCATTCTATGGCTGCGATATTCACTGCCAGCACTGAAAATCTATGGCTGTGTTCCGATATTCACTGTCAGTACTGAAAATACATAGTATTCGTCACGTATATTATAGATTCTCAGTGCTGACAGTGAATATCGGAACGCAGCCTATAAAGCCAGCGGCACACGGTGCTTGTTTTCGTGCTGGATTGCTTGCTGGATGAAAATATTGCGTTGTGATTGGTACATTTCCGAAGATGGATGGAAATGCACCAATCAGAACGCAGTATTTTCATCCAGTAAGCAATCCAACACGAAAACAAGCACCGTGTACCGCTGGCTTAACATAGGCAATCAACGACAATCGATACTAACCCTTTTCGTTTTCCTCGAGCTCTCGGAATTTATCGAGAGTCTCGTAGAGTTTCTCTTGAATCGCAATGCCGTTTTTCGATAGTATATAAAGTGCAATAGCCGTTGACACAGCTGAAGACAACTGAATTGGTTGAAATGAGCTATAGCTGTGTATTAAGCAATTGTGTTTTCCAGCGGAACGAGGGCACAGCGAAGGATGTTAAATATAATTATGTAAATCTCGGAACCTCCCTTGTTGAGAAATCATAGACTAATTCACAATGAACTTCCCGATCATCCGACCATGAGTACGTTTAGACGATGCATTTTGACACGGTGACCTTAACGGCGTCAATACGTGGGAAGCAAATGAGGTGTGTTGTGATCGTTGAGACAGGTGTTGATTCACGGGGTCATTGGCGATGCTGATATATGCGTACACGGTTAATTTCACAGCGGAGTCTCGCTCTCGTACTGCATCGCAGTAGTCAGTGCAGCGACGATGCTAATGACCGTATCGTGCGTTGTCTAACGATATATTCTCGTCATATTCGGGTTATACCATGATGGGAATACTGTACGAGAAGAGGCCGCTGAAGAGGCCGCGGTTGGGTCCTCCGGATGTTTATCCGCAGGAACCGAAACAGAAGGAAGATGAGCTCACCTCTACGAACGTCAAGCATGGTTTCCCGACTATGCCCCAGCTCTCGCATGAGTTCGGCACAGCCAGAGATTCTATTGTCACTGCTGCCAAGGTTGGTGCATACTTTAACGCTATTCTTGCCAAAAAAGAAGAACTGGCGACAATGCCTGATACTGGTAGAAAGAGACAACAGATTAATCCTAAGGACAACTTCTGGCCAGTAACAGCCAGGACAAAGAATGGTATTGAAGCTTGGTTTAAAGATCTTTCTGGCTGTAAACCATTAGTTGCTCTTGCAAAGAAAGCACCAAATTTTAATAAAAAGGAAGAAATATTTATGATGCTTTGTGAATATCAAGTGCCGATGCTCAGAGCAGCTTGGTTTATCAAGCTCAGTTCTGCTTATACTGTTGCAGTATCAGAAGCTAAAATAAAGAAGCGACAGCTACCTGATCCAACCACAGGTGAGTTGAGACTCTATTGCAACAATAGATTTGAAAGAATATAAAATAAGATTAGGTATCCCAATTTAATTAGTAAAGTGTAACGTATGATTCTTGTAGCACTTTTATCAAATTTCTTATTAAACCTTGTTACTTTTTATATTCTGTGCAAACTATAATGATTTCAAAGATTTCAAAGAATATTAAACATGATTGTCTTTGTTTCTGTATCTAGAATGGACAGGCACACTCATAAAATTTTTGAAGGATCAGTTGTCAAAAGTGCAAGAGTACTATCATATGGGCAATCATGTAGCTAGTACTAACAACAATAACACTACACCAAACAATTCCTGCAATAGCAATGGAAGTACCGGAACAAATAATAGCAACAACAACACCAGCAACAATAGCAATGTCAATAATAATAATGCAAGCAATAGTAACGGATCCACCAACAATCAACCACCAACACCTACTTCAAGCAGTCAGCCTGCAACAGGTAACACAATGAACGAGGAACACAAATTGGCACTTAAACAATGGCATTATTGTGTACAATTGGCCAAGTACATGTTTGAGGAAGGCTTACTTGATAGACAAGAGTTGCTACAGTGGATCTTAGAATTGCTAGATAAGATTAGGTCCTCTCCCTCGGAAGATGGCATACTGAAACTCCTGTTACCATTGGCTCTGCAATATCTCGAGGAATTTATACAGTCTGAACTATTAGCCAGACGATTGGCATATCTGTGCTGTCGTAAGCTGGCACATATGTGTAGCAATGTTGAGACAAACAGCAACCCACAGAGTCCGTCCATTACGAAGAATGAAGTTAATGGCAGTAAGGAGATAGCTGTTGTAATCCAAGGACCGCCGAATCCCTTGACAGTTGCTTTCAATGATTATTTAACTTGCGCGCACCACAGAGATGTCATTTATAGTTTGTCGACCATAATACAGGTGAATGACTTACAATAGAGAAGGAAATAAATGCAAGGATGTTATATTTATAAGTGGAACAGGTATCATAGATTTATATGAAATTTACTTATGTACTTTTAGGTCATCACATTAGAATGTCCCACGGCATTGGTTTGGAATAGCGTCGGCGAAGGGAAAGCACCGTCGGTTTTGAATGGATCGCCCTTGGATTATTTACCGTGCCCGCCCGCGGCTTTACCATGTCCGCCAGCGAGTTCCGGCAATCCTACGATGAAACAACTCAGGATCGCTCAGGAAAACATAAGAGCCCGGTCGCAAGCGGCAGAAGGCAGATGGTCGTGCGACAAATGGCAACAGAGCAGTGCGGGAATGACGACCACCAAAGTGTTAGCTGCATTGGACGCTCTCGATCGACACAGTTTCGACAAAATGGACGCTGCTAATTCACTGGACACGTTGTATGCAAAAATCTTTACACCACCACCGAAAGATAGCTCTAATGAACGTGACACAAAGACAGAATATAATCCACAACAGGATTCGGCAGTAGTTGAGATTTTATGCGAGTGGGCTGTGAGTGCCGAACGTTGGGGCGAGCATAGAGCGATGGCGGTCGCTAAGCTTCTTGAAAAGAGGCAGAGCGAGGCCACCGGCGAGACTAACGATAACGATGACAAAGATAGCGTGTGCAGCAACGGGAGTCCGCCAGTACTACCGATTTTCCAACCGTTGCTCATGAAGTTCTTGGATGTAGACGCGCCAGTATTGGACAACACCTCAGCTCAATCCAAGGCTCAGTTCACGAATTTAGTTCATCTGTTTTCCGAGTTAATAAGGCACGATGTATTCTCTCATGACGCGTATATGTGCACTCTCATCTCAAGAGGTGATCTCATACAAGGTAGAGAATTATTTGAAAGTCCAGTCGTTCTTCAATAATTTCGAATTTGTAAAACTTCAAGCTTGTGAATACAAGAGTCGTGTCAATTGTGCAGATTTGCACTTTGTACGTCATATAAAATATTTTAGAAATCGACCATCTCTAATCGTGTAATTATTATATTTCCACCAGGTCCAGTAGCTAGCAAACCTGGTACACCGAGTAACAGGGAGCCGATCGACGAAGATAGTTTGTTCCCGGGTATAGATCTGAAACCGACTAAATTGGAAGTGCCGGATCACGGGCGTGCCATGGACTACGATGACAGTAAAATCGATGACGATTTAGACAAGTTGCTGCAACACATTAAAGAAGATCAACAGAACAGTATGGACGCACCAGATAGTCCAAAGGAGGACGCATTAACTGGTCATGGTGGTCACGAGAGCCTCGACTCGAAAATGCCGTCTAGCCATAGCAGACATTTATTGTATACCACTCACTTCCCATTACCACAAGTAATTTTCTCTTTTTTTCTCTTTTTTTTATTTGTCCAAGCAATCTCAGCAAACATGTTAGGATGAACTTGTTGGAATAGTTTGGATATTATTTTAAATTATACATTCGTACAATGTTTAAAATTGATGCCTTTAATTGATCTCGTCATATATTATTCTATAAATCTTGTTTAATCTGACGGCATTTGTATGCTTATATATTTATAGGACGAGACGTACAGTCAGCACGAGTGCAATCAGCGGCATGTGTTACTGTACGGCGTTGGACGCGTCAGGGACGAGGCTAGACACGTCGTCAAGAAGATGACGAAGGAAGTGTGTAAACTGTTCGGCAAGAAATTTAGCATCGACGTCGCGGAAGGCGGCAAGGTGAAGAAACATTCTCGTAGTGAATTCAATTTCGAGGCTATCACCATGAAATTCCAAAACTTGAGTTACTTCGACCAACACGTCGTGACGTGGCAATGCGCGACGCAAGTGATCGAGATGCTGAATACATTCGCATTAGCCGGTTCATCGTATTTACCGGTACAAGAACATGTGGCCTTCCTGTTTGACCTGATGGAACTGGCGTTGAATATATACGGCCTAATCGACGTTTGTATACAAATCCTGAAGGAGCTACCAGAAGTAGAAGCACAATTAACAGCTAGAAATAGTCAATTAGTACGCAGTTATACCACAAGTCTGAGTTTGTACGTCGTCGGCGTGTTAAGGAGATACCATTGCTGTTTGTTGTGTAAGTACTGTATAATGACATTTGTAGACTACATGTAATTGGCTATGTTGTATAAATCGAGACTATGTGAAATTTGCGTAAAATTGTTGCAGTGTCGCCTGAGCAAACGACAGCGGTATTCGATTTATTGTGCAAGGTGGTGAAGCATGTCTCAAATCCGAGTGATTGCAGCTCGGCCGAACGATGTGTGTTGGCTCACTTGTACGATTTATATTCGTCATGTTCCCTCCTGAAGACGAAGCCACACGGCGTGGAGGCGTTCAGCAACGCTTATCCGAAAATTCGAACCGCTCTCTATAGCGCGTTGCAGCCGACGCCTTCGAGTCATGTTTACAACTCGCAGTTTATGGTGGATGTCTTCACCAGTCCACGAAGAGGTGGCAAAATCGAGCCGCAATGGGCAAGACAGCTCAACGAGACTCCGGCTAATCGTTACAGTTTTGTTTGTAACGCGATCGTCGCGGTCTGCAGTGAAACGGACAACGACAAATTGAACGATATTGCCATAACTTGCGCGGAACTCACTGCTTGTTGTAACGCGCTCAATGCTGAGTGGCTGGGAGTACTCATGGCGCTTTGTTGTTCCTCCAACAGTCCTGCTTTCTACATCGACGTATTGAATCAAGTTGACGTACAAGATTTAAGTATACATAATTCTTTGGCTGTATTCACATCAATTCTAATCGGTAAGTTCTGACAAGATATATCTTGCAGCTGTAACGTGTCATGATACAATAATTTATTAACTCGTTGTGTTTACAGCAAGGCACTGCTTCTCACTGGAAGATTTCGTCGTGCACATAGCGCTACCGTCCTTGGTGAAGACTTGCAACGACGGTCGCGGGGACGTCGATATGGAGGCGGAAGCTGGTGCACGTTTAACCTGTCATCTACTGTTGAGACTCTTCAAGACCGTCGAATGCCCGCAACCGGCTTTGTATTCCGTTAGTACGAGTCCTCATCCACTGCCAAGCGGAAATTCACGGGGTTACAGTATCAAATTGAGTTGCGACAGACACCTGTTGGCAGCGGCGCATAATAATATCAGAGTAGGGCCAGTTCTGGCGGTGTTGAAGGCTATATTGGTTGTCGGTGATGCCACAGCTGGCAAACAGCCCCCGAAGAAAGCCGATGTACCCCTCAGTCATTCTAGTAAAGGAGGTGGCCCTGCTAGCGTTGGGGTCGGGGTCGGCGTAAGTAGTAGCGGACCCGGCGAACTATCGATTAGCCACATCTTGGGGACCAGCGATATCTTAGGTGGCAGCGACGACCTCGGTCTTGACCTGGCTATGTCTTCGTCCAGCAGTAGCGCCGGAATGACGACTGAGAACGTGAAAGGATTCTCTGACTTTGCTCATCATGTTTTACGACAGATCTGCAGTCAAGAATGGGTGTTGGAGCGATGCTTACAGAATCCGGAGGAGCTTTGCCATCAGGACATGCTGCTAGATACTATGCTGACACCCCGGCAGGCTCAGAGATTATTACATATGATCTGTTATCCTGAGACCGCGACCGAGGCTTTTATCGATCAGAAGACTCATATTACCAACATCTTAGAGAATTTGGAGCAATGGAGCTTGAGGATGTCCTGGCTGGACCTGCAACTCATGTACAAGCAATTCACCCCAAGTTCCAACGAACTCTCTCAGTGGTTGGATACAGTCGCGAAAGCCGCGATCGACGTCTTTCAATTGAATAATACCTTGAGCAACAAACCCGACAAAAAGTCGGGTTCCATATGGTTAGTGGCTCCGTTGGTTTCCAAATTGCCGAGTGCGGTGCAAGGCAGAGTTCTTAAAGTAGCAGGACAGGTGTTAGAGTCTGGCAATTGGTCCAAAGCAGCGGGACGCGAGAGAGGTCGGTCGAAATCGCCTTCGTTGTTCAATCATCAGCCGTTCTTGTCGTTGGTACTGACGTGCTTAAAAGGTCAGGACGATCAAAGAGAAGGTTTGCTGACGTCGTTACACTCGCAGCTCTCGCAGTTTCTGAATACGAGTAAGGAAGAGAAACAGTGCTCTGAGGACCCCAAAACGCGGGAAGTTCTGCAGGATGCACTGCAGTTGAGATTTAGTCTGGTCGGCGGTGTGTTCGACACTATACAGAGGAACACCACCGCTACGACGGACTGGGCAATTTTATTGGTTCAGCTGGTTAGTTACGGCGTCATAGACTTGAATAACAATGCGGAACTGTTCACAACTGTCATCGACATGCTGGCGACCTTGATTCATTCGACACTAGTGTCGGACTCGCAGTCTGAAAAGGATGAGAATAAGAAGCATTATCAAAATTTGATGAAGAAGTTGAAAAAGGAATTAGGCGACAGGAATTCTCCGAGCATTCGCTTCGTCAGGCAGCTCTTGCCCCTACCGAAATTGACCATGGAGGTTATTGCTTGTGAGCCGGTTGGATGTTTGACTGATACCAAAGGCAACAAGATCGCCGGATTCGACAGTATCGATAAGAAGCAGGTACATAAGAGTGACTTGAGATATTTGTGGCAGGAATATGTTAATCTAAGACTAATAATCTTAGCGCGATGACTATGATATGTGTAATTATGTTAGGGTCTGCAAGTGTGCGATTCGCAAAGAGTATCAGCATGGGAGCTTCTGGAAGGCCATAAAAATCCCGCGCCGCTTTCCTGGGCCTGGTTCAGAGCGATCAGAGTGGAACGCAAACCGCTCACATATCAGAACGCGCATAAACTTTTGCGTTACCATACTCACAGTCAAATACGTCCAGCTAGCCATTATCTGGATCCACCGCCGTTACCGCCGGAGGACCTGGAGCCAGATAAGAAGGAATCAGAACCCGGGAAGGCGGACACGCCGATGAGTATCGACTCACCTGGTCGAGTTGGCGGTAGCGCCGGCAACGTCGGGGTTGGTAATGCCGGCACCAACGGCAAGGGAAAGGCCATGAAGACTAAACGGCACAACAGACGTACGAAAGCTGCTACTCCTACAACGCCTATATCACAGCAAATGCAGGTATGTAAGAATTGGATTAAAATCCTGATAAGAAGCGAAAAAGGAAATTGTTAAATTGTAGACGCGGAAAGCCAATAAGAACCGACGCAACATGTGAATTGCTAAACTTACTTATAGATTAAATTTAAGCCTTGATAATTGATCTGTTATACAATTATTACCTTGGAAATCATTTTCTTTGTGCAATGTACAGCAACCACCATCTCAGTTGCAACAAATGGCATTCAGCAATCAACAAGCACCTGTCGCGCAACAACCTGGTATGTTCACCGGACAGCCGCCGCAGCCTCAGCAACAATGGTACGCCAATCAGCAGGCACATACACCGCAACAATATGGCTATGGACAGCAGCTGCAACCTGCGCAAGTCAGCGGGCCTCGTTACGAGAGATCGGGGATGAATCAGTCGAAGCAGGCTTTATCGAATATGCTGCGAATGCGGTTACCGTCGACGCAGTTTATGGGCTCGCAACAACAGCCGAACGCTGCGCCGGGCCCAGTAGCCGGGCCGGGCGCGTTCCAAGGTATGCAGAGGCAACAATTCATCAGGCAACAGCTGAGGGCGCAACACGGGGCACCCGGGATGAATCCGCAGCAGGGAATGTTCGCGGCGCAACAACAGCAGCAACAACAGCAGCAGCAGCAGCAGCAGCAGCAGCAGCAGCAAGGAATGTATGCTGGAATTCAACAAGGTAATCAAAAAATAGAATGAACGACTTGACGGCGGTATTGCCTTCTGTTAAATGTGCGTTAACGATCGAGTACAAATTTAGTCAAATGTTTTCAAGGTATATACTTTCTGCATACGCAGGTATGAATCAAAACTACGCTGGATACGGCGGGCAGCAAATGATACAGCAGCAGCAACAGCCGCAACAGCAACAACAGACGCCGCAGCAAACGCAGCAGCAACAGCAACAGCAGTTGTTGCAGCAGCAACAGCAACAACAGCAAGGAATGTTGAATCCACAACAAAACATGATGTTCCCCAATCCACAACAAATGATGGGCCCACAACGGGGCCAGGAATATATGCCGCAACAAAGAATGCAACCAGGTGCTGCAAGACCGCCTTATTTACAGGTGAGACAACTGCTCTTCAGACGCAGCAATGTCTGATTGACTAAATTAAGAGTCAATAATTTCACATGATCTAATGAATACTTATCCTAGAGGGGAAAATGTCAAAACATAATTGCTTAGTGAGCTATTGGTCAGATATACTTTATCGGGATGAATAAAAGTATTAAGGAAGATGTTTCTCGATGATTTCAGGCGCCAAACGTAACGATGAATACGATGGGACCAATGGGCGGAGGCGTTCAAAATCAACCGGCTCCTCCTTACCGGCAATCCGCTGGGAAACCAGGTACGGTAGGGGTGACCGGAGTAGGGACGACCAACGTTAGTTTGCAGCAAAATCAGCAGTTCCAACAGGTATGTTTTTCAAAAATATCTTTCGTGATTTCTGAATCATCTTTGTGAAATGTTGTTGAGAAATAATCTTTGTATTCCTTTAAGCAACAACAAGCGATCAATCAACAGCGCATTAGGCAACAGATGCTGGCCATACAGCAGCAGCAGCAGCAACAGGCACAGCAGCAGCAACAGCAACAGGCGGCTCAGCAGCAACAACAGCAACAGCAAGGTGGTGCCGGCGGGCAACAACCGACTCCTCAACTCGTGACGCATTTGCAGAGACACCTGAGCCAACCACCACAACATTCCTACCAGCATCAACCGCCACCCTACTAGAAAAGGATAGAAGTAACGACAGAGATACAAAAGAAAAAAATTTATTCGTTCGACGTGACGAACTTAAAGCAACATACAGAAAACGAAGATAGTGAGGTGAATTTCAACTTTATGGGTTCCCGACCCGCGTGAGTGAGTGAGACAGTGCCTGTGCAACATGGAGCAAGAGACACGTCTCAGGTTCTACAGTCTTTAAGGCCCATTGAACTTGCTGCAATTTTTTACCAGTCAATATTTTACGTACTTTGCGCATGTCGAGACGCTATCGCGCGCGTCTCTCTTGATATAACGGACATAAAAAAAAGTCACGGTATTCTTCGACGCTCACGAAGAGACTCAAGCCGAACTTCATACTTCAGGACTCCTTTTAGTAAACGAACATTTTGATAATTGCGATTATATCGCGGTATTTCGACCACACGAACGGCCTTTGGTCGAGGCGTTCGAAGCCAGAGTGGAGTAAACCTATAATTGATAAGGTCCACATTAGATGTGACGTCATATTTAATCCTAGATAAGTAATGTTATTTTTAGTCTGTTATTAATAGCGATGAGCGAAATGTGCTTGCATACCATAAAATTGTTTTTAACGATTTCATAGGTTCCGAAACGGACTGTTGGGTAACTCGCAAAACTCCATTTTATAGAAGATTTTTAAAACCAGCTGATTGAATAATGAATAATTGAAGAAGATGAGAAACGAATTAATGATTAAAAAAAGTCGAAATGGATAAATTTATCAGCCATTACTTATACGAGGACAAAACAAACCTTATAAATTATTGATTTACACCACTTTTGCTTTTAAAGACTCGGTTAATTATATAGAGAATAATTTGTACGATCGAGATCTTTTATTAGATGCCAAAAGTCGTGTTTTAATATTTTATCGAGTCGATATGCTTTCTCGTAGTGAAGCGCTATAAAGGAATCGTAGACTGTAACATATTTTCCTTCTTTTTACGTAGATTCTCGTAAAGTATTATTATTATTATTATATGAACATTATTTTATATTAACAATATTTCGGACTATATATATATATATATATATAGTCTGAAACATTGACGAATGTAGCGTAATGAACAGCATATAGTACAAGATCATGTGTACTGCAATTTGTATCACAAAATAAATTTATTGTTACTGTTATCCGACTATTTAAATGCTATCTGTATATAATATTTTTTACATAGAATTGTACATTGATATATCGATAATGTATAGTAGAGATATACAAGTAAATGTATTGAACGAATGCACTCTCTCAATAAATATTTCAGTAGCAAGCGAATATCGCGATGCATTGAATCTTTTACTACGCTTACATGTTAATTCATTGCCATTGAATCGCGTCTGTTGCATATATTCCTCATCAGCATCAGAATATAATCAAAGAAGGAAAAAAGCGTGTGTCACTTTGCGCTGTATCGTACTGCGTGTGACAAAGTCTACATTCACCGTCTTATAAAACGCATCCGAATGAAATGTTATCAAATCGAATTCGCTTCCTCCACAAGGCACTCATTCTAATTTTTTGCTTGCTCGCTTGCTCGTCCACATGCTCGCTGCCCACGTATATATCGCGCTGCCACAGTCAGCTCTCCCAGTTCAAGCGGAGCGCGAGCTCGGTGCGAGCAGTCGCGTCGCGTTCCCCGTTACCTCGCGTATCAGTCCGCGCGAGTTGCTCGGCGCGTGAAGGTTGACGAGACCAACCTGTCTGCCTGTCCGCCTGCCTCTGCCTGTGCCTCTGCCTACCTACCTACCTACCTACCTATCTACCTATCTACCTACCCGCCGAACGACCAAAGAGCTGCGATATATCAGTCGCCGTGATGAGTGTACGCGGCAAGCAAGTGCAAAACGGTACCTATGAGTTCGATTATATGCGAGTACCCGATACCAGGACGCGCTGGGAGGTACTCCGCGATGGTATCTACAATCCTCAGGAGGGAACGTACTGCGGTCATCCGCCGAAAAAATGGGGTGAGTCGTTTCGGACGTATTTCGCACTCGAAGAACATCATAAAACATCTTGGAAACAGCTTCGAACGCATGGAAACTGGTCGTGACCGGATGCTGAAGAAGCATTCCGTCCCGGAGTTTCGTTGTTCCTTTTCAAATATGATTGTCAAAGAAAGAGATAATAGCTTTGGGATATTATATATATCAACGTTGATGCATCAACGTTGCGTTGGGAGTTATTCACTTTGGGACTGACATAAATTACATTTCGACGATCTTGTTAAAATAGACACATTAAAATAGGCACGAAGTAAACAGAGCATCGTTCGAAGCACGGGAGAAATGGTACCATCGCACGTATATATTACGTTCCTCTGAAACATGAAATAATGTTACTTGGAATTTATTTTACGCAGGTGTAAAGGATAATATATCTCGATAACGATCCTACGTATAAAATTGTAACCGCATTTAATCATTTTGCATTTAACTATTGCTAATGACGACATTTGCTTCTTGCGTAACTATATCCGATTACCGAGGAAATAATAATGTCAGACTTATCGACATTTAGTATGAGAAGACGAAAGGATTATACACTAATATACTGTCAAGTACACTAATATACTTAGATTATATACAACCAAATTAAACTCCAATATCAATATGGTGAAACTTTCAGAATTGACTTTGAATTTATTAATCGTTGAGTAGGCTAATGCATTATTCAACACTGAAACTGAGAAGTTCACAGGCTTTATTCCAGAGAAAAAAATGTCTTACCACACAATTAGCTAAATGCATGAAAGAAGAAAAAATATTTTATCCATTTTTTCTAATGCTCTCTCGATGATGACGTTTTCTCTTTATCGCTCTCTTTGAAATGAAATTTCGAAACGTCAGATGACCTGCATAAAAGTTTGTTGAGAGCGTTGGATATTTCTAAATTTATAATATCGCAAGTATATATTATATTGTTCTCTGTAGTTTCCTCTGATAAGACTAAGAATATTTCTTTTTAATAACCCAAAAGCAATTTAGGGAAGAATAAAACACAAACATTGCGAGTAGTAAACGTATTATCGTATCGCGGATAACGTTATCGTTATCGTAAAAAGAAGCTATACGTTAGACCAATTCGTGAAACCACAATTGCAACAGCATTGTTATTTCATATGTTGACACGACGCTCATCAGCCAATCCTCAATGAAACCGTCTATCAGTAAACACAGCAGAAAGAGTTTTGTTTATTAACAATTGTGAGCAATTCAAATTGCTGAAGATCACCGATCTAATCATGTAAGACGACTGAAGTTACTTCGTAAATCTTATAATGTGCAAATTGAATCGCGAACGTAGATCGCGCGAGTACCATCTGACTGACAAATAATTCAGAAATATGCTTAAAGCGCAAACACAGAGATAATCGCTAACAAGAATATAATTTTTCGTATAATCGTGATAAGTATAATTCATATCTTTAAGTAGTATCCTTGGAATTAAGTAAACAACTGTGAGATATACACATAGGTTTTTCCAGTTTCTTTTCATGTAACGAGAATAATCATTGTTGTTTTTAAACGCGATGATCTGTATGATAAACACAAGTCTATTGTAATCGAAGTATTAACTTGCCGCGCATGCGATAAACATTATATAAATTTGCATTTATGCATGAGCTCGATTATGCAATTTTACATCAGCTCCAATACACACACTCACTTTTTATTCCTATTAAAAATTAGCAATCGATGATGAATCATTTTACAAATGATCGGTGATCAATTAGGTTCTGGGAACAATGTAAATATTTTTTCGGCAAATTTTAGAATCAACTTCAAGCGAAAAATTGTCACACGAACACACAACTGGTTTCTCAATGATTGTCGAGATATGAGCATCTTAATGCTCGAGTTAGCATGTAATGAGCGGTAGATTTCACGTAACTATTTATTAATCATTGGACCGAACACGCGCGAAATATAAGCGCTGCCAGACAGTTCTGGAAGCATTGCTACTGCAAATATCCCACGAACGAATATTATGTTTGTATTTGTTTCTGCAGGACAAAATGCTGAAAATGCTGTAACGCTATCAAAGGAATACAAATACATATTGAGAAATTATTCATGCAAATATAGAGAGAGGAAAAGGATCACGCATTCGACCAGATAATTTCTTCGCAGATTATAATGCTGTTAAGATAAAAACCTTAATTTTGTTACAAAACTCATTACGAGAGGATTATAACCGAGTTGCGATTATAACCGAGAAGCTCTGATAGTGTTTTTATTTCAATAAAATAAATTCCATGATTCTTGTCGGAATATTTTCTCACACAGGAAATTGTCTCATCCCGCACAATAACCAATCTTTCTCTCCTCTTTTCTCGCACGTCTGATTACTTTCAAGAAATCTTAAAAAATTGCTAATCGTGTGCTGCAATAACGACGTGATCGTTTGTGCGTCCACATGTACGTGTCGAGAATATGTAGACATGTCTTATGTAGACTTCTTGGCGGTCGCTTAGAAGCGGCCGACCCTGAGCCTCGTGTTTTGGCAGCGGCTGGTGTGAGAGAGCACCGGAAATAAGTATCGGTAATGGTAATACATAGCGAGCAACGAAGGCAAGCACTTTGGCGTACTTCGACGCGCCACTTTTCTTCCAGGTCGTAAGACATGAATCTCGTCAATCGAGCCATAGGCACGAGGTCCAAGAAGAAGGCACTTGAATCGCTTCGAAAGTTATTCCAACAAAAACGCAATTTTTTTTCCTCAAGCCTCTTCGTCTCTTAAAACACTTGAGGCGTCTTCTTCAATTTTCGTTACTAATTTTGCCGATTTTCCTGATATTATTCATTTTAATGACATTCGTTCAGCGATTATTGGCTTTTGGAACTCCCGTCCTTAGTTATCATCATCGAGGAAAAGACATTATTCGCGCGTCAATGGGTTTCGTAGAAGATCATGAAATGCAAATTACGAAATACGCTTAGGAATTTTTTGCACGTTTTACGATTTTATTACAATCTGGCAATACCAATACCGATATTACTGATAATATTAATCTTTCCATCGGCGCTCTGAAATTTTATTCGCTGTTCGACGTCAGAATTTTCATCCGATTATGAATACTGAAGACTTACGATAGGTAATAGAAGTTACGATACTCGAAGAGAATCTGTACTCACATACGATTTGTTAACTTTCAGTGTTCGCATAAAGTAATTGCTTAAAATAATAACAAATAACCAACGAATCAACCAATCTTTTTATTAGAAGCGATTTCAGATTTTCATTATATCTGCATTGTTTCCTCGAGGATTTATAAACGACATGAGGATCTCGCAGACACAATTCACGCTGCGAGAGAAATATTTCGCAAGTTGCGCATAATGCCGTACGGGCATTATTGTCAACTACAGGGAAAATCTCGTTCCCCAAGGTCCCCAATAAGATTTCCCTGACGAAACGATTCGAACGTATTATTGAGTATATTCTTTTTGTTTCTTTTTCACTGACCTGACGTCACCGTGTCGTCGCGCGCACGACATTCTTTTCCTCCTGTACAGGAACCAGTCGTGAGTGGCGGCGTTCACGAGAAATACACGTGCTTTCTTACGTTCGACTGAATACGTAATAACCACGACCGCATTATCAGTAACTATAATATCGACATGCTTTATCGTGCGCCTTTTTTCAACGCGCGAATATCAAGAAGCAGGTGTATACGGCGTAGCGTGATTTTGACGACTAGTATTGACCAGTAGTAATTAGCTTCGCACGTTTTTGCCGGCGAGCGATGCACATAGGTCTGTCGTGATGTTGCGAAATGAGCTTTTGTACGAGAAGAATGTTGAAATTTCAACGAGTCCGCAGTCATTATTCGTCTGGACAGCTATATTCAAATTATTCGAGTTATTTCATCGAGAAAATGTCATCTAAATCGCCTTTCTGAAATTTACAGATTATCTATCTTTCTGTACCGGCGACTAGGATAGTTTAAACACAGAAAGAATCTTATCGCCGGGAGGATTCGTCAGATGAACAAGTTTTAACACTTGTGCATGCATGTCATGAGGAATTGCTTTCCGTGTTTCTGGCTATCCGATCCTTTTGCCTCGCGGGTATATATAAAATGTGGATCAGCACGAGGTCGACGGCAATGTCCAACAGGTGTCTCGCAACAAATAAATCTCCTCTCGGCGAAACACTTACTTAAACACTTACTTTGCGACATTGTAACAATCGTGAAGTCATTGCGCGTCTACAGACGTAACGTGTTAGCTGCCGGAGGACTGCTACGGATCAAATGATGTGATTCATTCCTCTTTTCTCTCCCGATTATTTATCTCTATTTATCGCCGCCGTAACAGTCAATCTTGCCGGAGTTGTCGAATTGAAATTCAGCTTATTCAGAGCGTCAGAGTGTACACGGAGATAAATTTGCAAGCATATCGCAATGTCTGCCGGTAACCGCTCCGTATTATCATGTTAATGTGTACTGTTCCGCGTGTAAATTTTTACGCTAATCAAACCGATTCGCACGCGGCTTCGGTTTCGCTAAATTCCCGCGGCGACCAATGAGAATAAAGTGGAGCTTGCGGGAAAATAAAAAAGAATGACGTTTCTCGTTGAAACCGTTTAGCGCTTGAATTCGATGCAGTGGCGACTGCATTGCAGCGTGGCATTTAAATTGTGTTGGGGCAAATCGGCACGACAAGACTCGGGCTAAAAATAAATTTCATCTCCCACTTTCATACTCACCCCCTTTCGATTCGAATCGCGTTCTCTCCATTTTTTCCTACAATTTGAAAACCATCCGTTTGGTCAAAGAATCTCCAAGATAAATGTAGGTTTCCACTGTTGTTTTCTGGAGGAAATCGTTGAGATAAACCGAATCATCCGAGTACACCAATTGCATCAGCTATTGTGGAAATCCGATAAAACTCGACAATTCCCGACCGGGGTTTCTCCCGATCGATCCCTTCAATGTGACAGCAAGCCCTCGTTTCTTTGACTTGTTCATTAAAGACACGAGGCGGACGTTGAATGACGTGGAGCGTTATTTACTCAGCTCGCTCACGGATTCCGATATCAGGGAAACTCTTCAAGGCGCACCGATGTCTGCCGCGCGATTTCCTGGTTCTCGCGCGAATCACCGCGCGGCCGAAGTGCAGAGCCGCGTGCTCGCAGGCGATAGATCAACAACCGGGCTGATGATAACTCGGCGATCATGTGCACGCAATATGCATTACGCAAATTTATTTGGAGCTTCCCGGAGCGTTATCTCGCGGCCTCGGGTGTATCGCTCCGAAATGTGCGCGTATTTCGTCGAGCTAGACCGTCGCGCGATTTTCAGTCTGCCCGACGGAGAGGCTCCCCGAAGCCGCAGCCGGCGCGAATACACAGTCGACGGTGTCTGAGCGATTTTGATCGTAGAACGTGCCAGTATACACACCATCGCGATGAAACGAAAGGAGGATTCACGTTCACTTCTCGCGCGTGCAAGATCTATTCGCTTCGTAGAAAGACCCGTTCGGAAAAAGATCAAGGCCACGGCTTGAGCCTTTTGCCGTAATAAGCTGCTCGCGTTCAGACAGGGTCTCATTCGGAATTCGAAGTATCCTCAGTAGTGAAACATTTTCGGAAAGAAGAAGCATTTTATTGCGTTACATAACACCTCGATAAATATTTATACAAATATTATCCGTATACCGAGGTAATACAATACGCTGGTGTACGTCAGCAATTTTCTCCCAGATACGTCGGGAAGAATTCGATTGAGGAATGTAAGAATTCAGACAATATAAATACCAAATGTCTTCGTGCACATTTAGACGAGTACCATGTGTGTCATCTTAGGGAGGACGAATGTTGCGTTCGAGAGAAAAGCGAGATATGTATGTCAAGCTAATAAAATTGTTGTTTAATTAATATAGTTTGCTGACCAATTTTGATAAGGCGTATCGTTATCTCCGTAAATGCCACGCCGACATCATTCTATAATGCGGACGCGTCGAACATGATTATTTGCGATTGTAAAAGTTCTCAGGGACAATCCGAGAAATCCGAGCCGCGACGCTTAACGCCACTTCGATGGAGATATGATAAGAGAATAGCTTGTATGATAAGCTAATGCTTAAGATCCATGCCTTGATTTCGTCGATGCAACGACACACGCCATGCACTCGTGTACATCTCACGTCGATATTCCTTTCTGTCCCAGCTGCGAGGTCATTTAACATTGTAAATCGAAGGAATAGAATAGATAAAGATACGAACGAGACGAAGAAATAAAGAAAGAAAATCTGACACAATTTCCATGTATTTTTTTCTAAATTAGCTGCAGTCTTCGTCAAGTAATCGCTGACGATCCGCGACGATGAAGTAATGAAAATTCGCGAGTAAATATCGCCGTTGATGGACAATCGATTAAACGTCTGAATGTACGCTGAGTATTCATGCCGGGGAATGCCCGAGTATCACGGCCACGTTCCTTTCGAGGCTCTTGAATTTTTTCAAAGTTAATAACAGCATGGTCCGTGGCAGACGGCCGCCCATCGCGACTCGCGTTGCTTCTGAAAAAGGATCTATATTTAGAGCATGCGTTGGCACCGTGCCCTATGCTTTAAATATTTTCCGTTCGATCGACGAAACGATGAAAATTGTCGCGTCCACGTGGTTGCATAAGCGGCCGAAGTAGGTTGCTGGTCGTGACGTCGTGACAGCGGGTATAAGGGACCGTTGAGGGAAAAAAAAAAACAGAGCAGAAAAGGATGAGGATGACGGGGCTTGCGCGCCAGTCTGGTCGTGCGTGACTTTTCGACACGTGTGTATTCGCGTACGATGAATATTTGGATCACGCAACGGCGCTGAGATGCGTCAATGGCGGAAATATAAATAGCACGGAGAACCCTCTCTTTTGGCCCTCCTCCCCTCCCGCCCTCTTCCTCGCGAAATCCTCTGCGAAATCGCGAAGAAGCATCATTGAGGCTTTCGATTTTATCGCTGGGAAAATATCGTACGCTCTGTATGGCGTGACGGTCTCTCCGTATTTCTGTCTCTCCCCCTCTCTCCGTCTCTGCCTCTCTCAGATTTGCTAAAGTATTTTTGCACAAACGAGCCGTACTAATTATTGCGACGTAGCGGAGAATCATCCACTGACGATGTGTCCCTTCGTGTTCTTTCTTTTAGGCTACACTCTGATCTTCTATACTTGTTTCTTCGCCGGACTGGCGGTACTCTTCAGTATTTGCATGAAAGGCATGCTCGCTACGTTGAGCTACCAGAAACCCAAGTGGACCCTTAAGGATAGCCTCATCGGTACCAATCCAGGTAAGCACACGTTTGCGCACCTCTCCGCGAGCGGGGGTTCATTACTACCTCTGAGATGCGTGCGTGCGTGCGTGCGTGTCCGCAGCATCCTAAAAGCGCAGTGCGCTTCGTTTCACAAGCGATCTTATCGACAAAGTTTAAATCTTTTTGAGACATATATCGTTGAATTGAAGCTTTCTTCGTGTATTTCATATCATGTATTAAGAAGAAAAAACTTATTTTTTTCTTGCTGCTGGACGTGAGATTTCTCTCAAAGATTTTCAGATTAACACAAGGTACACAAATATGTATAATACGTACTTAGATGAGAAGACATTTGTCGAGATATCTATATATGTATAAGATGTACATTTTTCTCATTTCCTGGTACGATACTCTTGTCACCTGAATTTTTCGCTTTCGTCGCCCCACCAGGTTTGGGATTTCGACCAATCTCAGACAACGCTGACGAGAGATCACTCATTTGGTACAGCGCATCAAACGCTACCGAAGTGAAGAAATGGACGCAACTGCTAGATATGTTTTTGGAAAGTGAGTGTGATAAGCTATCGATTTATCACCGATACGAGGAGCGTTGCTACCTTCTCGATGCTCACCCTCGTAAAAACGAGACTATCGCGCGCTATCAGTTGATTCATTGATTATACTAGGCATTCGTATATTCGTATATTTATACATGACAACGTATGAAAAAAGCGGCAAATTGATAATTAAATCCGGACAAGTTATTTAATTAATTTAATTGTTCAAAATTCGCTAATCTTCTTGATCTCTTTCTAGCATAAGTTATATTTGCAATCTAATCGTGTTTCTGCAAAAAATATCCGACAGAATACATCGACCCGTCGCATTTACCGGACGGCGGCAGAAATCAACAGATCTGCAACTACACTATGCCAGCGAAGAACGGTAACGTGTGCGCGGTCGACGTGAACAATTGGGGCCCGTGTTCGCCGAGCCAACAATACGGCTTCAACAATTCGGCGCCTTGCATCTTCATCAAGCTCAACAGGGTAAGGTGCGGCGGCGGTGCACGCATGTGATTCTTCGACATCAAAGTGTAGGATTATCATCCTACAGCCACGATTTCTTCCAAATTGTTTTCATTACTTTTCAGATATATGGATGGATTCCCGAGTACTACAACGACACCGAGACCTTACCGTCCGAAATGCCGGGCAGTCTTGTCGAGTACATAAAGTCAGTCAACACTTCATGGGTTAGTTAGTCGGTCAGTCAATTGTGTCAGTCAGTAGTGAATTAAATCGAGGCTCGGGAGAAAGAAATTCCGCGTTCAGATACGAAACGCGTGATATTTTCTCGGATCGGTTCGCAACGCGGTCGCTTTGTGCCCTGAAGATGTGTGCTCGACTGTGATTTCGCGAGATCGCGTAATATATAGATCGTGTTTACTTTACATTACAGCTAAACACCGTATGGGTGTCCTGCAAGGGGGAAAGTCCTCACGACAATGAGAACATCGGCGAATTGAACTATTATCCGAAGGGACATGGTTTTCCGGGATTTTATTACCCGTACGAGAATCTTCCTGGATACTTGAGTCCGGTAGTCGCCGTTCATTTCCTTCGGCCGACAAGTAAGCTGATATTAAGATCACTTTACATACCGCGCTTTGATATCGGTAAGAGTCGAGAAATAGGTATATTTATTCTGACAAGATCGATCTTTTCTCGTGGATATTTAAACGGAGATCTTGTTGCGGGGTCGTCTGATATTTAAAATAATACGCAGTTCTACAAATGATACTTTTAAAATGACTTTAAAAATGATACTTTTAAAAATTACAAAAATATCCGACGGAATATTAATTTTTAGCGTTAAAAACTGGCTTCATGTCGATCACAATTTTGACGCTGACGTTACAAATTTTCATGTTCGGAGATTTAAACATATATAGAAGAGCGACGGTTTTATTCAAACCTTGACAAACAATTTAGCGTTTCTGTGCGTACTTTTGAAAAAACGCACTGAAGCCGATTTTTCGCTAATGTCCATTCGACAGGCTGCACATGCAGAGCGCTTAAAATGCGCCATGTGTCGATACATAATTTTTTATTGAATCCGCCAACATTGACCGGTTCATGTGACTCGCAAGCAAATGACGCACTCCAGATGAAACCGGTAAAAGCCAGTGTGTTGCAGCACGGTATCGGTCGTCGAAAGGTGTCATCGGCCAGCACACTCGCTTAAAGCTACATATACGGATTAATTCTATTTTCCTAAAATGTTACTTCACACTTTGGTTACGAGAACACTGCGTTGAGACAATAGATTTCATTCTGATCTGCAACTGATTGCATATCTTACCGTTAAACATTAGCTCATGTTGCGACTGAACTGTCGCCGTGAATTGTCTACGTTATTCCTCCTTTTTCCTCCTTTGTCCGAGTAACATATACAGATATTGAAAAAAAAATTATTAAAACGGTATTTATGGAGGAATTGTAATTAATAAAAGAGAGAATTTGTGTTCAAGTGATCGTTCATCTAGAACGAGTCCATCGAAACTACGCGAATGAAACATTCTGATTGAACTGTTTCTGCAGGAAACCAGATCATCAACGTAGAGTGCCGAGCATGGGCGAAGAACATCCAGTACAGCTCGTATAGATCCGAAAAGAAGGGTGCGGTGCACTTCGAGCTGATGGTTGACGAGTGATCACACAGTGACGATCGTCGAGATCGTCACCACCCTTGGCGCGCTGTCATCTACGACTCTACAGTTCCATCGATGTATATCAATTAGGAAGCCTTGAGACGTTTGAACGGAGGATCCAAAGCGCTGTGTGACTGGATCTTTACATACACATACACACGTACACACATACACACAGTCACGATGACGGACAATTGCTCGCGCCTAGAAGAAATTAGTAGGTTGATAAATTCGTTAAGTTTTAGGGATACCGTACACGTAATTAATCGGTTAATTAATGAATCGGAATGATTTCGAGCTCTTTCAGCCGCTAGATCAAATATTAACGTCATTCTGACAAAATCGGAGATTGTTTCGATGAAGAGGTTGCCTCTTCATCGACTTATTCGAACATACTGTAAAAATTAATTAAATTAAAATAAAAATCAAGTTGAAGAACTCGAAATGTTATCGATTCGGGTAGTTTATTCGGTGATTAAATTTTGTAAAAGAAGTTACAGATTGAATCCTTTCTAAAAGTATGAACGAACGATTCTTATGTTAAGATTTTATTTCGATAATATGAGTTTAAATCACTTCAAATAGCAGTAAATAAAAAAATTTATATTTCTAATATTTATATTTTAAATATTAGCAAATTAAATTTGCGTTAAATTTTTAATATTTCTGACGTATTCTGTATATCTATATTATCTCCTTGGATCATCTATGCATATCCAATTTGATTCGACAAAATATACATATGCTCGAATCGTCAATATGAATCGTCTGCCTGTTGAAGTGTTTTGGTACTTATTGTAACGTGTAGGTAAAATAATTGTATAAAATGAAGAACATGTGTCGCGACCCGTATAGTAATTATTACTTTTTAAATAAATGACGATGATGGAAAGCTAATCCGACAGATAAGTATAAACCCTTTTTTCTTAGGCAATGGTGAGCGCCTCGTGTGTAATCCTTAATTTATTTATTATGGTTACGTGATTGTGTTAATTTATTTTCTTGTCCCTCAACTCCTGAATTAATCTTATCTCGTATTAATTGTCATATCTCTAATTCCTTCTCCGTCTCCCAATTTTGCGAGATAGTCCACACGCTCTAAGAGAAAACTCTTCATTTAACACGTAAAGAATGTTACATAGAGAATTACGGGTGGTACACCAATAAAACGTATAAAATTATACTTTTTTAGTATGAAGAACATTCCTGACATTCCTAAGTGTACGCTATTGAGCAGCTATGCAAAAATTGAGAATGTAAAAAGAAAAACTGCTTCTTAGTTTTGTTTTACGTGAAAACAACATTTATTTTATAACACACACGACATTTATGGCTGAAAGAACGAATAAAAACGGGGAGTAAAATTGAAAATAAATAAATTGTACCGTAAGATAAAAGGTATTTGTACCTACGATGTCTCTTGAGGTATAATTTCAGTTACGAAATCTGTCATATTGCAAAAATTACTCTTGTATATGCTGCGGTGGTAATAGCAGTCAATATTCTTCAAGATTCTACAATCTATCTATTAAATTATACGTAGAACTATGAAAAAGATCGTGTTTACGCCTAGTCGATCAAAAAGAAGCACACAATGAATCAACTACTGCTACCGATATCTGAGGACTAAACTATCGATAACTAGAGACTAAAAACATCTACAGAATCCATCGTTTCTTGTAAACTGAGCTTTTGAGACAATTAGAATATATAACTAAGAAATAATGTTCTGCTAATACTACCACAACAATTTAATATTGTTGCCTAATATTCTATAAAGAAATATTGCAGAGGGAAATGTCCGTTCGCGATCGAACGAAGAAAAAATGTACGCAAACTTACGCATGTTAACAATTACAAAAAAAGTTTGATAGAAAAGTAAAATCATCTACAATGTATTATTTCGCTCATACATTTCGAAAGAGAAAAATTCTTATATTGCTTTCCGGATAAGAAAGTTACTATTAGTTATTAGCTAACGATTACGCTCAAATAATTACAACTTAATTACGACTTAATTACAATACGCTACACAGATCGTACACTGTACATTAACTGCGCTGAGATAAAACTGAAATTTATTCGCTGTCTTTTTTTTTTTCACAAACACTTTCACGTGCGTGTTAAATCATAATTTTACGTGAATAAGCAAAATGGTGTCGATACCTTTACATGGAATAAAACAACATACAAAATAATATTGTTTTCTTGTCATTAATCTTTGTCATTAGGCTTAATACATTTTCTTTGGACTAAGCCATTATTGTTATTTCATATTGTTATTTCTATATACTGCAAACCTATGAACACTATCTCTTTTTTTTGTTTTAAGAAAGAAGAGAGAAAAAAATTGTCTTATTACTAATATAATCTTTACAAAATACAATTTAATCGATATTCCGAATCTGAAACTTCATTTGTGGAAATAATATATATATATATATATATATATATATATATGTATATGCATATTTATATGCATATGTATATAAATGAAGTACGTCAATATATATCTTTTTTATTATACTTTAACTTTTTTGCATTACATTAAAACTGTCTTTCATTATGCTGAAATATTGGCGTGTGTGACATATGCCATTTATCAAAATTTTCAAAATTTGTAAAGAATTTAGCAAATTTTTTCTATACATTGATAATTTATATAGAATTTAAATATCTTAAATCTTAGCATAAACTGACATACATCATTCTTGTTTCATACTCTTTGCTTATAAAAGATACACGCTTATCATCTATTTCACGATTAATTATATTCTAGGTGAAAAAAAATTATCGACGTTTCAATAAGAAGTATGACATTATTTGACATATGATATTATATAAGAATACATTAATTTCTATAGTCATATAAACATCGAGAAAGTCTTCAGATAGTTTTCATCTACATGACCGATTATAAAAATTTTACGCAGCTAATGAGTATTATAATGATCTTTAAATGAGATTCTTTTATATTCTATTACATTGGTCGGATTTTTTTACAGATAACTTGCGCTTACGAGCAAAGGAAGGCACGAATAAACGAAGGCTACGGTCCTTTGAGATTCCACTATTTTATCCTCTCGTTCGTTCCCAGAGCTCTCGATTGCACTCACATTGAACTTGTAAGAGAACATTTCTAAACTGCAAATCTTTGCAGCGAGTATCGACAAGAATATCGTAGGTGAAAAATGGCGGCACATATTGTCGACGATTATCCTTGATAAATTAGCAAAGTAGATATTTTAGAGACCGACTTGCTTTTCTTTAGAAAGCAGTGTTTTATGTATCTTGTGCATGTTCTAATAAATATTTTAACAACCTGATTGTTACAGATTTTTTTTCTTTTGCAGTAAAAAATATATTCTAATGAATATATTTAGTTAATCACATTGATAATTAATATTATCCAAATTGAATTGAACAAGTTTAAAATGCGACATTAAAAATCGCGATATCTCCGAAAATGATTCATTCAATGGAAATATGATAGTGATAATCATCTCGATAATCATCCTCATCAATATTCTCGCTCTCGTACATATACGCGAACTCTCAGAAATTCGTGTTTTCAAGCAGTGCATATACAGTTCACTTGGAATTTTCAGGAACGCCTGTTGTAAGAACTCTCTTTCTTTTTTGTACTCGATTAATGTCATTCAGAGTCGGAGAGAGACACGTTCGTCTCACGACTTTAATATTTGGAAGGTAGACTCGCCCAGCTGCTGTCCCGACAGCCTGGAGGACGCTAGTCGAATTTGGTTCAGAAGGCTGCGCGGGAAGTGTAGGGCTGCTTGTAGGTTTCGTTAATCTATCATCAGCTCGAAATGAACCGCACCGATTTTGTCGTTACGACTATGCTTGATATTCTTCGCCCATGCTTTGCACTCCACATTTATCAGGATTCCAGCTGAAAGCGCAAAGCAAATTAGGAGATTAGGATTTTTGCGTTTCTACTTGTGGTACCAGTACAATATGAGATTCAATTTTAAAAGTTCCTGTGTCATACTTCGTGGTCTGACAAAGTGCACCGCAACAAGTGGGCTAAGGTAACCCTCTGAATTTTCATAAGGATAAAAGTAGCCGGGGAAACCACGCCGCGGCAAGTAGTTAATCGGCCCAATGTTCTCCTGGTCAGCAGGATTCTCGCCTTCACAGGACACCCAAATCGTATTCAGCTGCAACGAATTGTTGCCTTTCAAAGTCGCAATGTGTTCTTTGAGATCGTGCGGCATTTTGCCCGGCAGGTTCTCGGTGTCATTGTAAAAATCTGGCCTCCAACCATAAATCTGTCAAACACAAATCTTATGAGAAACAAATCTTATGAGAAATGTGGAACTTTCGACGTTGTAAAATATTCCATGTATTGTCAAATCCATAATCCAAAGCCATAATATTTTTACGAAATCATATCATTCTTTATCCACGAAATTTCCACTATAAATACTCGTAATTTAAACTTTACATTTCGATACATCACCTACCTTATTCAGCTTGAGAAAAATGCAGGGAGCAGATTTGTGATAGTTGTATCTGTTCTCCTTGGTGCAGGGATGCCAATTTTTCACATCAACGTCGCAAACCTTCCCGGGGGGCGGTGGCTGATTGTAATCGCATTTGTTAATATTAGCACCAAGTCCAAGAACAGATCCGGGCGTAATGTAATCTAATGAAATATCACAAAAGGCACAGTGACGATTGGACTTCCCTTTTTTATCGCAGATATTTATTACCTTTTAAAAAAATTTGTAGTGAATCAACCCAGTGCTTGAAGTTCTCGCTGTCGGTGCCTCTGTACCAAATTAGGGTGCTTTCCACGTTCTCCGTCGGTGGCATCGGCCTGAATCCTAATCCTGCGAAGCGCATCGTTTTTAATTTTAATCTTTATTATTGCTATTAATCCTTTCGCTGCTATTAATGTACAATCAAAGTTAGTTCACCTGGATTTGTTCCGATAATGGATCGTTCCAGCTGCCACCTTGGTATTCTCGGATCGAGCGTTTGAAAGAATCCCCAGAAACAAATGGCGACGAGTGCCGCCAGGACTCCGTAAAATATCAGATAAAACAGTCCGATCTTGCCTGTGAACAGAGCGAAGCATTATTGATTAAATGGCAGTGATTAAAGGAGAAATGTAAAGTTTCAGCTTGCACAAGCTAAGTTCCGCTAAATCCTGTCGACGGTGCGTTTTTTCGTATCCTTCTATATTCTCTCTCCGAGAACAAAGAAAACGGAACAGCACGACTGTTGAAAATTTCTCGAGCAACAGTCGCTTTGCACCGTTGACTTTGTATCTTCGTTTGTCGAACCATGTTCTCGTTCACGATTGCTCAGGTGCTCCGAATCGGCACGACATGTGTTAGAATTCCTTCAGGCGATAGCTTATCGTTTCTACAGCTATCACCGCAAGGCTGCAGCCGCATATTGTATTTCTCGAAGTCGCGTGCAGAAGAAAGTGATTCTCGTACGCAGGCTCCCCTTGTATAATGTAGGTTAATTGTATTAACTGCGGATTCAATTTGCAGGAAGATCAAAGTGCCTGGTCAAGTGGAGCAATTCAATTACACGCCGATTCAACGACGTCGTTTCGCGGATAGTCCTCATCACTGTACAACAAGCAGCGCCATCGGGAACAAAGCGAACGGAGACGCATCAACGGAGACGATTATATTTGACGCGAAGTGTCTTATGTAGATCATAGTTCCCGCTTTATTCGTTTTAGCTTTAGCCTTTGTCGCCTTCGTGTGCCTCCCTAGCTTCAACCTCGGCCTCAGCCTCAGCTTTTACGAGTTTCGAGTTTATTGCTTTCAATTTGTGTTCTAACGTCAGTTTAGTCCACCACGGAATCTTTAATTTCTCAGTTCAGTTTCTCTGTTCTGTTTGAGGGATTTTATTAGCTTTGATAATGTCTACTTGAGATTTGTCGTTAGGTGTATGTTTGTATAATCAAAAATCATGGTCTCGAACATCGAGGAATGATCGGATCGAATCGAGCAAAAATTCACGGAATTCTCGAAGGACTCTCGTGAGACGTAAGGCATGTCCTGGAATTTTGGACGGCCAAAGTTCGAGACGAATTTTCAACGAAAACCGGCAACTCGGCCGAATCCCGCGGATGGCCTGGTGGCCTTCCTATTATGCCAGTCGACTGGTACCTGTGTCCTCCGCAATTCGGACAGTCTCAGGTAATCTGCAGCTGAACGAAAGGCCGCGGCATGGTCGCGTGGGTGTACCCTTCGGAATGGCCCTAAGTTATGTAATGCCGTAATGCCGCCGTTTAACGCCAATTGACCTCGTTGTACACGTTTGCGCTAAAGGAAGTTTAACAATTGCCATTCAACCGGGCAAAGCGTTGTGTGCGCCGCGAATCAGACGCGCTTCGCGCTTCCGTCTTTTTCTCCCCATACCCTCCGCCAGGAGCTAACGTGGAACTGTTTGGAAAACGGGTTTCCGAACGGGACGATTCCGTTTTTCCGCCGATCCTCCCGTCGTGCGTAGCTTCTGTCGGATGATCCATGTAAAATAATCGCAAAGCTCACTTTGCAAACTTGAGACCGATCTTGGGAATTGGAGCTACGGTGCGAGCCGCTCAGACGGGGAATCTCTGGTGAAACTAATGATTGAATTCAACGACGAACCTGAGAGATTGAGATGTGAGTTATTTTATTCGTTAGTCGTTTATTTAAAATCCATTATAGACGGCAATCGGCTGATTACTACCAGCTATAAATAAGACGGTACATCGATTCTAAGAAGATCTGTAATTACTTAACGATGCGGATAGTGTCACGATCGGAAAAACGTTGGTTGAAAACTCGTGTTTTCGATCAGAACCGTCAATGATTCTGTAACAGCTGCCTTTGATTGCTTTTTGTGATGTAACGACGTAACGAGATTGCGTAATAATCTGTAGAAATTGAAAGTGAATACCTTGAACTACGAATCAAGTGCTTCACTGTAAGAGTATAAGAAAATAAATTTTCACACTGTATATTTTCACTTAGGTAAAGCTTTTTAAGCAAAAACGTGAGGAGAGATTGTACGGAGAATTTCTTCGAGATTTTTTCACATTGGCCACGTGTCAAGGTTGATTGCTGCATCAAGGATAAACCAACGCCTTTAAAGCCAAATGCAATTCGTGGGAAATACAAAGCTGCATGGCTTCTGAGCCAATTAAACAGAAACAAACAACATGTCGCGAATTAATACGTCTAGTTGAAGTTACAAGTCTTCTTCCTATACCGCACCAAGAACAATAAAAGATCAGTTAAAGTTTTCATTCATCATTTTTCAATCCTTCATTCATTTCGTCCATTTTTTAATCTTCTTCCTTCGAACATAAAATTTATATTTATATTTATAGATCAGATCAGGGAGGTTCTATCATTTTAGAAAACTCTTTGTACCTCTTCTCTGTCGTTTGTTTCGAATCCTAGTAAGGAAATCGTTAGCTTCGTTTCCTCTTAATTTTCCTCTTCTTCCTTTAAATATTTCCTCTTAATTTTCCTCTTCCCCTTTTAAATATTTCTATCTCAATCTAGAACTAGAAACACCGAAGTATACGTGGCGTTAATGCGATTTATGAACTTCATTGTCTTCAAGTTCAACTACATAACTAATTTGTTTTATCATCGCACAATTTCGCTCCGTACGTTTCTGTTATTTTATTAATATTATAAAAAAAAGAAAAAAAGATATATATATATAAACATATATATATCTCGCTGAATTTACTTATATTTTTCTCTCGATTATGATTAAAGAGCCATCGGTAATGATTCGTGATAGAATCCTCTTAGATAACAAATACCTTAGATAATAAACACTTAATTGCATTATAAAAAGCGACTGAACACCGAGACAAATAAATGGCAATGAATCATGAAAGAATAAACACGAATGTCTCGAATTTCTACAGTGCAGGCGTTTCTAGAATTCCATTTCCGCCGCCCATACTTGTCTCTGCGGAAGCGTTTGTAACAATGAAGTTTACAGCAAGTAATGCAGCTAACAGCGATGTTAGCGATGTCTCGCACAATGTGTTACTGATAAATAATAGTTCGTATTGTAAAGGCGAACGCATATTCGCGAATACAACAGCATTTTAAGGACATTATTTTGATGGCAAATTAAATTCTGAATATTTTGCTATTTCTAACTCTGTGAACAATAATTATCGAAGATACTACCGAGAGAGCGCAAAAGATTCGCTATTTTGACGAAACTATTCCAGTTTATAGACAACAAATTTGCTCCAACTTGAGAAGAGAGGATGATCGATATGAAGGAGTAATTCAGTGATGAATGAAGCGGACTATAATAACGGAAAATTCACAGTTTGTTAAGTGCCCGAGCGATCTTCGCGATCGAACGGAGGAAACCTGACACGGTGACTGATAACGGAAGACATAAAAAGACCGTGATAGCACTTCATACCGTCGCGGGGCGAAATTAGTGTCGAAACGACCAATCACACCGGACCTTCACGCTGAATCACGGCTAACGCGTGGGAGAATTGTCTCGTTACATTCATTAGGTCGTTATTAAAACTACAATAGTAATCTGAAATTACGCGCCACGGTAAATCGCCTGGATTATCTCGTTGAACCAGTTAAAATATTGCATGACCAACGGCGCGTTCAAAAGGAGCACACGTCCCTCCCTGTGCCGGTTTAGTCATTTTTTTCGTCACAGACTTTGAGAAACACCTATCGAGTTTAAAATGACCAATAATGCGAAATTTCAAAAGAACAGTATTTCTTCTATAAAATTATTTGCGTTTCTTCTGCCATCTTTTATTTCAGCATTACTATCACCTAAGTAAAAATTATAGCTGTCAGGAATGTCAGCTTCTTGAATTGAATTATTTAATATAGCAAGAACTAACGCTTGTGCGTGTATATTTTGTTGTTTTAAATAATTCAATCCAAGAACAATTGACGTTATATTCTATCCTGTATTCTCTCATTCTCCAATCGATTAGCGATGGAGATATTTAAAAGTTTGTCTTTTCGACTTGCTGCAAGCTAAATTCGGTTCGGACGTCAGAACTATGGAAGACGGTGAGGATTCTACGAGTAAACCCTAAAAAAGGGCCCACGCAAAGTGTTCAATCATAGGGTGTGGGTGTGTAATAAGGTAAGGTCGCTATAGCGACAGTCGTAAACACGCCCCAAGGCATCAGGATAAGGCATTAAGCGCGTTCACGCTATTCGCGATAATCGACTACGATGATGCGTCTCACGTGGGCTAATTAATTGAAACTTGCGAATTATTTGTTTCGTACACGCGACACGCCGCACGAGTACTCTCATCTTTATTAAGCAGTCATTTTCAAGGAAGACACACCGCGTCTAGACACTCGCATTACGCTGATATGATGATGATAATTTCGTGAAAACTTTCGCGATAAGGGAGGTCGAGTCTCCGTGTACCGCAATTGCAAAACAATCGTCATTCATTCAAAATACCGCAAAGACATTCTCCGCTTCTTTAAACGTTTGTATGTGTTCAGCGAAACTTTAAGAAACGCATATGAGGGAATCGAATCGTCGTTGCAGCGGCCTCACCCATTCTCCCGCTTTCGGAAGATCCTTGACAGATCCTTGCGTATCAACTCAAGCAACTAAAAGCCCGAATGTGTCCGATGAAGATATGAAGAAATTTCAAGATCTGAGAGTATGATATTTTATCGTGCAAAGAATCAGCTGAATGTTAATAACGATACGCGACAGTGCCGACGACTTGGTCACTGACACCATCACGTGCTAAGGGTAAACATGCGGTAATGACCAGTAAAACTCTGCTGATGAATCGTTAACGTGCCACGGCGATGCATGCAACGGTGTCGACATAGACGCGTAGAGACTCCAGTGTAGGCACACTTTTCAATTTTCTTAATACTTGGATAATATCGAAATATTAATCCTTCATTTTTAACAACGTTGATATCGATATCTGAAGAGCGAGAAATAAGGGCGATTAATAGCGCCCCGATATAGTCCCAGACGTTATGGTGTAATTCAAATGATGTTATCTTCGTGAAAATGGATTCTCTTTTTCTGAAGCGTCGCCCGATCAGCCTGATGGCTGATGATGGCCACTCTCTCTCTCTCTCTCTCTCTCTCTCTCTCTCTCGTGACGTGAATGAAAATATACATCGTGGATTTTAAAACGGAAACATAAGTTGCTGAGCGTGTCTAAAGGGTACACCCTTCGGCTTGTTCGAGCCACGCGACATCGACGAGTACGATGTTCACTATCGATACCGACCAGAGGATCGATATATCCCACTGTACCACACCATAAGCCCATGGTAAGAGCCACATAACTTTCCATGATACCAAGTAACTCTAAAACTGGCAACACTGCGCCTTCCTTTGCTTACCCCAGCTACTTGCGGTCCTGCCCATGAACGCGCCGGTCTCACGATTGTACAGAAAGGTCTTCATAGACTGGCTGACCGACATGCTCGGTGGTTTCTCGTACGGGTTCATCAACTCCGTGGCGACCATCCTCGGATCCTTGGCTACCATTGTGTTTCCACCTGTTTCGCCGTAGGCTTCTCTCTCCTAGCTCTCTTGGCGAGACTCACAGAACGCGCGCGCGCCCGCACACACCGGGCGCGGTACCACGTAGAAGAACACGCGAGTAACTCCGATTCAAATTCGATCGCCACTGTATTTCACTTCGGATACTTCACGCAGGTACGTCGCACCTCGCTTCTCGACTCGTGCTTCTTTCTCTTACTATCCTCCTGCGACTTTACTACGACTCCGACTCCGGCAGGTTGCTGCTCCGCCGCCGACAGTTGGTTCTTCGGCGCCACCAGGTTGACTAAACGCTCCGGAGCGCGTCGCGACCTTCCTCCACCTCTCTCGCTCCCTCCTCCACATAGCCATCCTCACTGTGCACTCTCTTGCCTCTCTCTCTCCCTCCCTCTCTCTTTCCCTCTCCCCCCCCCCTCTCTCTCTCTCTCTCTCTTTCTCTCTCTCTCTCTCTGCCCCTCCTTGACCGCAGGTTCGGACCCAACTCTTCATGGGCCCAGGTGTGTACAACCGTAGGTACAGGTTGTTTCACAAAATACAGACAATTTTGACAATGTCATCAGGACAGGTTTTTGCGAAGCCATCATGGTGAACGCTTCCGGTGCGGTTTATCTTGAGTATTTTATTCAAACTGAACTGTTGGATGATGGACGACTCATGCCACACCATTCGAATCTGGAAGAACCGTCGTTCGCGCCGACGCCCGCGAAGAGCGCCAGGTGATAGGTATGCTTTAAAACGGCAACTATCTCTGGCAAAGTATATGCTCAATTGTACAGATAAAAATATGAGTAATTTTTAAACAGAGGCTATTGATCTTACACGAAATACTCTCTGGTTGCGACAACGAGGAGGAACTCGGGGAAACATTACTCATGAGCTGAATAATGCGCGTTCGTAGAACCGCGAGAAACATTCTCAAAGTGTAGCCTAAGACGGGAACAACATAAAACACGTATTTATTTTTGTATTTTTCAATTGACGCTTGATATTATGTCTGATCGCAACTGGTCTCAATGCAATGGATTTGTCAATTGACGCTTTTTGCACTATTACATCTTTCAAATTAGATACGAACTAAATCCCTGCGGAGTAAATTTGGATTCCGCCATGTGAAAATGAGTAGCGCAAATAGACAGATCTGCGATATCTGAAATATCTGTGAGATAATTTCTACTCCTGATACTCATTAAACTTATTAGTTCCTGTCGTTTGACGATGATCTTATCAATCGCAAACGCCTTCTTCTTTCGCCCGCGACATGCCGGAAGCTATTCGTTGGTTGAACTATGATGGGTCAACGGCTGGAAAAAGGAGAGTTCCGACAGCGCACGCGGAAAATTTTCCATTTACGTAATAATTCTTCCAAGTCGCCAACGCCCACCTGAACTGGCAGGGGTGCAGCTCAAAATAGCTCTGAAATTGTCTGCTTCTTCCGCCACTTTGTCGCAAAGTTTTGTGACAAAGTGACAGAATATCGAAAATCGTATAGTATGTACGATGAATCTAACAGTAAAGTACTGTTACGTACGAGTCTCGTTGTCATCAGCGACTCTTTCCGCGATCCTCAGTCAGCGGCGATTTTGTCCAGCGTGTATATGTGTCGCTAGACAACTCCAGGCGACGTGTACGTCGCGTTCAATGAATAACTCACTCCTGCTCGAGTCCTCTTCTACCTCCACCCTGCCCCTGGTCCTCGGCGAGCAGTCGCTCCATTGCCATGACGTGTCACATTTGCACGTGTATACGAGCGTTGCTACGGTGGTCGTTGCGTTGGTGATAATGGTGCCGACGTTCACGCGTGTATAAAAGTTTTCCTCCAACGAGCATTCCGCTCATTAGAGCTCGGGCTTTTTTTCTTTTGCATCATGTCTTCATGCGCTTGTCTTCAAAATGGGATAAGTTTAAGGGGTAGGTTTATGTGCAGCAAAAAAGGGAGGAAAAAAATGGGAAGAATATCGGAAGGACCGAAGAAACAACGGATTTATTGATGCAGTAATGACCTGAGATAAACGAATATCGAAGACATAAGTGACTTCCAAAGTTTAGTTTTACGAAAAGCAGTCTGACACGCCACCATGGTGGTCCTGATTTGGACTTCGTGTCAATGAACATTTGTTGATGACTCGGGGGCGCCGTTAATTGCTCATGGGACCACGCCTGTGAGTCAGCGAATAGCATGCAGCACGTTCGTCATGCACAATGATGCCACAAGTGCTTATGATAAGTGCTATTGGCTTATCAATAATGAGGACTGTATATTTTCCATCGAGGATAGTTACTCTTCGATCTTAGGTATTTATTAAATATTGCAAATGAGAAAAATATTAATGTGAGAGGAAAAGTAGGAAGAAGTTTGCTCTCGGGGCGATCAAACTTCTAGAGCCGGTATTGGTCGTGTGAATATATAACATTGAGCAATCGCTTTCACTCATACTTGTCGATGTACGAGAAGTACAAACGTAAATATTAACAAATGTATTTACGATCGAAATTAGAAATTCGTATTTTCCCGGCTCGTTGAGCCGTTAAGTATCATTATATGATTCTAAATTTCTGATTCTCTGAATTTCAGCATGCAACCTCACCTTTGCAACACTGATGTAAATTCGACAGGTGCGAAAGGTGAGAAATTGAATAAATTTTCTCTTTCGCAATTTCTCTCGCGAAATACGAGAATGCTTTTAGTTAGCTTGGGGATTTGAGTATCATCCAATCGAAGGAACTTGAAATTTTCGGATAATCCGAAACGTCGATTATTATTCGATATTTTATTTTAATCTGCCCTCGCTCATAATCGTGCTGTATGTGGCGAGATAAACAAGAAATCGTTGAGCCGCGTTGCGGCGTGCTGCGCACCGCGCGCGCCAAGCAAACGCACCTGTCCACCTAATCTGCCACAATTCACGTGTATCCGTCGCGATTCAGGAGACTGTGAATACGATTTCCTCGACCGATTCGTTCGGCAAATTGGGGGCTAAGGTCAGCCTGTGTGTGTGTGACCTTAGTAGCCGCGACGGCACGCGTGTGCGCGACCCGCAGCGACTGTCCGATTGGCGGTCCACTCCACTCCCTTTATCACACCGGGATGAGCTAGAAGGCGCGTGTAATGTGAGTCACACACGGAGACCGATCTGAATTGACCACATCCTGCCCATCTTGTCATGTGACATTAATGTCATTGCCGTGTGCCGTCCGACGGACGAACTCTTCGGGCAAAAGAGACGGAAGAATCAGCGTCGCTTCTCATTTCTTAAGTATCCCGACCTCGTGCAAGCGCGACTTCCTCTCGTCGCGCGAACATCGCGAGGATCCATCGCCGGTGCATATTTATCAGCCACGATACACCACGGCTAATTTCTCATGGCGCGGGTGGCGACGGGGTCTTCTAGACCTTCCTCACTACGGCTGTCACACAGCCGTCGGTCTTTAATAGGAAATTATATATAAATCGACACACGCGCGCGCACCGGGATCGCGTAAGTGACGAGTCAGTTCCACTCGGAGGATACGAACATAGAGAGCTCGAAAAATTTGTGAAATTCTGCCAGTTGCGGCCGAGACGCGACGCTTTCGCGCAAATTCAATGTTCTTACGTGAGAGAAAAAGGTCAGAATGGTAGGAAGAAGCCACGTATGTAGCATTGTGTATGCAAGCAATGGCGTCAGGTACACGCAAGTACACTGGAAATACGAAATTTATCCTTGCGCGTACAACTGGGTCGCGCGTGCGACTTGCATTCGTATTTTTAAATAGACGCTTCACTCGCAGACTGTCGATCTTGCCGGGAACTTAGTAACTCAAGAACTGATTTTATCAGCAATCGGTACATGCAGGCGCACGTAAGGCAACATGTGTGCTGACGAATTTGTCAGCAGTGGTTCTGTCAGCGAGCAGTGAGTTCTCTCGCACACGAAAGCGTTTTAGCGACTCATGATAAAATACAATTGATATTTAGAGACTTCAAGAGAGATTCAATAAGTATTAATAAATACAACCAAGCAACTAAAAATGCAACTAAAAATTTAAAAAAATCACAGGAAGCTCTTGTATTTGACCATCTAAAGGGGAAAATTACTACGTACTATTCAGACGTTTGGCTGAGAAATCTTAAGATAAATGTAAATTCTGCAATTTGTATGATGAAACATGAAAGGGTTGTTCCTTTGTAATGCGAAGAAAACACATGCGCTTTGCAATGAAATACACATCCCCAGACAATTTTGTCCGATTTATTCTCCGATTTATTCTCCGTAACACATTTCAAGTATAATGATGTCATCAACAATCATGCCTATCGTATGCCTTATTAGCCAATCATGCTTAAATCTTCCGCCGTCTACAATAACGTCTGCATTTCGAAGCCAAGGTTACACAGAGCGGAAAATGGAATAAGAGCGATCGTGATTCGGAAAATCCGAACCGAAAAAGAGTCAAGCTCGAGATGGACGCAACTCTAAGAAGCATCGTAAATCCGCGACTGTCTACGCAAACAACGAACATCGGTTGAGGTCGCCGAACGAATTCGAAACGGATTCGCGCCAAATGAATCGTGTTCGTGTCTTCGCGATCACTGGCCTCCAGACGAGAGAGTGTCTATCCGTGGTCTCTCACTCTTCTAGTTCTTCTCTTATCTTTCACAGATCACCAATATGCACGTCAAATACACACACGCACACACATGGATCGCGTTCGTCCGACCTAACGACGAATAGCGTACACGTAAACTCCGTGTCGCCCTTCTTTCAGCGCACGATTACGATCACTACTTCTTCCTCGGATTTGTAATTACAATAATTATTACTCCGTGGCTTGCGGGGCCTGTGCTCATAAACCAAACACAGCACCTTCTTTATTCTCGAATAACATTGTGGCTGGTTGCGTTGAATCGAATCGAACGTCACTAGTAAAGAAAACGCGCTGGATGCAACGCCGATGACGCATGACGCTCGACAACGATTCCTTAAGGATTTGTCAATCGTCAAGACAATGGTGGTCGTCGATAATAATAATAATAATAATAATAATAATAATAATAATAATAACAACAACAATAGTAGTAATAATAATAATAATAATAATAATAATAATAATAATAATTGTCGAGGCGGGTCTGTACCGTTATTTTAATTAACGACAACAAGCTTAAATCTTAAAATGCCTAAATTAATACTAGATCCTGCTTCAAGCATTAGTCGTCTGAAGCGCTCTATCTACATGACGAAGAAAAATAATCCTCCAAATGTCTAGCGCAATCGCGGTTTCTAATGTAATTTTTCACATATCGCACGCACGTCCCTACGA